TTGGATGAACTTATTGCAGCTAGGAGAAAGTTATTCAGGTATCCATCGCTAGTTCAGTAGTCTCCCTGTGGTAAAAAATATTGGTCTAATCAATGACAAAGCACATGAGGTGGTGGTTGTTAGCAGGGTGCTGAGACTGGTCTGGAGGCTAACTGTATGTGACAGCCAGCCAGGCAGGCCACGGAAGGGTGGTGATAGTTCGAGGAGTATCCGTTTTCCGTTTTAGTCTGTTTCAGCACCTCCTCTCTGGACAGCTCCACAATGCAACACTGGATCCGATTTCAATTCCCTGTTTTCACTAGCTTAGTAGGGAGACTGTTTCTTACCCCACACCCCCTCTTCAGTTGGTTTGTTACGTATATATGTAGAATCATAATTTGACCTATATTGTCGCAATAAAATAATCCTGCAGCAACGGGATTTGAACGTTTATGCCATAATGTTGTTTGATCGGTGGTTAGGACATTAGCTGGCCAAAAGTAGGCTACATGAAAAGTGCAATACTGTTAATATAACCGTGTGTTAGTGTGTGTTTTCGGTGAATTTATGTAAATCACGAAGCTCATCTGGATTTCCTGCAGTACAATAAAATTCTCAGCAACAAAAGAGTGATCAAATTAAGAATCTACATTTGTAAATGCGACTCTAACATTACATGATGTCTGTATTTGTCAACAACAGGGATATTTAATCAACCACCTTCCTGTCATTGCCTTTTTATAGTAGGCCTATTTCTATAAGTATATTCACAGTTCAATAATACAGCTTCAAACTCGCACAAAGATAGGCAGCTCACATGTACAGCCTAACACTGATCTAAATTCACTGAAAATCCGAGCAAAGCATAGCAAGGTGTTGTCTTCTCTGGAGGCCAGTCTAATAAAAATCTGTGGCGCGGGCGGTAAATAATAGGGATGCACACCTACACTCTCAGGAACACAACTCCACGTAAACGGGGACATAATCAAAGTGACAAGCGCTCCATCCCTCCCGCCCGCCCTCTCTCTCCCACCCACAGCTAGCAAGGGACAGAGAGATGTGCCGTGCGCACCTCACACACAGGGTTCGAGCGCTTATTGAGTGAAGTGCGAGTCCAACAGAGAGAACGAATGCGAGCAGTTGAGTGGGATGCAAATGAAGCAATAAAACTGAACATTGGAAGAATATTAGGATTAAAAGACAAAAAGTTTCAAAATGAACGTCATGAGTCAATGAAACGGGCTGCAAAAAAAGGAATTCGTAGAGAGAGGACAGAACATTAAGGATGTGTTTTATTTTTTATTTTGGAGAGAATGTCAACGTTGTTTTTCAAGTAGCTAAGAACATTGCCATTCAAAAGGTGAGTATGTATTCTAATCACTGACAGTTTTTTACATAGGCAACAACAATTTTCCATTGACAGGACAAGTTGTCATGAACTTGACCTGTTTTTCTTTTAGATTGGTTGGTTTTTAGGTTGGCTAGTCGAGGAGGCTTTGTTGTTTTTAACATGCAAGGTTTCGATGAAGCTCACTTCATACACTAGTTACGGCCCCGAAATAAACTGCAGAGTAATCTTGTCTGTTTTCACCAGTATTATGTCACGACATGAACTCCTCGCCCTGTAGAGCGCAGTGAAACCTGTTATTTTCTGCTGTTCACTGTCCTTCAGACAAACACTGTAAAAGGATCAATGAATCCGCCAACGTAACACATTGTTCTGGCCTATAACGTCAATCAACTGTAAATGATGCACAGACAAATCCTAATTATGTGCCATATTTGATTGACTAGGCCGTAGGTGATGTATCATGCCAGTTTGGATATCCTGAGAGGGTTGACTCAAAATTAGATCAGATATGGACACATAATAGATATATACACATAATTCCTATATTCAAACATTCTTCTTTCCTACATGCGCGGAACAGATTTCAGCACTGGACAGCTCTACACGTCAGCATCAACTTTGATATAGTTTAGCAAGTGCGTAGGCCTACCCTGCACTGTGTTATAAAAAAGGATCTAATTTTAGTTTATCATTGGCTATTAAAAGAATGGGATATCTCGTCACCCCATCATTTTTCATAGATATGGGAAGGCCATGGTTTTTACACAATAATGTGCATTCATGATAGACGTGCAGATCGTACATATTTGAATGAGATATTGTGTTCAAAGAGCTCCCATCAAAGCCTTTAAAAAAGACATAACATTCCCCCCTCCCTATTACTTGCCTACAATAACGTCTGCCATAATCATGTAGAACAATGCCTTATTTAGTGATGAAGACGCCATAATGCCACCAATCACTGGATCAAAAGTAACACACCATCCTCTGATGTCATAATCTCTATACCTCCATTCTTTCTTCCCTTCATCCATCCATCCCTGACAAGTGCATGCCCTCCCCTGTGCTGTCACCTAAACTCTTCACTTTCTTTTTCCTTTTTTTCTCTCCTTTAATGTCAGTCTCAGATTAAAGAAGAACATATAAACCAGGTCGCTTGACTGCATCCACCTTTCATATCACAGTTTGGATTAGGAGATTACTACACATGCACATGCAATCGCAAACGCACATGCGTACACACACGTATGCACGCGCACGCGCACGCGCGCACACACACACACACACACACACACACACACACACACACACACACACACACACACACACACACACACACACATACACATACACACACACACACATAAACATACACACACATACACACATACACACACACATACACACACACACAAACATTCATCCATTCATATTAATTTACCCTGGGATTAAGTGTTTCCGGATTCGAGGCATTTCTGAGCTGCCTATATATTGACAATTTCAGGCCCTAAATGTATTGTGTTGTGTAGAGCTCTGTTGTGGAGTAGGTTAAATATCTGGGTCTTTACGCGCGCGCATGTGTGTGTGGTGTGTGTGTGTGTTTGTGCCTGTCTCTGTTCTGTGTGAGTGTGATTCAGTTTTACCCACATTGAAGTGAATCAGTCCTGTATGTGACTCAGTCACTCAGGAGAGCACTTACACCTCTGGTGCCTCTACCCTCGCGCTCCACCTCGGCGGTGGTGCCTCGTGCTAAATCATCCCTGCTCGACACGGCAAATCAGAGCGTTGAGGAGGGAAAGAGGTTCCTATGGAAACAGCTAATAACTATCATCAACATTTAATTACTCCTGCTCTCCCTCAGGGACTAGTGGTTCCTGACTGTCTGTCTGCGTCCTAAGTGACACCCTATTCCCTATATAGTGCATTGCGTTCGACCAGAGCCATATGAGCTCTGATCTAAAGTAGTGCACTATGTAGAGAATAGGTTGCCATTTTCGTCCTATCTCTACATATATTCTACAAAGTGTTCTAGATCTGCAGTACATCTATATGTGTTGGAAGCCTCTAATGCTGAAGATGCTGATATGGTTAACAGTATGGCTACATTCTGAGTCTCACGTCTCAATGGCAATCAGGTTGACCCGAAAATACTACTGTTTCTGAATCTGTGGCGATGGATTCATCATGATCTGGCATAATCCCATAGCCTCTCAAACTGAGAAACTCAAGCTGTCACAGTCTTCCATTCAGATGCATTATTCTTCTCCTCCAACCTAACTCAGATACACATTCTTGTCCAATCAAACTCCCAGGATCCTCAGGAAGTGGCATGGGTAGACCTGATACGTGTGACCCTGGTGAACACTGTGTACACTGAAGACTCCTTAAGACACAGTGGCACTGGTGTGATGTTGTCAATAAGTCACATCAGCCCCCTGGGATAGCTCGATCCTAGCATCTCTCGAGGATAGAAGAGAGGCGGAGAGGAGAGATAGATAGATTAGAGCGAGAGGAGGATAGAGCAGGAGAGCGACTCTCTCTCTCTATCTCTCTCTCTACTCTCCTCTTCTCTCTCTCTCTCTAGATCTCTCTCTCTCTTCTCTCTCTCTCTCTCTCTCTCTCTCTCAGCGCCTTTGGTCCAGCTGCTACAGTAGTTGACATGTAACAATGCTGACGTAATCTATCCCAGCCTCTTAATGAGGATTTAAGTTGGGAAGGATCCTGGATCCTCAATCCGGCCAATAAGCACACGGCAGGAGCAACATCTGTCCATCTGCTGTGTGTGTGTATTTGGGAGGGAAGAAAATTGCCATAGACTGTCACGCAAAGGTAAATAAACAACCCTGCTAAATCCTGTCAGTCTGTGGACAGTGTGTGTGTGTGTGTTTGTGTGTGTGTGTGTGTGTGTGTGTATGTGTGTGCACTCGCGCTCAAGTCTGTGTGTTTTAATAAATGCGTGCTGACGTATGTCGAAGTGTCAGTTTCGTTGACCCAACAGTGATGTCACATCGCCTTTGTAAGCTACTGTAGTTGGACATGTATTTTTCTACACATAGCTAACTCCACACCTCACGTCAAACCATCCAGTGCTGCTGTTCTATTGTGTGCAGCTACAAACCTGTTATGGCTGTTATGCAACACTTTCCCTTGGTCGCCCTGATAGCCTAGCGATCACATAATGGGTACTAGCTCTAACCCACTACGTCACCCGGCCTCTAACCCTGTCATCAAGCCAAACACCAGATCAATTGTTCCCTTAACAGTAGATCAACACAGATTCCCCTCTCTTTTAGACCTTTGGCCCCTCCTCTGTCTGTTAGTGTGTTCCACCCCATGCTGACATAAAGGGCCCTCAGGCGACCGTCTACGAGGACTCAATCTATAACCATCATGATGAATATTTGTCTATTTTTCTTCACGGATGAAGAGAGTTGACTATCCCACCCTTCTCCTGCATGACATGTATAGATGTAGGAATACTGTGCATGGGGTGCTGTGATTCTGAATGACCTGCAAAATTCTTACTGTTCTCTGATTTGCTGTCATTCCAGGAAATGCATCAGAAGGAGGCGACGCTGATATCTCCAAGGGGTCCTTAGACCTGAGGCTGCTGTCCTCCTGCCCCCCTCTGCCCTCTGCCCACACCCTCCTACCAACCTGGTCTCTTTTAATGGTTGGCACTGGCCACCGCGGCCCTGATTACTTCCCACACAGACACAGCCTGATGATCACTGGTGCCATGGGAGCGGTGCGAGTCAACAGGTAGGACTGGGGAATAGGACAATCAGCTCATTTTCTGCCCCTTTTTCTGCCTCTAAAAGCCTGTCCTTGTTGTCTATTCTTGGACTATTAGCTATTCTTCTTGGAATGTTATAAAAGAAACCTGGTATTCGCTGCTCTGTACTCAATTTTAACTCTTCAGTCTTAAAGCTGTAATATGTCACCTTTTGGGCAACCCGACCAAATTCACATAGAAATGTGAGTTATAGATCTGTCATTCTCATCGAAAGCAAGTCTAAGAAGCGGTAGATATTTTGTATGTGAACCATTTCTATGCTTCCCGTTCTTAAGTTTCGTTTTTGCGTCTTTTACTTTCGGTTTTGTACACCAGCTTCAAACAGCTCAAAATATTATATTTTTGGTTATGGAAAATATATTTCACAATGTTTTAGATGGTACAATTATTCTCTACACATTGACTGCTTGTGCAATTTCTGCATAGTTCACCTTTAAAGGTCCAATGCAGCTGTTTTTATCCCAATATCAAATCATTTCTGGGTAACCTTACTGAGAGTAATTTCTCAAGCAACATTTTTGCTAGGACTGTCTGGGAGTGGTCTGAGTGTGGAGGGGAAAACTGAAAACTAGCTGTTATTGGCTGAATGGTTTGGAACTCTCTTTCTTATCAGCATATTAACTAATTTACCGCCTAGTGATGTTGCCAGTCAGGCCAAAACTCCATCCAAGCAAAACACGGTGAAATTTCAGGCGGTCTTTTCAAACAGCTCTTACACTAAAAGCGCATTATCATAATTGTCACAATTTCACAGTATTATTCCAACCTCATAGTGTGGAAATATTTACACTTAGTGTACAAAACATTAAGGAAACCTGCTCTTTCCATGACATTGACTGACCAGGTGAAAGCTGGGGAGGAGACAGGTTAAAGAAGGATTTTTAAGCCTGGAAACAATTGAGACATGGATTGTGTATGTGTGCCATTCAGAGGGTGAATGGGCAGGAACAAATATTTAAGTGCCTTTGAACGGGGTATGGTAGTAGGTGCCAGGCGCACCAGTTTGTGTCAAGAACTGCAAAGCTGCTGGGTTTTTCATGCTCAACAGTTTCCCGTGTGTATCATGAATGGCCCACCACCCAAAGGACATCCAGCCAACTTCACACAACAGTGGGAAGCATTGGAGTCCACATTATCCAGCATTCCTGTGGAGCGCTTTTCACAACTTGTAGAGGCCATGCAACTTAATATTAGGAAGGTGTTCCTAATGTTTGGTATACTCAGAATATAAAACACAGGAAAGTCATGTTTTTGACTGCACTGGGACTTTATCTCTTAAACCTGCCATATCTATCTCCTTCACCCTCCTCTCTAAACTCATGTATTTTTGTTGTGGTTTTTGTTTCACATCAGATACAGCATCGTAGCCACCGATGAAGACCACTTCAAGATCTCCACCCTGGGCCTCCACAACGGCCATGGTCCCCTGATGCACCACACCCTGACTGGGAGGGGGATGGGGGGCGGAGGGGGTGGTGGTGGTGGTGGTGGAGGGTCAGAAGGAGGAGGAGGAGGCGGCAGCTCATTAGCCCTGCGAGCAACGGAGCCTGTCCACAATGGCCGCCAGATCTCCACGGCGGGGCCCAACCATGTCCGGAGCCGCTTTGTGAAGAAGAACGGCCAGTGCAACGTGGTTTTCCACAACATGGAAGACAAGACGAAACACTACCTGGCCGACATATTTACCACCTGCGTGGACATCCGCTGGCGCTACATGCTGCTCCTTTTCACCTCTACCTTCCTTCTCTCCTGGTTCGTCTTCGGTGTGGTCTTCTGGGGCGTGGCCCTGGCCCATGGGGACTTCGACCTTCGACCCGGCCTGGGAGAGGGGCCTCTGGCCAGCTTGGAGGGAGGAGGGGTGGAGTGGAAGCCCTGCATCCTACACGTCCAGGGCTTCGTAGGGGCTTTTCTCTTCTCCATAGAGACCCAGACCACCATTGGGTACGGGTTCCGCTGCGTCACAGAGGAGTGTCCGGCGGCGGTGGCTACGGTGGTGGTCCAGTCCATTGTGGGCTGCATCATCGACTCCTTCATGATCGGAACCATCATGGCCAAGATGGTTCGACCTAAGAAGCGGGCGCAGACCTTGCTGTTCTCGCACCACGCGGTCATCTCCATGCGGGACGGGAAGCTGTGCCTGATGTTTCGCCTGGGGAACATGAGGAAAAGCCACATCGTGGAGGCCCACGTCCGGGCGCAGCTCATCCGGCCGCACGTCACTGCTGAGGGCGAGTACCTCCCCATGGAGCAGACGGACATCGACGTGGGCTACGACGAGGGCCTGGACCGCCTCTTCCTGGTGTCTCCGCTGGTCGTGGTCCACGAGATCAACGAGAACAGCCCACTGTACTGTATGAGCAGCGCCGACCTGGCGACGGAGGACTTTGAGATCGTGGTGATCCTGGAGGGGATGGTGGAGGCCACGGCCATGACCACCCAGGCCCGCTCCTCCTACCTGGCCAGGGAGATCCTGTGGGGCCACCGCTTCGAGCCTGTTGTCTTCGAGAAGGAGCACCGCTACCAGGTGGACTACTCCCGCTTCCACAAGACCTATGAGGTGCCGGCTACTCCACACTGCAGCGCCAGGGAGCTCCGGGAGATGACGGGTCGATCCCGCTCCCCCTCGTCCGCCTCCGGCTCCAGTTCTACCCGGTCAGTGTCCCCTCTCGGCCCCAAGTCCTCCGGCCTCCACCTCTTGCCTCCGCACTCCCCCAGCGCCTTCTGCTACGAGAACGAGGTGGCCCTGTGCTGCGGGGAGGAGGAGGAGGAGGAGGGGGAGGAGGTGGGGGAGATGGGGGTGATGCTGGGGGGGAGGGATGATGGGGAGGGGGAGGAGAGGGACGTACAGCTAGACATTTTCCAGGAGAGGTTTCAGGACCAGGTAGCGGTGGACATGAACATGCTGTGTGTGCTGGACATGGACAATCAGATTGACAGGCTGCAGCCGGCTATAGCTCTTGATGCGCTGGGCTTCAGGAGGGAATCAGGAGTGTAGTGACTGATTCACACTATAGAGTCAAACTGAGACAAGACAAGCCTGCGCTGGCCTGGTTACACATCCACTATAGTTTCTGGAACCGTGCTGGAAAGGACATTGTGAAAGGAAAATGTCCAAGCCAGCCAGGGCCACAGCTACATATGAGGACGAGGTCCAGACCTAGTTAATTTATTCAAAAGTTTGGGGTCACTTAGACATTTCCTTAGAGTGTCTAGTTTGAGAAACAGACGCCTCACAGGTCCTCAACTGGCAGCTTCATTATATAGTACCCGCAAAATACCAGTCTCAACGTCAACAGTGAAGAGGCGACTCCGGGATGCTGACCTTCTAGGCAGTGTTGCAAAGAAAGCCATATCTCAGACTGGCCAATAAAAATAAAAGATTAAGATGGGCAGTCTGAGATAGGGCTTTTTCTTTGCAACTCTGCCTAGAAGGTCCCACTCCTCTTTCTATTCTGGTTAGAGACAGTTTTATTGCTTCTTTAATCAGCACAACAGTTTTCAGCTGTGCTAATATAATTGCAAAAGGGTTTTCTAATGATCAATTAGCCTTTTACATTTTAGTCATTTAGCAGACACTCTTATCCAGAGCGACTTACAGTTAGTGAGTGCATAATATATATTTTTTCAGCTACAATAGCCATTTACAACATTAACAATGTCTACACTGTATTTCTGATCAATTTGATGTTATTTTAATCGACAAAAGAATTGCTTTTCTTTCGAAAACAAGGACATTTATAAGTGACCCCAAACTTTTGAACGGTAGTGTATATTTATGCACAAGGTTTTGAAACTTGGCTGCGCCAGTTTTCCTCTTGTTATATGTCACTCCCTGACAGTCACTCAATTAGCCCATGTCAGTAAAAATAAATAAAAATAAAGGTAAATGAGTCTAGTTAGTCTAGACTAAACTTATAGTAATCATACCCGAATGACTGACTGGGCAAGCAGGGCACATGCCCAGGGGCCCTGACCTCCAGGGGTCCCCCATTGATTTTGTTAGTCACTCTCACTCATATATCATATTAACATGGCATAAGTCATGGTAAAATGTGTAGAACTGCAGGAAAATCGCAGAACTTTTTTGTAATGGTTTACCATTTGTTAATAAAATACTGCTAACAGATCCCTCACTATGTAATAAATTATAGTTTTTAATCCTGGTGTTGAGTTCATGTGTAGCGGCTAATTGTGCAGCTAATAGGCTATGCGTTTGTAGATCGCCTGATGTGAATGAAGCTACAGAAACCATAGTGATAATGGCTGAGGAATTATTTTGTTGCTCTTCTCCAAATAGCATTTTAGAGTTTTTTAATTGTATAGAAATGCAGTAAATGAGCGTGAACTTTTTAAAATGTCCTCACTAACACTCAGACCCTGGCTACGGCCCTGAAGCCAGCACAGTATGGCTTGGGTCGGCCATGTAGTGTGAATCAGTCATAGAAGACTCTCATGTCTAGTGTCCTGAATGAACTATGTGCCCTTGGTACACTTCCTCTTTTTGTGTATCCAACCAAAGTCCTCGGAGAGAGAAGAAGAAAATAATTAGAACTGTTCTGCCGCACAACAACAAAGGAAGGTTGAATGACCTTACTATTTTCTTGAGTTTCTTTTTGTTTTTAAACATAGTTGTGTTCAGTACATGAGTCTAAATTTGCATTTTATAGCGCAATATTTAAATGCATTCTTATTGTATTCAATATTCCGTTGTATATATTCTCTGGAATAAGATTCTTTGTGAAGTGACTTTTGGTTCCATTCAACCAAGTCTTGGTACCGTTTTTTTCATTTACAGATAGTCATCATGAGTCATTAATACTTTCAAAACCACAAATGAAGTTCATGTGGTTTTAAAAAAGTATTTTCTGTTTGTAAATATATGATTTCCCATGTTTAGAAACTAGGGCTGGGATGATACCAATACCACAATACTGGTTAGCATCGTGGAAAGGAAACAAAACATGAAGCGGATTTCACTTCTTTAGGAAAACATCTGTAAAGTTGGAAACAAACATCATTATGTTGTCATTCAGAGTCACATTTATTTATTTTCCAAGCTATAGCACCCAATAGTTTACATACATTTTTTAAGAACCAAAGAGTTTGGTCTGCTTCGTGTTTTCATTTTTGCCATGGAGTAAATATTTCAATACTGGTATCATCACAGACCTATTAGAAACCATGGTAATTTTGACTTCCTGCTTAAGGTATATTACTGTTAATGTTTGATACATGAGCTATGTATTCCAAAATTTGAAAATATTTTATGATGCAAAAACAAGGAACCTGAACAGAAACTGAGTTGGAAATAACATGTATTGTCCAGATAAAGAATAACAAGCACTTTATTCTGTATTTTATCAAAAGGAATATCTAAAAAAATTAACAATTTAATTGTATGCTGTTTTGTATGAATTAATAAATGTCTAATAATAATAATAAACAAGCAGCAGTAGCTGTTCTGGTTGGGTTGACACACTCTGCTCTGTTCTCACACTCTTTTTTTCCCATCAGACACCAGTCCCAAAGGTCCAAGGTCAAACTGACCCCATGTTGATGTCCACCTGCTTCTGACTGCTCATTGGTTGGCCCGGTTTGGGGCAGTGTGTGTCTGTGTGTGTGGGTGTGTGGTGTGTGTATGTGTGTGTGTGTGTGTGTGTGTGTGTGTGTGTGTGTGTGTGTGTGTGTGTGTGTGTGTGTGTGTGTGTGTGTGTGTGTGGTGTGTGGTGTGTGTGTGTGTGTGTGTGTGTGTGTGTGTGTGTGTGCGTGCGTGCGTGCGTGCGTGCGTGCGTGCGTGCGTGCGTGCGTGCGTGCGTGCGTGCGTGCGTGCGTGCGTGCGTGCGTGCGTGCGTGCGTGCGTGCGTGCGTGTGTGTGATGTGAAGTGAAGGCAGGGGGTTGTTGTTCTCTAGCTCAGTGACTCAGAGGTAATCCCATACACACACCTGTCTCTCTTACGATTCTCTCTTTCTAAACCAAAACTGGGGTATTACCCAAAATCTGTGTCATACTCAAATAGCTCAGTACAGAGAGTTTTTATTTGGCAGGTTGTCTTTTAAAACGTCCCAGAGAGTGAGGGAGAGAGGGGCAGATAGAAATAGAAAGAGATGCAGACTGGAGGAGGACATACTAGGCCGAGGGGCAGTGGGGAGGGAGAGAGAGAGAGAGAGGGGAGAGGAGAGAGAAAGAGAGGGAAGTTCACCACTAGGAGACAGTGAAGACTGCTCCACTTCAACAGACCAATGGAAGAGAGAGTACGGTATACCAGCTCCCTCATGTGGTAAATTATCAGAGTAAACCATAACATAGTTTTTTTTAAAGACTGGTCACCAAACCTTTATTTTCTGAAGTGCTGAGGCCCACCTGAACACTTTACGTTCTCTATATGATGAGTTTCATTCCAAAACACTATATATTCATGTTCATAAATGTTGGTAAATGAGCTTTTATTGTTTAAAGAAATGATGAAAGAGTTTGGTGTGTCTAATCATGGCATGGGATTGTTCAATGACAGACATGTATTTCTTTAAAATCTATCACTTGATGGTTTCATTTCAGAGAGACAAATAATCATATATTTTTTTGGCAAAATGCTATCTATCTGCCTCACTCTCAGAGAAGTAAGTAGTACTGCTAGGTTTTACACAGTCAAATGTAACAAATAACTACATTTTTCATAAAGAAATTTACAAATGATAAAATTTTTAAATCAATGTTTAAATCAATAAAAATTAAAAAAATTCAATACAGTAATAGGAGATCTGTATGTAAAACATTTGACATTTTAGTCATTTAGCTCTTATCCAGAACGACTTACTGTAAGTACATTCATCATAAGATAGCTCGGTGAGACAACCACATATCCCAGTCAAATATAAAGGAAAGGAACATTCCATTCCAGCTAAACAATGGATTTACAGTATAGCGTTCCCATTATTTTATTAAACGTGTTCTCCTGCTCTAACAAGCCACTTCCCCATCTCTATCGCTATCTCTCTCTCCTTCTCACCCCTCCATCATTCTTTCCTTCCTCTACTAATGTCAGTTCAAAGAGCCATTTCCCCATCTCTATCGCTATCTCTATGCCGTCTCTCAATTTTTCCCTCCTTCTCTCCCTCCTTCCCTCCATCCCTCTCTACTGATGTCGGTTAATTAGCCACTGTGTCACACCCCCTTGTCATCAACATCCATAAAAACGACCAGCTGGGTGACCTCTGGTGACCTTTCTCCAGGCTCCGTCAGTCATAATGGCTGACTAGAGGATCTAGAATCTGAGCTGTCTGGCAGGGGGCTGCTTTCATGCTTTGTAGCCCTCCTCTGCTGCTGTTGGTTTCTGCCCTGGGGTTGTGTGGGGCTGTGTGGGGCAGTGGGGCTAGTGTTAGGGAATAGGGGCTAGTGTGTGTGCTCAGTAGGGGACAGTATTGGGGACTAAGTGGTGGAGGGTTGGGGGTCCTGGGGCCCATAATGATCTGTTGTGTGTTGTGGAGCTGTGAACCATTCGTTGGAGGACAGAGAGGCATTGTGTTACATTGGGCTGCCCACGTTGGCTACACCACTGGGAACCACCACAGGCTGTGTGTGTGTGTGTGGGGGGGGGGGGGGGGGGGGGGGGTAAGTGTGTGTATGTGTGTGTGCGTGTGTGTTTCTTTCTGTCTGTCTGTCCGTCCGTCTGTCTGTCTGTCTGTCTGTCTGTCTGTCTGTCTATTTGTCCATTTGAGGCTCTGAGATCAGGTGAGGTGTCTAGCCTGTGTGGAACACCTGTGGATATCCCATGTATCAATGCATGCTGCTGTAGCCATATGCAGATCATCCGTCACTGTCTCAGTGTGTGAATACACAAGACATATGAAGAATATTGACAATCCCCCTTTTTCTCTTTCTTTGAAAATCCCTCTATCTCTTTCTTCCCCCTTTCATGTCTTCCTCCTCTCCGCCAACAACAGAGTCTTTCATTCGGGCATCTCAGCGGCCGCCTCAGGCCCTCAGGCCCTCTGCCGTTCGCTCAGCTTAATTAAATGTTCTGAGAAAAACTCATGATTGGAAAGTGACTTGTTTCTCTCTGTTTCCAAGCCACTCGTCTCTCTCTCTTCTCTCTCCTCTCTCATCCCTCAGGTCAATCTCTCTCTCTCGCCCTCTCTCTTTCTCTCCCGTCTCTCCACGCTCTTCTCTCCTCTCTCATCCCTCAGGCCAATTTCCCATTGATTTTCCCATGCATCTTCCTTTCACCCATTTGATCAGAATCAGAAATACATTTTCCTGAGAAGTAAACTAAGTGTTTGCAAGTGAGTACTCTGCTGGATGAAGCACTTTCCGTCTGTATCCATAGCTATACAGCCTGGTCTCCCTTGGTCTTCTGAACTCAATGGGACTTACATTTACATTTTAGTCATTTAGCAGACGCTCTTATCCAGAGCGACTTACAGGCGCAATTAGGATTAAGTGCCTTGCTCAAGGGCACATCGACAGATTTTTCACCTAGTCGGCTTGGGGATTAGAACCAGCGACCTTTTGGTTACTGGCACAACGCTCTTAACCACTAAGCTACCTGCTACCTAAATGTTACAGAAAAAGTGCATCTGTACCAACGCCTTTTGGTTAGAATGTCTGCCCTGAGATCGGAAGGTTGGGAGTTCGATCGCCGGCCGAGTCATACCAAAGGCTGAAAAAATGGGACCCGATACGTCTCTGCTTGGCAGTCAGCATTAAGGAGATGGACTGGGGGTAAGGCCCTGCGATAGACTAGCATCCTGTCCAGGGGGTGTACTGGTACATCAAGCTGCCTCACTCTACAGAAACAGGAGATAGACTAGTGTCCTGTCCAGAGGGTGTACTGGTACATCAAGCTGCCTCACTCTACAGAAACAGGAGATAGACTAGCATCCTGTCCAGGGGGTGTACTGGTACATCAAGCTGCCTCACGCTACAGAAACAGGAGATAGACTAGCATCCTGTCCAGGGGGTGTACTGGTACATCAAGCTGCCTCACTCTACAGAAACAGGAGATAGACTAGTGTCCTGTCCAGAGGGTGTACTGGTACATCAAGCTGCCTCACGCTACAGAAACAGGAGATAGACTAGCATCCTGTCCAGGGGGTGTACTGGTACATCAAGCTGCCACTCTACAGAAACAGGAGATAGACTAGTGTCCTGTCCAGGGGGTGTACTGGTACATCAAGCTGCCTCACTCTACAGAAACAGGAGATAGACTAGTATCCTGTCCAGAGGGTGTACTGGTACATCAAGCTGCCTCACGCTACAGAAACAGGAGATAGACTAGTGTCCTGTCCAGGGGGTGTACTGGTACATCAAGCTGCCTCACTCTACAGAAACAGGAGATAAACTAGTGTCCTGTCCAGGGGTTGTACTGGTACATCAAGATGCCTCACGCTACAGAAACAGGAGATAGACTCCTCTCCTATGAGCTGTTCTGCCTCTCACAAGCAAGGCTACTTACTATGATCTTTATAGAGAACATAACTAAGTATGTGTTGAACTCCTTTGCTCAATAATACAGGCATCCACAGGAGTCCTGGGCAACCATACAGGTGGTTATCAGTCTAATGATGCTCCCCTCCACCCAAAACCAAATGACACCCAAACTCAGCACTGTCTTAATGAGAGGGGGGAAGGTAGGGGGAGGCCTGGGGCTGAAAGTGATGCTGTCTGCAGCCTCACATACCACCACCACTATAAGCCTTAATTGGTTAATTTGATCACTGCTGATTGAGGGAGACCTCAGATATTATTATTATGGGAGGCTGGGATAGTAACCTGGGGTTACCCTGATTTTGCACTACATTACCAAAAGTATGTGGACACCTGCTCGTCTAACATCTCATTCCAAAATCATGGGCATTAATATGGAGTTGGTCCCCCATTTGCTGCTATAACAGCCTCCACTCTTCTGGGAAGGCTTTCTACTAGATGTTGGAACATTGCTGCGGGGACTTTCTTCTATTCAGCCACAAGAGCATTAGTGAGGTCGGGCACTGATGTTGGGCGATTAGGTCTTGCTCACAGTCAGAGTTCCAATTCCTCCCAAAGGTGTTCAACGGGGTTGAGGTCAGGGCTCTGTGCAGGCCAGTCAAGTTCTTCCATACCAATCTCGACAAACCATTTCTGTATAGATCTCGCTTTGTGCACAGGGGCATTGTCATTCTGAAACAGGAAAGGGCCTTCCCCAAACTGTTGCCACAAATTTGGAAGCACAGAATCGTCTAGAATGTCAATGTATGCTGTAGCGTTAAAGATTTCCCTTCACTGGAACTAAGTGGCCTAGCCCGAACCATGAAAAACAGCCCCAGAACATTATTCCTCCTCCACCAAACTTTACAGTTGACACTATGCATTAGGGCAGGTAGCGTTCTCCTGGCATCCGCCAAACCCAGATTCGTCCAACGGACTGTCAGATGGTGAAGCGTGATTCATCACTCCAGAGAACGCGTTTCCACTGCTCCAGAGTCCAATGGCGGCGAGCTTTACACCACTCCAGCCGACGGTTGGCATTGCGCATGGTGATCTTAGGCTTGTGTGGAAACATATTTCATGAAGCTCCCAACGAACAGTTCTTGTGCTGACATTGTTTCCAGAGGCAGTTTGGAAATCGGTAGTGAGTGTTGCAACCGAGGACAGGCGTTTTTTACGCTCTACGCGCTTCAGCTCTCGGTAGTCCCGTCTGTGAGCTTGTGTGGCCTACCACTTCGCGGCTGTACCGTTGTTGCTCCTAGACATTTCCACTTCACAATAACAGCACTTACAGTTGACTGGGGCAGCTCTAGCAGGGCAGAAATTTGACGAACTGACTTGTTGGAAAAGTGGCATCCTATGACAGTGCCACGTTGAAAGTCACTGAGCTCTTCAGTAACGCCAGTCTACAGCCAATGTTTGTCTATGGAGATTGCGTGGCTGTGTGCTCGATTTTATACACCTGTCAGCAACGGGTGTGGCTGAAGTAGCTGAATCCACTAATTTGAAGGGGTGTCCACATACCTTTGTACAATGGGGAAAAAAAGTATTTAGTCAGCCACCAATTGTGCAAGTTCTCCCACTTAAAAAGATGAGAGAGGCCTGTAATTTTCATCATAGGTACACGTCAACTATGACAGACAAATTGAGGAAAAATCCAAAAATCCAGAAAATCACATTGTAGGATTTTTAATGAATTTATTTGCAAATTATGGTGGAAAATAAGTATTTGGTCACCTACAAACAAGCAAGATTTCTGGCTCTCACAGACCTGTAACTTCTTCTTTAAGAGGCTCCTCTGTCCTCCACTCGTTACCTGTATTAATGGCACCTGTTTGAACTTGTTATCAGTATAAAAGACACCTGTCCACAACCTCAAACAGTCACACTCCAAACTCCACTATGGCCAAGACCAAAGAGCTGTCAAAGGACACCAGAAACACAATTGTAGACCTGCACCAGGCTGGGAAGACTGAATCTGCAATAGGTAAGCAGCTTGGTTTGAAGAAATCAACTGTGGGAGCAATTATTAGGAAATGGAAGACATACAAGACCACTGATAATCTCCCTCGATCTGGGGCTCCACGCAAGATCTCACCCTGTGGGGTCAAAATGATCACAAGAACGGTGAGCAAAAATCCCAGAACCACACGGGGGGACCTAGTGACTCAAATCCTGCAGTGCCAGACGTGTCCCCCTGCTTAAGCCAGTACAAGTGTCCAGGCCCATCTGAAGTTTGCTAGAGTGCATTTGGATGATCCAGAAGAGGATTGGGAGAATGTCATATGGTCAGATGAAACCAAAATAGAACTTTTTGGTAAAAACTCAACTCGTCATGTTTGGAGGACAAAGAATGCTGAGTTGCATCCAAAGAACACCATACCTACTGTGAAGCATGGGGGTGGAAACATCATGCTTTGGGGCTGTTTTTCTGCAAAGGGACCAGGACGACTGATCCGTGTAAAGGAAAGAATGAATGGGGCCATGTATCGTGAGATTTTGAGTGAAAACCTCCTTCCATCAGCAAGGGCATTGAAGATGAAACGTGGCTGGGTCTTTCAGCATGACAATGATCCCAAACACACCGCCGGGCAACGAAGGAGTGGCTTCGTAAGAAGCATTTCAAGGTCCTGGAGTGGCCTAGCCAGTCTCCAGATCTCAACCCCATAGAAAATCTTTGGAGGGAGTTGAAAGTCTGTGTTGCCCAGCGACAGCCCCAAAACATCATTGTTCTAGAGGAGATCTGCATGGAGGAATGGGCCAAAATACCAGCAACAGTGTGTGAAAACCTTGTGAAGACTTACAGAAAACGTTTGACCTGTGTCATTGCCAACAAAGGGTATATAACAAACTATTGAGAAACTTTTGTTATTGACCAAATACTTATTTTCCACCATAATTTACAAATAAATTCATAAAAAATCCTACAATGTGATTTTCTGGAGAAAAAAAATCTCATTTTGTCTGTCATAGTTGACGTGTACCTATGATGAAAATTACAGGCCTCTCTCATCTTTTTAAGTGGGAGAACTTGCACAATTGGTGGCTGACTAAATACTTTTTTCCCCCACTGTATATATAGTGTAGTTCATTTATTTTTCTATTTGAGAAAAAGCCTCACATTTTTCGTCAATATTCTACTTGTCTATTCATCGTGTATTTGAATAGGGACAGATAGAAACGCATTGGTTTCTGTATCTATGGTGACATTTTGACAAAAGGGGCAATCTGCAGTTGTTACATCCATTTTTGGACTTATAAATTAATGATATGTACCGATTGATTCTTGAGGAATATAACTTAGAAATGCCTCATGAGCTTAGTTCAACTGTCATACCCCATCAGAACCCAAAATATAAGCTTGTTTTACTCCAATGTTAGTAAACAAAGTAAATGTAAGCAAACTCTATATAGCCTCAAAACATGATTAAAACTATCATTTTGATTTCGTGGATGGTCAGTCCTTGCATCGATATCATTGTCTATGAATTTGAGAGTGGTTACATTTCTCCAGCCCCATCCCTCAGCTTTTTACCGAAACAGGGGTGGCGAGATAGCTTTGTTATTATTTCAACTGCTGATTGCCACTTTAAGTGCTCAGAATACAATACTATGACAAAACATGAAACCCAGTTCCTTCCTTGTTGGTAATTGTGATATCTTTGATTGTAAATCATTTCAGATGTAGCAACACTGAGAGATGCATTGTAAGAATGGCTAAGCTAATAAATAGTAAATAGTCAACACCCTACACTTCTGTGTGACTAAATGCCATGACTAGGCCAGTGCTGACACTATGACTGAGGGGCCACTGCCAGCTAATCACAGACGCCATTGTCCACCTCCACATTATTTTAATACCATAAGTTTCAACCTCCTGCTAATGACTCAGCCCCATCATTCCATCTCTCTCTCTAGTTGTCTCATTCTACCCATCTCCCCCATCTCTCTTTCTCTCGTTCTTTCGTTCTCTCATTTTCTTGATATCTTGTTTTCTAGTTCCATCTCTCCATCTCTCTCTCTCTCTCTCTCTCTCTATATATATATATATATATATATCTATCTCCCTCTCCTCTCTCTCTCTCTATCTCCATCTCTCTCTCTCTCCCCTCTCTACTCTCTCTATCATCTCTCTCTCTCTCTTCTCCCCTCTCTCTCTCTCTCTCTCTCTCTCTCTCTCTCTCTCTCTCTCTCTCTCTCTCTCTCTCTCTCTGCCTCTCTCCTCCATCGTCTCTCGCTCCATCTCTCCATCTCTCTCTCTCTCTCGCCATCCCTCCATCACAATTGAGGTAACTCGGGCCAGTGTAGATACGGACCCAGGGGCGAACAATAGGCCATTCATGATGCCTTGCAAATGCAATGATGATCCTGCTCTCTCTCTCTAACCCCCCCCCCCTCCACCAGCCTCCACAGCTGCACAGGAATGTGGTCCAACAAGTCCCCCCCCCTCCCCTCCCCTCCCCTCCACCCCTTACCCCCCCCCCCCCCCCCCCCCCAAACTTCCACCCGCACCACTATCGCAACCGAAGCCAACCTCAACCCCCTTCCCAAATAAAAAGAGAGAGGGCAAGAAATGGGCAATTCTGCAGATGGAACACAAAGAGAGGATTCATGGCTTTAGTCACAGACACTCACAGGAAGAGAGGGGGACCCATTTAAGTGTTGCGCAGCTGCACTGATTCATTGCAAAAATGGCTGAGGAGAGACAAAGGCCAAGCAGCATAATTTTTTATTCATCCTTCTGGAATCTGCATGAGGCCGTGCACACTAAATCACTAAATCACTAAACTATGAATCACAGCGAGCCATGGCATCAGTATGATATGGCATCAGTATGGTATGACAGTGGTCCTGGGTGGCTCAGTTGGTAGAACATGGCACTTGCAACGTCAGGATTGTAGGTTAGATTCCCACTGAGGCCACCCATACGAAAATGTATGTATGTACTACTACTATAAGTCGCTTTGCATATAGTGTCTGCTATATGGCATCAGTAAGAAGACTGTTTCAATTAATCAGAGCAAATTGTATATCTGGACATGATCTACTAATAATATATATCCTGTATGACGGTTGTATAAAATAAATGTGAATGTTAGTGCCAGGATAGGCTGAGTGTCATAATGTAACATGGAGAAAATCTGTGAGCCATGGAGGGTTAAGGCTACATCTGAACCATGGAGAAGTGGACTGGGGCCTTCCATCCACATCCTCCATTTCCCAGCATGAATGATAAGCCATTTTGTCACTCATAGGGCCTGGTTGTTTATGGTGTTATGAAATTCTTATTTTAGACGCGATATGAATAAATTAGAGCAAGTTGTTAAAAAGCTGTAGAGATTTGGTTCAGAATAGGAGAGGGTCAATTAGGTTTGAGTTCCTTTTAGTTGCTTTGGATGTGGAATTTGTCCTTGAGAACAGTTTAATTCCTGAATTGTCCTGAACCCTGATTGTCGTCAAACATGTTTACAGATGTTCTGGCCAATAGGTATTTGCTGAAATGATTTTGAACAACATATTTGCACCTGTTGCTGTAAAACTGTAAAATTGAAGTGTCAACAAATCATGTAACAATTAATGGGGTAAAACCCCAAACACGTATTAGCTAACTCTGACTGTAAGTACAGAATATTTCCATATTTCAGGAAGCAATAGGTTGTCAAATACAAACATGCTAATGTATGCAATTCCTCCTTGTCATATGGGCTTCTATTGAGTGCGTCATCATTCTGAACAAACACCACCATTCACATCAGCCCTACATGTCCATTGACATGGGAATGACTGTCTTTCCCTCAATTATACATACGACAGTTGAACACAGAATGTGACCCACTGCATGAATATATTGACCGCTGTCCGTGTTCCCTTGTTCTCTCTCTCTCTCTCGTCAGATTTCAGGAATTTCCCAGTGAAACTCTTCTATGGACTGAGGCCAACACAAAAGGGCAGCAATCTCTCTCTATTTCATTCTTTCATTCTCTCATTCTCTTTCTTCTTCTTTTTCTCTTCTATCATTTCACCATCAGCATCCTGTTTTCCAGGACACAAAACTGGATTCACCTCTTTGAATCTTTCTCTGCCACGGCTATCATGCTCTTACATTTTAGAACATGACATCACAATGACATTAACAGTATGTAGCTGCAGGCTTATTGGTTCATTTGCGAGTAAGACATTACATTTTGGGGGGACAGAGCCACAAACATGAACACAAAATGGCTGCAGCTGCCCCATATCACACTACATCCACCTAGGGAGTGAGACATAGTGAATCCTGACCCCTTGAACCTGCTGGTCATGAGTTCCCCATCGTCTCTCTCTCTCCTGCCACAGCAGCATACAGACTCTTGTGACAGGGACAGGGGCAGACACATTAGTGCAGCAGGTCACATGGCAGGTTAAAGCAGGGATGTATGAGTCACTGTGGTTAATAGATGGACATGTGAGTTCTATTTTCCACAGAGCTATGTCAGCCCCTGGGGGCCCATAGCCCTGGATGGGAGAGATGGGATCGAGATAGGAGAAAGATATGGATAATATCTCTCTATGTTATATGAAAATATTAACTTTGTACAAAAATGTACATAATTCATTGTATTGTTAAGCACATTCAGTCCCTTATCTTGTGTAAAGTGGAACAAACAAAATATTGAGCAAAATACATATACAAACCATTCAAATGGACTTTCATTAAAATAAATAGGTTCACATCAATATTTTGGCAAGAAGTCTTAGTAGTAGCCTATAGAATATGTCTTATAGTTGACTATAAACAGACAGAGAATAATTATATTTAGGCAATAAAGTTCCACTCAACTTTATTTTTCTGAAAACCCCAAGTTCTTATAATTACTAGCTATTGAAATAATGTATTTCAAAGACAATATTTAATCAAACGAATGTTAACTTATACATTCAAAAACGGATCATCTTTTGCATTTAAATCGTTTATAATAATCGACTGATTAGGCCTAAAAATAATAGATTGCAAGTATGTCATTGTTGAGAAAAGAATCGAAAGTGAAATGAAAATCGAACGAAAGTTATTTGGAAAAATACAGTGGGATAACCTTTTTGGTAGGCCTCCTTTTAAAGTTGATTACAACTCGTTTCTCGTATAGGCCTAGTTGTTCATTCATTTGATCTATCTTTCGTGCGTTTCTCCCACACTATCGAGACAATTGTTTTTAGAGGAATTTACACAACTTATAGACTATATATATATATATATATGTATGCATTTCTCCACGATTAATGCTACGACCATGAATAACATATTATGAAGATTCTGATTGAACTGACCCGGTGATAGGCCTATGTGTAGCATTGAGAGTTTCGGTGCGTTATTTACAGGAATTCTGAACAGAATGAAACCATTTCTAGAAGACCAATAACATTTATCATAAATAATTGACTGAAGTAACTATTCTGGCATAGCATTGCTGCATAATCTCAGTGTTATGAAAATATAAAATAAAATGGCAGTTTTACTAAATTAAGACAATTGTAAAGCAGGTGCTTATTTCGTTAGTTAATGGTATGTTCAGAATTTCTAGAATATTTAACGCTATTTTTGTCAACGAAAAAAAATAAGGATTGCATGGGAATTTACAAAATAATGACAACTTGAATCACTGCTAATTAACAATGTACTTTTAATTTGGTGTTTCTCTAAAAAACGTTTCGTTTTAAATAAATTCAAACATCTTTGAATTTATGTTTTACTAACTTTTTACAATCTAGTTTACAAGCCTTTCAGAAATATTTTTCTATTGGGAATACTCTCAGTAAACATCTTGCATCCACATAAAAAATAATACCATGCCCTGCATAAATTCACAATGATTTTTATTGCACCTAATGTATAATATATCATAGCATACAGCACAGTCACTCTGAATCACAAAATACATATCACAATTAATTCCAACTTGCTCTTAGTCTGTCAAATTCCGTTGATTGCTTATATAAATCAACATAAAATCAAACCTTTTGTCAGCATACTATTATCTAATGCATTTTCTTTAAACTCCTCTCTCTCATACACAAACAGAAGCAGTCACTCACATCAAGGCCAGGACAGGGCCTCAGTATCCCAGTGTAGTCAGAGGGGTGTATGTAGCCCCCATCCTGAATCGTGCACCCCCAACCAACCCCTCTCGGACGAACCCACCAAGGCTAGCACCCAAAGGCCCAGGCCCATGGTCTCGGTGGACATGGCAATAAAACAGATGGAGAGAGATCCATGTGTCCAGCTAGTGCAGTCCTTGGATGTTGTGTTATGTGTGAGATACTGTGTCTGTGTGGTAACACAGGGCCCCAGAGACACACATCTCTTTCTTTTCTGTTATCATTTTTTCAAGATGCACAAAACTGCTTTTTGTTCGTCTCATTTTTTCATTTAGAGGGCTAATGGAATGAGGCTTGCAGGGCGTCTGATCACATGGTTACAATTCACCTGAGATGACAACAAAGAGTCTAAAGAAGAGAGAGAAGAGAGGGAGAGAGGGAGAGAGGGAGCGGGAGAAAACTGAGACACGGATTCAACATGAGAAGGAAAAGGGAAACACTGGGGGTTATTGTTGCAGTCAGTGTGTTTGTGTGTGTGTGTCTTTAGCCCGTAATACTCAGTCCCTGAATCTATCTTAACGTGTGTGAAATGTACTTGTATACTGTAAATATCTGACATATTAACATATTAACGACTACAAGTAAAAGTTACATAGAATGCAGCCAGTTACAGTAACAATACATTCAATGCAGTAAACATCATGAATGATTCGACCTCAACAGCACAACCTTACACACAGAACCCTCTGGATCTTGACAAGTATTTTAGATGCATATATACTATTATTAAGTGACATCCAAAAGCAATTTGGAAGAGCAATATCGGAAGTGAGAAGAGTTCTGTGTTTCATAGAGTATAAGCCTAAAAGGTCACGTACATTGACCTCAGGATTGGGTCCATAAAGCCCTTATTTCTGGTCAACAATATGAGGATGATGATTTTGGATCTAATTCAACTCCTCCAGCAACTCACTCTACCCTATATCCCTTTTTGTCCTCTTTCAGTACTATATCAGCCATAGGCAGAGGTGGAAATGTACCCAATTGTCATACTTGAGTAAAAGTAAAGATACCTTAATCGAAAATGACTCAAGTAAAAGTGAAAGTCACCCAGTAAAATAATACTTAAAGTATCTAAAAGTATTTGGTTTTAAATATACTTAAGTATCAAAAGTAAATGGCTTTGCAAAAATATACTTAAGTATCAAAAGTAAAAGTAAAAGTATAAATAATTGCACATTTCTTATATTAAGCAAACTAGACAGCACGATTTTCTTGTTTTTATTTATTTATAGATAGCCAGGGGAACACTTGAATGCTTAGGCAATAATTTACAAACGAAGCATTTGTGTTTAGTGAGTCCTCCAGATCAGAGGCAGTAGGGATGACCAGGGATGTTCCATTGATAAGTGCGTGAATTGGACCATTTTCCTGTCCTGCTAAGCATTCGAAATGTAACGAGTACTTTCGGGTGTCAGAGAAAATGTATGGAGTACAAAGTTCATTATTTTGTTTAGGAATGTAGTGGAGTAAAAGTAAAAGTTGTATAAAATATAAATAGTAAAGGAAACTACAGATACCCACAAAAACTACTTAAGTAGTACTTTGAAATATTTTTTACTTAAGTACCTTACCATAGACCTAATTCTTTCATAATTATTTTTCTGGGGTTAACGATAACCTAGATATAAGTAACATATTCACTGCATGAAATAGGACCTCACGAACTGTATAATGATGTTATAATGCATATAATGACGTTATAATGCATTATAATCCCTTGGAGATTTTTCGTGAACTTTAGTGTAATTTGACCACAAATAAGTCTTGTCACGATTGTTTATTTATTCAATATAACATGTCAACACATCAAACAAAGCGGGCCTTATTTGGTTGCTAAATAGAGCCAGTATAAAGTCACTTAAACTACTCTGATGTAAAATCTCACCTCCTTTCATTGGAAATATTACTTGTGACGGACAGACAGGCAATAACAGTAACCCCGTCGTCCAGTAAGAAAGCCGGAGAATATTAAATGACCAATAGGCGTCCAGCGTGTGAGCAAGAGGGTGGTGTCGACTCAGTGTTGGAATGCTGCGTCTCAGAATGTTTTCCACTTTCAATCACTTTTTTTTCTCGTTCCTTCTCACAACGGAGCTCTTTAAGCTCCGGTGCGCGACACAGAGCGGCCATTCATTGAAGGGCAAACCGAACGAGGGGGCAGGGGACGGAGCGCGAGCGTCACACCGGTGGACAGGGGAACGCACAAACTCGTGTGTTGAACGGGCGACCTCCTAAACTCTGCATTGGTACGTTTTTTAACTTTATTTTCCATATGAACATAACATAGACTTGTTTACGCTTTTGGGTGGAATTTCTGAAATATCCTAATCTTATTAGCTAAGAGGTTTTTTTAATTCCCAAGATGATGTTGGGCTGAGTTTTACGGGCTTTTATCAGCTTTAGCCTTAAAATAGGATTAAAACAGTAAACTACATATTCTCAGAATGATTTAAAGATAAATACTGAAACATTTAGGATGTTCGTTGTTAATGTTCAGTTTTCTTTATGAACCTTGGTTATTTGTAAAATAGGTCATATTGGGTGAAGCAAACATTCCTATTATTAGCCTAAAATGACAAGAACCGGTGGATTTGGTCTTCTTCTTATGTATCCTATAAATTGGTTCCAGTTGACATATATTAGCCTATCTTTCGTACATTTTTTGTGGCCTAAAATAACTGTAAACAAGACAACACTGTATGAATGCCTTTCTGTTCCTCTCAGAGCTAACGGTCATTTCTAGGCCTACCATTGTAATGAAAATATCCTCTGGGAATAGACGTTGAACTGACGTCTGTTCCCAGTGGGTACAGTTTCTGCCTTGGTCTATATATGATTTGTTTTATATATATTTTAAAAGTTGCATTAAATGGTGTCTGACTTCATTGCCCAATGTAAAATGTGTTAATTGCCTAATTTTGTTATATTCTATATTATTCATTTCAGGCGACATCGGTGGAAGTGAATGGGAAGTGCAAAGGACAGGATTTGGGTACATTCGATTACGCACGAGTAGGCTATGGGTTTACGCGTGGCATATAGGAAGAATTCCATATAAAGGAGCGAGTCCGGAGCACATCTCACAGCTGTAGCCTAAAGTTTTGTATTCTCTGAACAACTTGATTAATTTACCTAATTTTCCTGCAAGGATATTTTTGTTGCCAATCGATAATAGCCTATACATTAAAATGTCTGGAGAGGAGCACAGCCTATCCGAGGCAGAGTTGAGTCCCGGGGGCTCAGATGATGGTCACTCTCTGTCACCGGCACACTCCGGGGCCACCGGCGGCCGGGACTCCCCGCTCATCGGTCCGTCGCAGCAACTGACGGGGCTTTCTGGCGCAGATGGCGGCGGAGAAGATGGTGGACTAGTGCCCAAGTCAGAGGTGGATATGGACCGGTTCCCCATCGGCATCCGCGAGGCGGTCAGCCAGGTGCTCGATGGATACGACTGGACGCTCGTACCCATGCCCGTGCGAGTAAACAACGGGAACAAGAGCAAGCCGCACGTGAAGAGGCCCATGAACGCCTTCATGGTGTGGGCGCAGGCCGCGCGCCGTAAACTGGCGGACCAGTACCCTCACCTGCACAACGCGGAGCTCAGCAAGACACTTGGCAAACTGTGGAGGTGGGCATTGGCAGGGAATTGGAATGAATAGGCCTACGTGGGAAATTGATAATCTATAAACTACCCATAGGCCTTGTTGGCGTTTGTGTGTAATTGAAGCATGACTCATGCAGTAAAGTCCTACTTCCTTCAGATACATTTCCTGCCTGTATTTTATAAATATGTTTCTGAAATTAAAGGCATATTATATAACCATTATATTTAAGTTATTTAGCAGACACACTTATCCAGAGCAACTAGGGTTAAGTGCCTTGGTAAAGGGCACATCTACAGATTATTCACCTAGTCAGCATGGGGATTCAAACCAGTGACCTTTCAGTTACTGGACCAACCCTCTTAACAACTAGGCTACCTGCTGCCCTGCCATGACCATGTTTTGTCCCACAGGCTCCTGAATGAGAGTGACAAGAGGCCTTTCATTGAGGAGGCGGAGCGACTGAGGAAACAACATAAGAAGGACTACCCAGAGTACAAGTACCAGCCCCGCAGACGCAAGAACGGCAAGCTGGGGACCAATGGTGAGGGAGGGGAGGGAGCAGAGGGGGAGGGCAGCCACGCCCAGCCCCATTACAAGACCCTCCACCTGGATGTGCACAGTACAGGGGCTGGGTCCCCCCTGGCCGACCTCCACCACCATCATCACCACCCTGCAGGTGAGCTCAACTTTATTTGTTAGTGAATTTACCCAATACTCTGAGTAAGTCCTACTTCAACTAGCCAGGGCAAACAACAGGCCACCTGGTACCAAACGGCCTTCTGTAACCTCAGAGACCAAGATGAAAACAGAACTACTGTCTCCATTCGAAATGTTTCACTTCTATTGCTTTGCTGATTGGTTGTCCCCTTTTCCTTCCAGGTCAGGGCCCGCCGACACCCCCCACCACCCCAAAGACAGAGCTCCAGTCTGGGAAGATGGCGGAGGGGAAGAGGGAGGGCGGAGGTGGCTCAGGGTCCTCCCGTGGAGGAGGCCTGGGGGTAGGAGCAGAGGCCTCTGGTGGCCCTTCATCAGCGGGCGGGAAACCCCACATCGACTTCTGCACCATGGACATCGGCGAGATCAGCCACGACGTGATGGCCAACATCGAGCCCTTCGACGTCAACGAGTTTGACCAATACCTGCCGCCTAACGGGCACCCGGGGGTCGGCCAGGGCGGCGGTGTCACACCAAGCTCCTCTGCTACATCCTACGCCTACGCCCTGGCTGCTGCCAGCGGTCACTCAGCCGCCTGGCTCTCCAAGCAGCAGCATCAACAGGCCTCCCCCTCTGCCTCAGACCCCACCAAGGCCCAGATCAAGAGTGAGTCCGGAGCCGGGAGCCACTACGCAGAGACCTCCTCCTCCTCGTCAGGAACCCACGTCACCTACACCCCCCTCAGCCTCCCCCACTACGGATCAGCCTTCCCCTCGCTGGCCTCCAGGGCCCAGTTTGAGTACGGGGAGCACCAGGCGCCGGGGCCGTACTACGCCCACTCCAGCCAGGCCCCGGGGCTGTACTCAGCCTTCTCCTACATGGGGCCCAGCCAGAGGCCCCTCTACACTACCATCACTGACCCCTCCAGCGTGGCCCAGTCTCACAGTCCTACACACTGGGAGCAGCCTGTCTATACCACCCTGTCACGGCCATGAGAGAGACTGAGATGCATGGGATAGGATGTGTGCGTGTGTGTCTCTACACCACCATAGAGAAAGACAAAGATTGGAAGGGTGTAGGGCGGCTACTGAGTGTGTGTGTGTGTGTGTGTGTGTGTGTGTGTGTGTGTGTGTGTGTGTGTGTGCGTGTATATGTGTGTGTGTGTGGGGCGGGTTAACAAAGGATGGATATCTTACTGATGTTGTATTGGGATTCATTGGGACTTGACAGTGCATCCATGGAGGCCTTATAATCTTTTACTGTATAGTATATTTTCTATCACAGCCAATGGTCAATAGCCAATCAGAATAAACCTTTAACCAATGTGTGCCATGTTTTAGTGTGTAAGGTCAGGATCCCAGCTGCCATGGAGGCATAGTGTATAGTAAGAAAGCTTATCGTGATGATGAGCCCAGAGTTCACAGAATCAATACCGTAGTGGTAAGAAGGATACCCATAGGGTTGCAAAATGCTTGTAACCTTCCTCAAATTCCCCAGATTCCAGAAATCCTAGTTGTAAATTCCTGGAATTAGGAGGGAATAAGCAGGATATCCAGGAATCCTCCTACTGGGAAATTTTGGGAAAGTTATCGGAATTTTGCAACCCTAGCTACCTATATCACAAGGATTGAGTGACAGTGCCAGCGAGGACTGGCTTTGGGCGGGTTTCGACTGGCTATCAGCCTAGGCTTGACAAGAACAAATACAACGTGACGTTTATCAGAACTGGGTTGTTTTAGATTGAAATAATCCAATTCTATTAACCAAACTAAAGGAAATGTTTGTGTGACGTCATTTTAGTATTTTTTTATGACTTAAGTGATGTATTGTTTTTGTATTTTTTATATGACTTTACATGTTCTGGTTTGATATTACACTGCCATGGCTTCACCACTGCTTTTGAAAGAAAATGTTTATTTAAAATTCCTGAGTTTACTTGGCCAATAACTTTATGCTTTGGTTTATGGGCGTCAGGTAACCTAGCCAGTGCGTTAGGCCAATACCTGAAAGGTTGCCGGTTTGAAACCCTGAGCCGGCAAGGTGGAAAAATCTGCTGTTCTGCCCTTGAGCAAGGCAGTTAACCTGCAACAACTACCCCCCGGGAGCCATGGACGTCAATTAAGGCAGCCCCCCTGCACATCTCTGATTCAAAGGGTTTGGGTTAAATGTGGAAGACACAGTTGAATGCATTCAGTTGTGCAACTGACTAGGTATCCCCTTCTGGGATGCTGCTTGACTCCTTATGAATTGCATTGTGCTAAACCATAGTTGATGGGAAAAAAAGAGGGAAAGAGAATGATTGGAAACACTTTAGCTTACAGTTCTGGAAATCATTACATTACCTCAACTCAATGTACATGTGCCAATAATATGCCAATAACACTTTACATGCTCAAATAACCTTGATAAGAATATATGGCACACATTTCGCTTATACTACTCATAAATAATAAAACATTGTTGAAGTCACTGGACTTTTTTATTGATATTGATTGCATTGTACCCTCTGGTTGCTTCTAATTCCATTTGTTTACCAAATTATCAAAGCAAAACAATCTACATGATTCAGCAAGTACAAAGTCTGCAAAATTTTTGTGAGAATTCTCCAGCTTTAAACTAAAGATTTTGTGAGCTATTTAGAACAAGTGCCACATGCTATAGTTTATGTACATAGGTTTTCCCCTCTGCATCTCCCTTTTCTGTATCCTGTTTAATGTCCCTCTCTGCTCCCTCTGCAATGTGAATGATCACCACATGCCTCTTCTTCCATAGGTGATTTATACTGAGTCATTTTATACTGACCCTCTCTGCTTTGTAGTTTTAATTTAAAACAATTTCACGTTTAGCTTTTTTTCAGTTTTGTACAATTCTGGATCGTTTCTAAAACGTTGTATGCTACACATTTGATGTATCTGCTTTCTTCTACAAGAAACAACAATGTACAAATATTATTGATGTTGTCATTACGTTGTCATTCTATTAAAGCAATTTATTTATACAAAACTGAAATTGATTGGATATGATTTGGAAAGGCACACACCTGTCTATATAAGGTCCCACAGTTCGCAGTGCATGTCAGAGCAAAAACCAAGATATGAGGTCGAAGGAATTGTCCGTAGAGCTCCGAGACAGGATTGTGTCGAAGGCACAGATCTGTGAAGGGTACCTAAATATTACTGCAGCATTGAAAGTCCCCAGGAACACAGTGGCCTCCATCATTCTTAAAAGAAGGAAGTATAGAACCACCAAGACTATTCGTAGAGCTGACCACCCGGCCAAATTGAGCAATCGGGGAAGAAGGGCCTTGGTCAGGGAGGTGACCAAGAACCCGATGGTCACTCCGACAGAGCTCCAGAGTTCCTCTGTGGAGATGGGAGAACCTTCCAGAAGGACAACAATCTCTGCAGCACTCCACCAATCAGGCCTTTATGGTAGAGTGGCCAGGCGGAAGCCACTCCTCAGTACAAGGCACATGACAGCTGGCTTGGAGTTTGCCAAAAGGCACCTAAAGGACTCTCAGACCATGAGAAACAATTCTCTGGTCTGATTAAACCAAGATTGAACTCTTTGGCCTGAATACCAAGCATCACATCTGGAGGAAACTTGGCACCATCCCTACAGTGAAGCATGGTGGCAGCATCATGCTGTGGGGATGTTTTTCAGCTGCAGGGACTGCGAGACTAGTCAATTACAGAGAGATCCTTGATGAAAACCTGCTCCAGAGCGCTGATGACCTCAAACTGGGGAGAAGGTTCACCTTCCAACAGGACAACGACCCTAGGCACACAGCCAAGGCAACACAGGAGTGGCTTCGGGACAAGTCTCTGAATGTCCTTGAGTGGCCCAGCCAGAGCCCGGACTTGAACCCGATCAAACATCACTGGAGAGACCTGAAAATAGCTGTGCAGTGACACTCCCCATCCAACCTGACAGAGCTTGAGAGGACCTGCAGAGAAGAATAGGAGACACTCCCCAAATACAGGTGTGCCAAGCTTGTAGCATAAAACCAAAGAAGACTCCAGGCTGTAATCACTGCCAAAGGTGCTTCAACAAAGTACCGAGTAAAGTACCAGGGTCTGAATACTTATGTAAATGCTATATTTCAGTTTTTTATTTTTAATAAATTTGTCAAAAATTCTAAAAACCTGTTTTTGATTTGTCATTATGGGGTATTGTGTGTAGATTGATAAGGGAAAAAACGATTTAATCCATTTTAGAATAAGGCTGTAAAGTAACAAAATGTGAATACTTTCCGAATGCACTGCAAACAGCACTAATAAATCAAATCTCTGCCATGTACAGTCAGTGCGACAACAACAAGATCTCTGTCCCACAACACAAGCCCTTCCCCTAAGCAGTTTAATTTCTGTTTGTGTGTGTGGCAAGCTAAAATTGACAGCTAATTCCCTGCGTTTAATCGGCTGAGGCTGCATGTTACTCAGAGAGACAAAGAGAACCATTGAATATGAGAGAGAGGGAGGGAGGGAGCTAGATGGGGAGAGGGCCAGTGAGAAGGCCAATAGCTGCCACAGTCAGTACGCTACTTTACACATGGACTTTCATAAATGCCCGGCCGGAGGGATTTAACCCTCCCTCCATCCCCCTCTCTCTTCCTCGTGCCCTCCCTCTCTACGTTTACTCTCACTTCACAGTTCAGCTACGAAATCTAATGGATTCAAGCATTCAACAGCAGTCAGCAACCTAGATGGTGGGGTAAAAAAATTGATGTTTTAGCTAGTTAGACAGTCTCACAATGCACAATTTGATACCCAAACTCTTTAGATTGATAAATCATGTGCCATGCTTTACACAGTTGAGACTTGAGACAAGAGACACAAATAGAAAACGTTTAAAATAGAAGTTATACTCAAACACATTATTGCACAAAAATGAACACTTCATTTTTCAATAGCTCTATATGCCTCGTACAATTATCTCTGTGGTTTTGCCTCCCCCTAGTGGGCCAATGTTGTACTGCAAGACCAAATGCCTCATCACGTGGCTTTGAGACCCATGGTTTCTATGGCAACCGCCAGTTGTGTCCGGAAGAAACGCTGCCATCATTATCCCATGGTGCAGCATCAAGAAAGTTGAGGAAAATAGAAATCCATGGTAAGAAATACAACACTGTGAAGTTATGTCTTGATAAATAGTTTGCATGTTTGCAGTTTGGGTAGCTTAGCTTCCTAACAAGCAACGTTTTGCTATCTGCCATGGCCTTTGTGCAGCAGCAGCTAACGCGTTATTCGTTGTAGATGGAGACGTCTTCTCGTGGTCCAGCTGGTGGAGGTCTGTGGAACTGTCCTAGAGGGACCCAGTACAGCAAGGAGACTCAGGAGATGCTGAAATGTGGGGGTTTGTTCTCTCTCTGTGTGTGTGTGTGTGAGTTTGTAGACTTTAGATCCATACCAGTGGAGGCTACTGAGGGGAGGACGGCTCATAATGATGGCTGAAACGGAGCAAATGGAATGGCATCAAACACCTGGAAACCATATGTTTGATATCATTCCACTGATTCTGCTCCAGCCATTACCACGAGCCGTCCTCCCCAATTAAGGTGTCACCAACCTTCTGTGATCCACACAAATACAATAGGCCATCTTGTGCACTGGTTTTACAGTGATGATGCAAGAGTCGAGACTCACCAACTTCCAGCAAAGACAGATCAATGACAAACTAAAGAGTGAGTGTCACATGTTTGTTATACATCTTCTCTTGAAAAGTAATGCTGACTTACTGCTTGAACTTCCTCCACAGCTGTTGCTCCATTATGAGTCCTAACATTCATTTTCAAGTATTATGAAACATTTTGCCAAACAAAGGTAAGATAATGTTGTGATGTTTTTTGTTTTTTTTTGTCTGCATTTTCAACAGAGGGAGCAGCTTTGCCATTGACCTGTAACCCCACATCATCGGCTCTTCCCTCACTGCCCAAACCCAAAGTCGTAAAAAATAGCACGACCCGCACTCCAGCCAAGCCCCTGAGGCGCTCCGCTGACAATTGTAGTTCTGGGGACAACTACACCAGAGAAAGGTTCCGCCCCAGTGCCACACGTATGTGTTCTGCTTCAGCTCTACCACCTTTGAACTGTCCGAGATGCTTGGTATTCTATTGATAGAGGCCCTCCTCTTCTGATATCAGAACTAGTTCACTGATAGTAGGTCAGGGACACCTGGGAACAAATGTACCACCACGCTCTATTCTTGTAAAAAAAGAAAATGTAATTTAGGCCTATGTGTATGAGCCTTCTTTTACAGTAGTTTCCCTCTCAATTTCTTTCTTTCTCTCACTCTCCTCTCTCTTCTGATTCAGAGGGGTTGGGTTAAATGCGGAAGACACATTTCAGTTGAATGCACTCAGTTGTACAACTGACTAGGTATCCCCCTTTCCCTTTCCTTCTATGAGAGATCTGGATAAGAAGAGGTGTATGTGCATTCATTCTCTCCCTCACCTTTTCTCCTGTAAGGAGATTTAGAGAAGGAGAAGAGGAGGCTCCAGAACATTCTAGCTACGGGGCAGGAGGAGCCCAGACCCAGTCCCAGGAACATTTCCCTGGACCAGGGCCCAGAGGAGGAGAGGGACCGCTTCCAGGAGGGTGAGGTTTACCACAGAGAGGGAGAGAGTTACTGCTTTCTGACCATGGGCAAACATGTTGTCCACATCTCTGGCTCTCCTACATGTTTTCTATATATCTTTCCTCCTCACATACATCACTTTCCCCTAATTTCAATTCAGTTCCATATGACTCTACTAAATTACTAAAGTAATTTACCCCAACCTACTGTAACCCCATTCCAACACAGCGTTTGATCAAAGAGTTTCTCCTTGGTTTGATGTACGGTCTTTGCAAGTTTTCAAAGGGTTGTGTTCCTTTCCTAGTTTTGGGTGAGATTGAGGAGAGGAGGGGGTTTCTGGAGGAGATGACGGCCCTGGGGAAAGGGAAGCAGTACCACAACATCATCAACACAGAGATCTCACAGGTAAGTTGTCTCATATACCTCATGTCACAGGAATGTCTTTAAGGAAAATAATCTACACCCAACAACAAAAGTATTTACATTGTACTGTTTCGATGACGATACAGATTCATTGGTGAACACAATGTGGAATAACACACATACAGTACCAGTCAAAAGTTTGGACACACCTACTCATTCCAGGGTTTTTCTTTATTTTTACTATTTTCTACATTGTAGAATAATAGTGAAGACATCAAAACTATGAAATAACACATATGGAATCATGGATAACCAAAAAAAAGTGTTAAACAAATCAAAATATATTTTATATTTGAGATTCTTCAAAGTAGCCACCCTTTGCCTTGATGACAGCTTTGCACACTCTTGGCATTCTCTCAACCAGATTCAACAGTCTTGAAGGAGTTCCCACATATGCTGAGCACTTGTTGGCTGCTTTTCCTTCACTCTGCGGTCCAACTCATCCCAAACCATCTCAATTGGGTTGAGGTCGGGTGATTGTGGAGGCCAGGTCATCTGATGCAGCACTCCATCACTCTCCTTCTTGGTCAAATAGCCCTTACACAGCCTGGAGGTGTGTTTTGGGTCATTGTCCTGTTGAAAAACAAATGATAGTCCCACTAAGCGCAAACCAGATGGGATGGCGTATCGCTGCAGAATGCTGTGGTAGCCATGCTGGTTAAGTGTGCCTTGAATTCTAAATAAATCACAGACAGTGTCACCAGCAAAGCACCCCCACCCTATCACACCTCCTCCTCCATACTTCACGGTGGGAACCACACATGCGGAGATCATCCGTTCACCTACTCTGCGTCTCACAAAGACACAGCGGTTGGAACCAAGAATCTCACATTTGGACTCATCAGACCAAAGGACAGATTTCCACCGGTCTAATGTCCATTGCTCGTGTTTCTTGGCCCAAGCAAGTCTCTTATTATTATTATTGATGTCCTTTAGTAGTGGTTTCTTTGCAGCAATTCAACCATGAAGGCCTGATTCACGCAGTCTCCTCTGAACAGTTGATGTTGAGATGTGTCTGTTACCTGAACTCTGTGAAGCATTTATTTGGGCTGCAATTTCTGAGGCTGGTAACTCTAATGAACTTATCCTCTGCAGCAGAGGTAACTCTGGGTCTTCCTTTCCTGTGGCGGTCCTCATGAGGGCCAGTTTCATCATAGCGCTTGATGGTTTTTGCGACTGCACTTGAAAAAACTTTCAAAGTTCTTGAAATGTTCCGTATTGACTGACCTACATGTCTTAAAGTAATGATGGACTGTCGTTTCTCTTTGCTTATTTGAGATGTTCTTGCCATAATATGTACTTGGTCTTTTACCAAATAGGGCTATCTTCTGTATACCACCCCTACCTTGTCACAACACAACTGATTGGCTCAAACGCATTAAGAAGGAAATTAATTAACTTTGAACAAGGCACACCTGTTAATTGAAATGCATTCCAGGTGACTACCTCATGAAGCTGGTTGAGAGAATGCCAAGATGTGCAAAGCTGTCATCAAGGCAAAGGGTGGCTACTTTGAAGAATCTCAAATATAAAATATATAATTTATTTAACACTTTTTTGGTTACTACATGATTCCATATGTGTTATTTCATAGTTTTGATGTCATCACTATTATTCTACAATGTAGAAAATAGTAAAAATAAAGAAAAACCCTGGAATGAGTAGGTGTTCTAAAACTTTTGACTGGTACTATAGGTACATTCTCTCTCTCTTACACATTTTTTACGGTTATTTGTGTCTCCTCACCTTCCAGAAAATCCATGAGCTGGAGGTGATTGACAAGGCCCGCAGTGCAGAGCTGAGGACCATGATGCCAGAGAAGAAGACTGAGTGACAGAAAGGAATACTCATCTACCCCAACTCTGCTGAATGGATCTACTCTACTGCTAATACTGCTACAGAAAATACACTACTGCACAGGAATTCTGAACTCAAACTTGGATACTAGTCTTAATTTCAGCATAATGCGTGTTCAAATGATGGCATGGTATCATAAATGTTGCTGGGAAGACACCAATGCATCCTTATCAAACTGAAAAATCATTGTAGTGTACATTCAAACATGACCAAACAGACATCTTTTTAGTTGCATTAATATGTTTTATTTCTCAGTCTCCCATATTTCAATGCGATCCTGTTGTTTCTTTAGGACAGTGTTTTAACATAGCTATACAGAAGCCCTTGGTTTGAGTTCAATAGGAAGAAGAGGCACAAAGACAGGAAGAGACAGACATGGAAATACACTGACTAACAGAATGCACAAATAGACAGACAAGTAGCCATTTTGAATGGAAGACAAGATCGTGGAGAGAGAGAGAGACAATGACAACTAGACAATATACGAACAGACTATAACAAGACATTCAGTTTAACTTAGGACAAAAACAAGACTTATTGACAAATACATTTAAATAATGGCACTCTTAACATACAAAACGGATCTCATAGTACTATCGACTTTGACAGCCAATTCTAAGTTAAGGCAAAACTCAATGGAATTAGACAGCGTTTACAGAGTAAAACAAAGAAAGGTATTGTAAAATATATAAATTAAAAGATTTGCATATTTTGCAGGCTTTCCCGAAACAGTTAAACTGATATCAACTGGTAGGTACTAATAGTTTGCTACATTGTTAAAAGATATCTACAGAATATATAATTTATATACACACACACACACACACACACACAGAGTGTACAAAACATTAGGAACACCTGCTCTTTCCATGACATAGACTGACCAGGTGAACCCAGGTGAAAGCTATGATCCCTTATTGATGTCACTTGTTAAATCCATTTCAATCAGTGTAGATGAAGGGGAGACAGGTTGAAGAAGGATTTTTAAGCCTTGAAACAATTGAGACATGGATTGTGTATGTGTGCCATTCAGAGGGTGAATGGGCAAGACAAAAGATTGAAGTGCTTTTGAACGAGGTATGGTAATAGGTGCCAGGCGCACCGGTTTGTGTCAAGAACTGCAACACTGCTGTTTTTTTAAATACTGAACCGTTTCCCGTGTCTATCAAGAATGGTCCACCACCCAAAGGACATCCAGCCAACTTGACACAACTGTGGGAAGCATTGGAGTCAACATGGGCCAGCATCCTGGTGGAACGCTTTCAACACCTTGTAGAGTCCATGCCCCGACAAATTGAGGCTGTTCTGAGGGCAAAAGGGGGTGCAACCCAATATTAGGAAGGTGTTCTTAATGTTTTGTACACTCACTGCATATGCATATGCATATATATATATATATATATATATATATATATATATATATATATATATATATATATATATATATATATATATATATATATATATATATATATATAATATATATATATATATATATATATAATGCAATCCTTATTGCATAATGTAGCCCCTAGAATAGTTCACACTTGTTTCGGTTGTAAATCTTGTCAGGTTCAGTAATACTAATAAGTCATACAACTATGTTAGTCAAATACAGTGCTTTAAAGTCCTCTTTTAAAGTAATTACATACATTCCATCTGAACTATTTCTATCCTGTCTTTCTCATGTCTTACTCTCAGACCATGATTATCCAACCCTAAACATTGTCCGATTTAATATCTACAGTCCAATAGTCAGTGATTTGGAAAACATAAGTAGCTAGTAAAGAAATAACCTTTTCGCTAAAAGCTACAGTAATTATTTGGGTTCTCATTTCTCCATCTTAACTGGCAGTCTTAACATGATGTATTTACTCACAACAACAGGTTCCTCTTTTAAAAGATTCACAATAGTTCAGAAGTACCACAGACTCAAACCAGACAACTGACTGACACATACAACTCTTAGTTCTATATCAAATCTACAGACAATGAGACATACGCAACGTCCACGAACAAATGAAAAACCTTATGACCACTGAATAAGCAGGAGATGTTGAGGGAGTGTTCTTCTTTAGTTTCTATCATGATAAGAGACTGATAAATGGTAAAAAACCTGCAGTCATAGTATTTATATCTTTGTTAAAAGCCGATTTAAAAAGGCCTGGGTCACAATGTGCAAAGTAACAATGAAAAGGGATAGAAGCATCCGCATACTGCACTGAACATCAAATATACAGTATATATACCTCCTCTTCAATTCAGTCTTTAGAAGTTTCTTAAGCTTTGTCTTAAAGCAGTTGAGTTCTCTTAACTTTCTCTTCACCCAAAGGCAACTTCAAATATATACAGTACAGAAAACATTGGAGTGGCTGTATTTGGAAGAGCATCATGGGAGCTACAGTAGGGAGCAGAGTATGTGAGCGGAGTGGAGCTGGAGCGAAGCGATCCCAATTTGACTGGAGCTCGGAGCGAGATTCCCAAAGGCTGGAGCGTCGGCCTTCTCGCCCGCCCGCTCCAATATCGCTGCAGTAGCGCTCACTTCACAAGCTCAGGGCATGCCCGGCCCAGCATGCATTTGTAGTCTACTTGTGTGCTGCTATAGCCCCTTGCTTTAGCTACTGTCATGGAGTTCGCTAAATATTTTCATAAAGAAACTGATATAACACACAGGTGCTAAATCAAGGTGACTTACAAAGATGAGGACCAAGAGCAAGAGAGGGAGTGCGGTGATGTGGTGTCCACAACTAAATAATCATTGTGGAATCTGAAAAGACACGTATCCCGAAAGCATGATGGTGTACTTACTATATGCACATGGTAAAAGAAAGGAACGAGGTGGGTAGATAACTAAGTGTGTCATTGTAGCAAAGTATTTATACACTAAAAATCACTATTATCTATACAATAGGCCGTAATTGATTTTGGCCCAATAGGCCTGGCATATTCCCACGTTCAATAAGCTTTCCGTTTTGATCGGGTTATTTTGCCTAAAAACCTTTAGGCCTACCTATGGTAAAAAAATTAAAAACAACTCTGCATCTCTGCCCAGCCTGGCAAGAATGGCCAAAAGGGTGTTTAGCATCCACAGTGGCTCTACAAGTGAGGAGAGGATTTTCTCCGATGCTGGCCTGCTCTCCAGGCACCATCGCATGAGCCTGAAGCCACATACTGGCCAAACTCGTGTTTCTAAAAATGAATTCTAAAAATAAATTTAAAGGCACTAATAAGTCATTTTTTTGTTTAATTTGTATTTAATTCTAAGTAAGTCCCAGCCTATATGCGAAATGTATAGACTATAATGATCAAATACAACGAAATGTTTAAATGCTGAGCACCTTATGTCCCTACCAATCTATTGTGTCGCACTCGCAAATGATTCACAATGTATTTCTTTGTAGGCTATAGCCTTGAAATATTTGAAATAATATATCCTAAATAATTCATTTTCGTTCCTTCTATCTGGCTATTTAGAGTGTTTATATGCTGTTTAATATGACATGTAGCCTATTTGAAATGATGTGCGCGTCTTACGTTCACCTTTTCATATTTATTCAAATACTTTTCATTCAAATCATATGGTTTGGTTTCAATACTTCAAAACCAAATGGTAGGTCCAGGTAGTCACAAAAATAGATGGGTGTTGGTTAAATTGTGATTTTCATGAATGGAGCGAATTTAGAGCAGCTGTTTTTTCTTCTGTGCGCGTAGCGATTTTTCGCGGAGCCTTTGGAAAGGACGTGGAGCCCGGAACGGGATTTCCAACCGCTCAACTCCACTCACATACTCTGGTAGGGAGGAGCGATATGAAGGATACGCTACAGTAAGGGCAAGGTGGAGTGAATTACAGGTTGCACAAATTACAGTCTTTGATATAGCTGTGAGAATCCTGGGCTGTTTTTCCTTTCTTTTTCTCCCTCCACTGTGTTTTGTTTTCATCAGTCGTTTCCTTGCTCTTTCCTTCTGATATGCCCCCCTGTAAAGGATGGTATCCCTCTTCCGTCTCCCATCCATCATCCACCTCTCCCTCCCTCCTTCTATACCTTGTTCAGCTCTTGTCCTTCTCTGGTATCTCCTTGCGTGGGCTCCCGCCTTTGCCTTGGTTCACACTCAACCTCTTCAGAACCTTCATGGGTTTAAACTTCTTCTCTTTCTTCTTCTTCTGTTGCTGCTCGCCCTCTGCTGCTGGCTCCTTCTGGAAGTCTGGAGGAAGGGAGAGATGGAGAGAGGACGTTAGGAGAAAGGAGAGAACGAAGAGAGAGAGAGGGGGGAAGACAGAGACATGGACGAGAAGCTTGAATACTTATAGTGGAAAGGAAGATCAATGGGAAAGTTCTAACAAAACAAGCTTTTGTCTTGTCTTACCTTTTTTCTTCAACATGGTCGCCACCAGCTTATCCTCTTCCTCTTCCCTATTGGAGAAGCACAGTAATATCACCAAAAACACAGACATTGACTGCAGATCACCTATCTAACATCATCCTACTAGCCCATCCTGCTCTGAATGAGCTCAGACAGTAGATGACAGGTGATTGATTACCTCTGCCTGTCCTGATCCATGTTGTTGATGATTTGGTTCCGCTGTTCGATGACGGTGACCAGCTCTGTCATCAGCTCCTGCTCCCTGCCCTTGTCCTCCTCATTCCAGTCTTTCTCTACAAGATGGAGGGATTGAGAGGAGAGGATGAATGAAGAGTAATGCAGTCACTTTTAACACATTTATCATTTTTTTGACCCTGTTCCATTTCAGTGAATTCAGTCCTCCAACACCAAAGAGGAAGGAAAGAGAAATGAAATGGAACCAGGTCTTTAGTTAACAAGCCTCCCATCCCAGGTAGGTGCAAGGGCCTTGTGCTCTATGATATCATTCACAAACAGGAAGTGAGATCACACACCCGGCTTGTTAAGAAGACATCTCAGCTCATACTCTACATCAGCCTGCCTCTCCTCCAAGTTCTGCTGCTTGTCCCTGTCAAGAGAAAAGAAATAGCGTCAGAATCTTAAAGAGACTGCAGCCAAATGGGCCAATGAGCACAGGCTCTGGTGAGGCTTTGGTACGTACGTGTAGACCAGCTCAGCCTCGCGGCGCACCAGCAGGTGTTTCTCATGGATCAGAGTGAACCAGTCCACCAGCAAAGTCTCCTCCTCCTCATCTATAACAGGACAGGAACACGACCATGAGAATATAATAAGATTATACTATAGATACAAATATGGATTATTAAACTGACTATTAGACTATTGACCTGACTATTAGACTACGGAACCAACTACTAGACTGTTGACCCGACTGTTTGACTGACTATTGAAGTGACTATTAGACTGACTACCGAACTGACTATTAGGATATTGAACCAACTATTGGAATATTGAACTGACTATCAAACTGACTATCAGACGATCAAACTAACAACTACCTAACCGACTATTAGACCACTGAACAGACTATTAGACTATTGAACCAGGTATTAGACTATTGAACCGGGTATTAGACTATTGAACCGGGTATTCAACCGAATATTCAACTGACTATTAGACTATTAAACTGAATATTAGACTATTGAACTGACTATTAGACTACTGAACTAACTATTAGGTAATTGAACTGACTATTCAAATAATGACTATTGAACTGACTATTAAACTATTGACTATTAAACTGACTACTAACCATTAACTATTGAACTAACGATTAGACAATTGACCCGACTATAAGACTACTGAACCGACTATTAGACTATTGAACTGAGTCCTGGACAAAAATATTTTAATAGAGACTCTCCAGACCTCTGAGACCATGCAACCTCCCTATATCATAAAATGAGTCTCAAGAGGTTTATATGATGGCCAGGAGTGCAGAACACTGGTTGATCTGATAGTTTTACCGTTGGGGTTGTCTCTTAGTTTTCTCTCCAGAGCCACTCCTCTCTGCTCCAGCTCATCCAGCTGTTTCTCCAGCTCTCCCATCTCTCCATGGATGTCCTCTACTGGGATGTACTGGTCTGACTGCACCTGGACAACACACACATCACAAAACACACTAGTACTGCCATCTTAGAATAATACAATATGGTACAGTTCGCATTATTTACATCCAGATAGAGTTGTTCCTTTGAAAACATTAGTGCTACTAGTCAAACTATATCCAACTATAACCAATACCGTTGCCTATTAATAGCAGTAATAGTAGACTGTTGTTGGCTTGTCGCCACATTCCATAAAAAGACTTGCTCTGTCGGATGCTGAATTATCGAGTGACTCATTGAATTACAAACTTTAGCTGACTGTGGCGTCCTCACAATCTCACCTTGCGTTTGATGAGGGGGAAGCCGTGTCCAGGTGCGGGGGGCCGGGCGGGGCGAGGGCCTCTAGGGGGTCTGGTTTTAGGGGAGGAAACGGGGGAGGGAGAGGCTTTCCTGTTGAAAGGGTTTTCCTTACAAATCCGCTGGAAGTAGAGAGAAGACAGAGATGAATGTCAAGGTATTAATAATTATAATGGTATTTGTTAGTTAGATATAAAGCTCATTACATTGAATATATTGTATCATTAAAAGGTTCTTAGAAGTTAGTGGAGTGTATTTTTACATGGTGAAAAAATTAGAGGTCTAGAATCCCTTACCTTGGGGATAGCACTTGACGCTGCCAGGGGGCTGGGTGTCGTCGGGGGTCTCGGGGGAGGGGGTCTGGCGCTCCGATTGCTCTGCGGAGTGGCTGGAGCCGAGCTAGGATTGGCTGGCTGGGGAGGAGGGGAGGGGCTCGGAGAGAGGCGATTGGCTGAGGTAGAGGGGGAAGGGTTGGAGCCACCACAGGGCCCGCAGATGGAGGGCTCTGATACACTCTTGGTGAAGGGGTTGTCCTGATCGCCGGTGGCTCCGCCCCCTAGGGAAGATGGGTGGGAGGAGCTATGGTCGGAGGCAGAGGATAGGCTTTCTATGCTAATAGCTGGAGAGGGAGAGGAAGAGGAGGGCTGGGAGTGAGGAAGGGCTGAAGAAAGAGGGATGAAGTGATATCAGAAAACAGAAAAAAGGAGCAGAAGTTGAAATGGAAAACGAAGTAGAGTTGAATGGGACGAGGATGGAGGGAAAAACATTGTGAACATCCATGTACACACATCACATGTCTTTCAAAATGACAACAACAAAACCACAGTGCTGTGCAGGACATACAAGACACATGATTGACATGATTTGAGGTGAATTGGATCAAACCAGTCCATTGCGCTAACCCAGTGGTTCCCAACCTTTTTTGGTTACTGTACCTCCAACTGAATTTTGCTTTGCCCGGAGTACCCCTGAAGTATCCCCTCATGTGCATTTTACCAAGAAGCCTATGGTTTCATAAGTCTTCTCAAGTACCCCCTGTGGATAGGCAAAGTACACCCAGGGGTCTTAGTACCCCTGGTTGGGAACCACTGCTCTAACCAACCTCTATCCTATCCTGTTACCTTCAAGGCCCACTGACCTGAGTTAGAGTTTTGGGGCCTTGGAACAGGTTTTGGGGGCGCTGGACGTTTCTTGCACCTGGAGCCACTGGGGCTTGCAGAGCGGGAGGAAATACCCCCACTGGGGGGCGTGTCTGGATCAGCTGCAGCGTCTGCAGCCTGGGTGATGCTGTACCACGGATGACTCACCACCACAGTGGGCGAAACCAAACTTCCTACTGACCCCTCCCCTGACCCCGCCTCCTCTTCCTCTACTTCCTCATCGAAGGGGTTGGCGGGTGCAGGGGGCGTGGCTGGTCTGCAGCCCTCCCCTTTTAGAGAAGATAACGAACCAGTGTTTGGGGGCGTAGCCACTCCAGGGGGAGGGGGAGGGGCTGGTTTCTTCTTGGGTTCTTGGGATTGGACGAGGACCAGCCAGGGCGGGTTAGGGGGTTTGGGGGCGTCGCTGGAGAGACTGGAGCTGAGAGACAGGATGAGTGGGGGAGACAGAAACAGAAAGGGGGGGGATAAAACAACAAAGACAGATGAGTGCATGAAAACATCAACATACATTAACACACAAAGACTGCTGGACAGAGACTGGGAGAGACAAACAGATGAAGTAGTCCAACCACTGTAGACTTCTAGTAAAGATAGGTTAGTCAGTATACTGAACCTTCCAGGGGAGTGGGATCTTTCTCGAGGTCTGGGAGCTGGAGGAAGAGATCTCCTGTGTTCACCATGATCACCTGAGAGTCAAAATCACAGGTTTCATTTAGTTTCATATATTTTAGTTTAGCAGGGAGTTCACAGTTCAGTTGAGGATCTACTGCAGCAAATAGCAATAACTTATTTCAGCTGTCAATCCCTTTAAAATCGACCACTCACCATTGACCGCAAGGTTGTCAACGCGGGGTGGGCGGACCCTGGGGGCGGGACGAGGCGGAGGGGAGGGCTGTGACAAGCGGCGAGGGACGGGGACTGGCTTACTGTCCCCTAGTCCTAGATGACTGACAGGTGTAGGAGGGATAACCCCATTGGCTGTGTCTTTGGCTGGTGTCTGAGTCTCCTCCCCCTTTCCCTCGTCTTGCTCTTCCTCGATGTCATCGAAAGGGTTGGGAGGAATGGAGGGTGGAGGTTTCACCTCTTTTTCTCCTGCGCCGTCTTCCCTCGCTTTCTCTTTTTCTGTTTTCAAAGAGTCTGTTTTTGTCGTTGAGGTAGGACAGGGTGTAGAGTCAGAGTCATTGGTTGGTGTGGGGGGGTAATCATCATTGGTGATGCCCTCTTGGGGCGGAGTCTCTTTTGGTGGAGTCTCTTGGGGCGGAGTCTCTTTTGGTGGAGTTTCTCGGGGCGGAGTCTCTTTTGGTGGAGTCTCTCGGGGTGGAGTCTCTTTTGGTGGAGTTTCTCGGGGCGGAGTCTCTTTTGGTGGAGTCTCTCGGGGTGGAGTCTCTTTTGGTGGAGTCTCTTGGGGTGGAGTCTCTTTTGGCAGAGTCTCTTGGGGCGGAGTCTTTGCCCCCTGGTCCCTCCCAGAAGGAGGAGAAGTTTGAGGCAGCATGGGTCGACCAATCCTGACAGACGGAACCGTTGTCGGTCGCTTGCTTAGGTCCGGTCGGCCATTCTGATTGGCTAAGGCAGACCTGGCAAAGTGATGCGTGCAGACCAGGGAGCCGACCTCGTTTCCTAGCTTGTAGGACCCAGGCAGCAGAGTGCTGCTACACTCCCTACACCTGAGAGAGGAGAGGAGGAGGCAACATTCAGAAGGCAGTAGGCTCTGACATACCCTGTGGTAAACATATTGATTAAACACTTGTAAAAACATGGTGAAAATCAAAGTTTAATTTCTTCAAACTCTGGAAATGCATGTCAACAGAGGCAATGCAACTGGCTGTTTTGAGTAACTGGAATAGCAGTGTATTATCATTTTACAATTGACAGATTCAGCAGTATGACATGTTGTAGTTGCTGTGCAGACCAGATATACAGTAACTGAAGTGGTGGTGTTCACCTGAAACAGTTGCGGTGGTAGAGCTTGCCGTCGACCAGGAACCTCTGCACCAAGTGGACGTGCCTCTGGCAGGCAGCGCAGATGCTGCTGAGGGTGCTACGCTTCACCCCCGCCTGTACCCCTCCGTCCGTACCCGTCTGACCAGGTAGGCTCAGCTAGCACGGGCGTGGCAGGCAGGTGGCCAGGGGGTGCGGGTCGCAGGTGGAGGGGGTGGGGGACGGGGGAGATGGAGAGGATAGGGGGGAGGGAGGGAGGGAGGGAGGTGGGGGGAGATCAAACACGGAGTCAGGATCAAGGATGTGGAGGATTCATTCTGCTTATCATTCTGCTTATCATTCTGCTTATCTAGCTAAAACCAGTCTGTTATACTTCATCATCACCTTATCAGCTTAGAGTCATTGTCTTAGCTAGCTATACTATTATTATTGCATTTATTTTATATTCATTCAAAATATTATTGTCTTGATATAAAAAAGTGATATGTATTAAGTGGGAAAGTAGTAAAGTTCCAAACCAGCTGTTAATTAGTTAGGAAAGTCTAGTAGAAAACTAGTCCTAGTAATGGAAGAAACTCTGGCAGGCGTTTTTAGGTCGAGTTAAAAGTTAAAAGGTTAGCAGCAAGTGTTCAAACTTGGCACACAACGTTAGTGGTATAAAACAACAGTTAAATAGTTAGTGTTTATGTACAGAGGTTAAAGGTTAAAGTTCAAAGTGACTGACCTAACTGTTTCAATCCCCCCCCCCCCCCCCCCCGCCCATCCTACTGTCTAGGCTCAGGACCAGAGAGAGGGGAGGAGATTACAGGCCAGGAGGAAGAAGAGGAGGAGGAGGAAGAAGAAGGGGAGGAGGAAGAAGAGGAGTGGATTTCCGTCTAAAGATGCGGAAGAAGGGAGGAGGCCGGTATGGGGGGACGGTGGGAGGAAGTGGTAGAGAGGGCATGCAGAAGGGGAGAGACAGGATACAAAGGCTATCTTTAAAGCTACCTTTAAAAGAAAAACAATGGAGGCTAAACTTATAGGATAAAGCCCACATCAATAGTACCTTATAGGCCATATTTCTGAGATATCCTACAAGTTTAGCCTAAAATGTATTTAGTCAATAGAATTACTCCATCCCGTACCGCATTGATGTAATGGACAACATGACTTATATCGAAAACACTCACACACTAACTAGTACCCAACCTCTGCCATACGGACACACCAATAGATGCCATAGACAGACAACAATCCATTCATGCATCTCTGAGTGCTTTGTGCACGACACGTTTGCAATGACACCTAAATAATGTGACAGTCAATGTTATATAACACCCTTTGAGTGGTTTTCCAGGTCTTGGTCCATGACAAAATACAACCACAAGCACAAATACATTCCCTGTTATGTTAAACAAATACAATGAATTAGTTATAGTTATCATGCATGTACAATAAAAGTTAAATCAATGTAGTAGGCTTCTAATGCAGCCATTAGTTTAATTTAATAAGGCGCTGAATTAGAACCATGTGAATGACATCATACACACATTCCATCAATCCAGAATATCTGCATACTCCGAGTCGATATTCACGTAATAATAAGGAAAACATTATTTCCCATTGACCCCCAGTGTAAAAGAGCCAACTTTGTCATCGAGTTCTGTTATACAGAAATAACATACACCAGGTCAAAAATCCCAACCATCGGTTTGCAATGCTCCCACGTTGGGAAATAGAGCCTGCGAGAAGAGCCCTATGGCTTCAGGCTATTCGGCGTGGGACAGTGGGAAATTGTGGGGAGCCGGTGTCCAAGTAGGCTACACGTAGCTAGCTATGTGTGTGGAAAACATTTAAATCACAGGTAAGACATTTAACTTGTTTAGTACAGTCAGTTTGTAACTCCATTCACTACTTGTAGCTGTATAGTCTGTTTGTTTGTGTTGTTGGTCTTAGCTAGCTTAATGTTCTGGTTGGAAGCTGGCAACACATATAAACAGTAGCCTAAAGGTAGGCTAATATTGCTGGGGGGCAATGAGGAGATTCCGGATCTTTCCCCATACGGCCCTTTCCCCTACGCGTTTCCATGGCAATTCCATTGTTTTGGTCACATTCCATTGACCTCTTTACCACATGTATTCATGCATAATCTGATTCCCTGATACAATCGTAGCCCTTACCTCAGGCTCAACCACTTTGTCTTCCAGAGGGGCCACCGGTCTCTTCTGGGCCGGCTCAATGTGGCCTGTACCACTGGACCTCTTCATGCAGGGGGGGTTGGCTACAGGAGAGGGAGATGGTATCAGTCAATTTCTAATCGAGTTTATGCATTGGCTACTGTAGATATTTTCCTTTGCGTCAGAGCACTACAAAGCCCAGAGGGACTTTTGAGAGACCAGTTACAAATGCAATCATGTAGTAGTGACTCAGTGATGAATGTCGGTGATACTGTCATATCTAACAACACAGCACCACTTCTTATCCAGCTATCGAACCGCTTAGGTTACCGTTGTGTACTAAAGGCCCTGGAGTCCTGGACCACGTTCCGTAGGTAATCGTTGTGGAACATTCAGATAGAACTATAATATGTAGAACAAATATGCCTCTCTGACAAATAGAAAAAGGGATCACGTCAGCTCTATTCATGACAATTCTATCTGCGACATTCCACAACACAGTCCTGGATTGGTGCTTTCACGGTGTCTGGGTCCTCCAACCCCAGAGCTGTACTACTCACCATGGGACTTGTTGGTGAAGAAGTTGTAGTACTGGGAGACGTAGGTGATGATGCTCAGTCTGTCAGGCACTTTCATTGACACCATGTCCTCTGGGTCCAGCAGAGCAGGGATACCCAGCTCCGCCTCCGCCACCTCAAACGCCTAGGGGAGGGAGGGAGGGAGGGAGGGAGGGAGGGAGGGGGAGGGAGGGAGGGAGGGAGAGAGAGAGGGAAAGACCATAAGAAAGAGCGAGAAAAACAACAATGTGAAAACAGACATCAGTTATTTTATTTTGTGTGTGTGTGTACTTTGATACTTGATCCCCTGCTTCAACAAACCTCAGTGTTATTTGGTCATAATGAAATGTTAAAGCCTGCCTGAATACTGTTGGCTAGATAACCATCTGCCTAATGAAAAATTCCACTGAGGAAATGAAGGCCTTAATAGTTCTGTGCCCCAAATGGTACCCTATTCTCTAAATAGTGCACGACTTTGACCAGGGTCCATAGGGAATAGGGGGACCCATATGGCTCTGGTCAAAAGTAGTGCACTATGTAGGGAATAGGTGCAATTTGGGACGCAATGCTGGTCAGGTTACAAAACACTGGGGATTACACAATCACTTGGCAGCTGTTCAGTAAACAGGGCCACAATTGATGCAGAACTGTGTACATGTAAACAAACTGTTACAAACTGTGTACATGTAAACAAACAGTTACAAACTGTGTACATGTAAACAAACTGTGTACATGTAAACAAACTGTTACAAACTGTGTACATGTAAACAAACTGTGTACCGGTACATGTAAACAAACTGTTACAAACTGTGTACATGTAAACAAAATGTTACAAACTGTGTACATGTAGACAAACTGTTACAAACTGTGTACATGTAAACAAACTGTGTACATGTAAACAAACTGTTACAAACTGTGTACATGTAAACAAAATGTTACAAACTGTGTACATGTAAACAAACTGTTACAAACTGTGTACATGTAAACAAACTGTGTACATGTAAACAAACTGTTACAAACTGTGTACATGTAAACAAACTGTTACAAACTGTGTACATTTAAACAAACCAGTGAATGGGAGCTGTTTTTGCATGTGAAAAACAAACAATCATCAAATGTATCTCGGCCAAATGTAATATCAGTCAAAACAATGACAGCTTGCAGAGAGTAGTTCAGCTGAATGTTATCCCAGAAGCAAGATAAATTCTAACAATTAACTCAAAACAGAATGTCCCATGATGACTAAAACTTTTCAAGGATTATCAGTAGTCAGATAAGTCTGAGAAACAATGGTAAACAAACGCAGGGGAACAATTGAAATCTACCGTGTAGACAATGATTGGAAGTTAATCATCTAGCTTTAGCTTAGTATGCTGCGTGTTTGGGTTCAGGATTAGGCTGTCTCGGGCTAACTCAGGCTAATGTCGTAGCTACAGTGAAAACACTCCAAATGTTCATAGATATCTGACATGCTGCCAGTGAAACAAACACTTATTTCGACCACCAACTGCTTCTACCCTGAAAAAGCTCTTGGATAATTGGAAAGAAATGTAAATAGTAGCATTCAGCTGCCAACACTCAAGCTCAGTTTGAGGATTAATACAAATAGGCTAACCAAGGCCTACTCAATATTAGAGCAATGTTATTTTGGCCCCTTTACAGTTGTTGATAAACAAATATTTGGCTTTTATGTAAATGCATTGCTACCACAAACAGGCCTATAGTGGAGGACTAGTTTTTTAAATATCCTCCCTTCGGTTAGCTGTTTTGTCTTTCTTTCCTGTCCTCATTTGCTCGCTCTGGCTCCCCCTTTCTCTCCTTCCCTCCCTCTCCCTCTCTCACCCCCCTTTCCCATGACAGGCTCCAGCAGGATCCAATACACAACTATGCTCTCTACAGACAGACAGACACAGAAGTATGAAACAGACCAATGAAAATGTATGACACTTAACTGACTAACTAACTGTAATGACTAATGACACTGCTCTTCTGTCATACCCACAATCCATCCGTTCCTCATCTCCATGACCTTCCTAAACAACACTCATACTCTCATACATACTAGCAGGCCTATACCTGGGCTACACTGTATTCTAGCATTACAGAATTCACCCAAAACATAGCCTACCACAGACTGTTAAATAGCCATCACTAGCACATTAGAGGCTGCTGCTGCCTATTGAAATCACTGGCCACTTTAAGAAATGGAACACTAGTCACTTTAATAATGTTTACATATCTTGCACTACTCATCTCATATGTATATACTGTATTCTATTCTATAATATTCTACTGTATCTTAGTCCATGCCGCTCTGTCATTGCTTGTCCATATATGTATATATTATTAAATTCCATTCCTTACTAGATTTGTGTGTATTGGGTATATGTTGTGACATTGTTAGATATTACTTGTTAGATATTACTGCACTGTCAGAGCTAGAAGCACAAGCATTTCGCTACACCCACAATAACATCTGCTAAACACGTGTATGTAACAAATGAAATTTGATTTGACACCGAGGAGGGAACCAGAGTAACAACCATGACTGACTTGTCACAGCTAATTACAGTATCCGGCAACATGAAGTCACTGGCTGATTCACAACTAATCATAACATCTAGGCCTAGGCTATTAGAGTGTGTCTGTATGTGTGGAGAAGTGATGTGTTCTTGTGACTCACCAGACGGTTGTTCTCGTAGACATTCTCTTTGGAGAGGGAGTCAAAGTCTCTGGAATGAGAGGGACAAAAGACAACATTTAAAATCTAAACAAATAGCCTACTCTAAATCATTGATACAACATTACATCACAATACTACGGTCAGAATATGAGAGATCACACTACTATTATTAGGTAAAAGGGTGAGCATCTAACCAGAACAGTAATAAACCATATAGCATATTAACGCTAAAATATGTAACCTTTTGGCGACCCAACCAAATTCACATAGAAATGTGAGTTATAGGTCAGTTATAGATTCTTTCCTGTTGAAAGTGTGTCTAAGAAGCGGTAGATCTGTTCTATGAGTGCTATTTCTATGCTTCCCATTCTGAAGTTGTTTTTGCATCTTTTACTTTGGGTTTTGTACACCAGCTTCAAACAGCTGAAAATACAATATTTCTGGTTACGAAAAATATATTTCACAGCGGTTTAGATGGTACAATGATTCTCTACACTATACTTTATTATTATATTATTATTATTCTTGTTTTGTCACATAAACTGAAATTAGGCAAACTACTAGAATTTTAGCAACCAGGAAATGGAGCGATTTCTACATAGTGCATCTTTAAGTAATGACAGGCCTAACTATCTTGGGTGGGAGGGTAAAGTCAATTGGATCTCATCTGAAAAGTCTCTTGAGTGATGGCCCATCAAACACCATCAAGATCCTAACAGAATGACAGACAGTGTTTGCCCATACACAAGCAGTTACCTCCACATTCAATGAGACAATGGGGCCACAGCCCCCATCAAGTGTTTTATGGGTGAACCCCACTGTGATGAAAGGACAGCAGGTTGGCTCAACACAGCAGTAATGAGTAGGTGGCTGGTCGACTGGGCCTGGAGCAGGGAACTAAACCCCATATTCCCACCAATTAACATCCTGCTGTAAAACTGGGGTTCTGTCTCAAATGGCACCCTATTCACTGTGTAGAGCACTACTTTTGACCAGAGCTCTATGGGCCCTGATCAAAAGTAGTGCACTATGTAGGGAATAGGGTGACATTTGGGATGCATCCTGGAACATTAGTGAGTTGCTTTTGGACGCAACGTGTCTGCTCTGTTGAAGAAGGGAAGTAGGAAAAACACCAACACCACAACCTTGGAGGAGAGTTTGAAACCTCCCTAGCACAGCCAAGCCCATAGACTACTATGAGGCAGCCTATATACTAGTATGAGGCAGCCTATAGCACAGCCAGCCTATAGACTTGTTTTGTTTTACCCCATATGTAACTCTGTGTTGTTGTTTTTATCGCACTGCTTTGCTTTATCTTGGCCAGGTCGCAGTTGTAAATGAGAACTTGTTCTCAACTGGTTTACCTGGTTAAATAAAGGTTAAATAAAAAATAAAAGAAAAAAAGACTAGTATGAGGCAGCCTATAGACTAGCCAGCCTATAGACTAGTATGAGGCAACCTATAGACTAGGCAGCCTATAGCACAGCCAGCCTATAGACTAGTATGAGGCAGCCTATAGCACAGCCAGCCTATAGACTAGTATGAGGCAGCCTATTGCACAGCCAGCCTATAGACTAGTATGAGGCAGCCTATAGCACAGCCAGCCTATAGACTAGGCAGCCTATAGCACAGCCAGCCTATAGACTAGTATGAGGCAGCCTATAGACTAGGCAGCCTATAGACTAGTATGAGGCAGCCTATAGACTAGTATGAGGCAGCCTATAGCACAGCCAGCCTATAGACTAGTATGAGGCAGCCTATTGCACAGCCAGCCTATAGACTAGTATGAGGCAGCCTATAGCACAGCCAGCCTATAGACTAGGCAGCCTATAGCACAGCCAGCCTATAGACTAGTATGAGGCAGCCTATAGCACAGCCAGCCTATAGACTAGTATGAGGCAGCCTATAGCACAGCCAGCCTATAGACTAGTATGAGGCAGCCTATAGCACAGCCAGCCTATAGACTAGTATGAGGCAGCCTATAGCACAAAGTGAGCTCTGTTCTCCCCCTAATCTGACTCCCATGGCCCCTAATGCAATTAGATTATCCGTCCTGAACTAGCGCTACGTCACACACACCCTGCCTAGGCTACTGTATGTGATGGCCCACTCTGCTGTAGGCCTACTGGTGCTAAAGCGCTAACGCTACAGCTGAGTCTGCTATGACTCAAAGTTGTGCAAAGTGCAGCAACCGCCACCGCCAAATCCTCCTTGAGTAACAATGAAATCTCTGGAGTGGTGTCGCTCTGTCCTTCAACAGCTGACAGCCTGACAGGCCAGATCAGAGCAATGCTTCCCCTGTATTCATTTAGCAGTGGCGCACCGCAGCTGCTAAATTGTTGTTGCCACAATTTTTTTTTTAGAAAAGATAATTGACCTATCACATTTTTTAAAATATAATCTTTGAGAACAAGAAATAACAAAATAAAAGCTAGACACTTCTAAAAACAAATTGTGGAGTATTTTTGGCATGGTTGGATTAGTGACGGGGCACGCAGGGTTAGTGTCCATGGCCAGGGGCCCCCATTGATTTTGTTATAATGTTTGAGCATAAGAACACACAATTAGCCATGGCAAAATGCATATAATTGCAGGAAATTTGTTTTCACACTGCAAAATGTTCTCTCAGCTCCATGGAAACATTTATAGAATGTGGTCCTCTGTAGCTCAGCTGGTAGAGCACGGCGCTTGTAACGCCAAGGTAGTGGGTTCGATCCCCGGGACCACCCATACACAAAAATGTATGCACGCATGACTGTAAGTCGCTTTGGATAAAAGCGTCTGCTAAATGGCATATTATTATTATATTATAGAATTGCAGGAAATTAACTGGAAAAACAGAACATTTTTCTCTCTGCCAACAATTCCCGACCAATTTAACTCCGGACCGATTTAACCCACTCCTTCTGCGAGCATTGCACATTTTTGGGAGAGAAACACTGCAGACCATGACATAGACGGATGAGGGAGAGAGAACCTAATCCGACAAGTATTGCTGCCTCGCTCACAAGTTTATTTTTGGCAAGGGGACTGCCATCACCACCGGTGTGCTCGCTGTCTACCATCCTCATGTTTAAGTCCTGTATTGTGCGAGTGAACTTGGTGTTGCTGCCAACAAGATACATGGTCTGCTTTAAGCTACATGGTCTGCTTTAAGCTTCATGGTCTGGTGGTTAACAACAAACACAGCATGTAGTCAAATGTCCTCTGTTTATTTGGTGGTGATGTTGCTGTGTGGACAGTATATAGAGAGAGGTGGAAAAGTGGTGTCATTTTGAACAGTCTGGATGGGTGAGCTGGATGGTGTGGGAGAATATCACAGAGAGGTAGAGAACACCGTGTCAGTGTGGAAAAGGGAACTGAAATACAGAAAAGGGGAAAGAGAGACAATACGGAGGCCACTAGTGTCGTGTGTCAGAGAGAATCACAACGTCTGACATGAGGCACCGAAATCACATGAAACTGAGGTTGATACTGACTGAATAATAATAATAATAATAATAATAATAATATGCCATTTAGCAGACGCTTTTATCCAAAGCGACTTACAGTCATAATAACTGATCTGGGCCAATCTGTCTGGGCCCATTGATGGATCTACTGAACAAGGCTTATTGTTTGTACTGAGGAAATAATCAAAGTTGCCCCTACCAAACCTTGGTCAGACTTATAGCGTCAGTTTAATCACCTTGCTTATTAGCCCTGAACCAAGAGCCACTTCAGTCAAGAGAGAACTGGACCCTGTCTGATCCTGAATGACATTACTAGGTTTCAGTCAGATAAGTCCTGCGATGTGACCACTTTTGCTATTATTTGTGGTGCATTTGTATAGTACAGTGGAGTGCTGAATGCTGATAGCACAGACGTCAGTGCAGCACTAATAGCAGGAGTAGCATTGCTGTGCAGCACTGCACACTGACTGGCTAGAGTAGTATGAGAGCTAAATGCAGGTTGGCAGGCGGAGGCCTCTGCTGCAGATTACCCTGACGGCCTGTCTGTCTGGATCAGACTGAAGACAGTCACAGGGAGGACAGTGCAGCGCTGCTGGTTGGTTGATGAGGCTGCCTGGCCAAAGAGCTCTAAGCTCAGCGGACAGAGGTAGAGCTGGATCTTTAGCATTTGACCCATAGAGATAGATGTACTGTAATATATCTGGTGTCATTTGCCTTCACTCACTCCCTTTCTACTGTATGTAGTAGTTGAAGACTTAGGTCGAGAGAGACACTCATGTCAGGTGATCTCATGTCCTGTCACACACACAAGCCAGGATAGGTGCAGTGTGTGTAGTACTGGTGCAGTGTGTATGAGATCCTGCATGCAGGTCATGCACGCTTGGTTTTCACACACACACGTTGAAGGACATGGACACACAACGTGTGACGTCCGCAGAACAGCAATAAGACATGCCATTACACAGCAGAGTTACAGTATGAGGTGCGTGATTGTACCTGAATGATCTGTCTTGTACTGTATTGAATGTGAGGCATCATAGTTTGCTCACTCTTACTCTCAGTCAAGGCAGTTCTATTTACCATCTTCCGCTTCCTTGCAACCCATCAACGCAAACATTTTCATGCAGTTAGTTTGTGGCCTAACTGTGCCCTTGTTTTGTGACTGCAGTGTGTGTGACTCCAACACAGGAAAAGGGGTGTGTTGTTACAGACAAGGGCAGGCCCGTCAACCCACATTAGATACAGCACACTTGGCTTACCCTTGGTTTTCCCCTTTCTAATGCTGCTTAGAAACCGTCTCTGTAATGACGCCTAGATTACAAGTCAAGCCTAGGTTTGCTGGCCGTAATAGCTCACAAAAACGTTGTTAGTGGAACAATGTGATCGTTGTGGCAAAAGGGTAGTTAGCAAATCTTCTCATTCTGCACACAAACACTGGTGGTAAAATAATAAACACCAACACAAGCCAGAGGGCACACCCTCCCTATATTTAGTTGCATGTTGTAGTGACATGATCTTGTCTGTGTTCAAGACAAATTTAGTTCCCTGGCTACATAATTCTGAAGGTGGTCTGGCTCTGGCTGAGAGCACTAATATGCCACCCCATTATATTATCTAGTTACAGGCTAGATCAGTTCACTTAGCCTAGCGTTTGACCAGGAACACAGAGTGTACTCGAGTGTCCTGATGATAGGATTAGATTATAGTGAAGTCAGCAATCATGCATTACTGTATCGAAGTTCAGCGCCCAGCTAGTTCTGTTAACAGTTGTTCAGGGACGGCTTGTTCAATAGGGCGATATGGGCGACGCACTGCCAAACGGGAAAAGGAAGGGATTTTTTTTCTAATCAATTATTTAAAAAAAAATTAAATAAAAAAAAATATTTTTTTTTTATAAATTTATAAAAAATTATATCACGGCAACAGCAGTTATCAGTGTTCACGTCTGATCTGCCAGCCACTAAATGTCAAATCAGGCTAAAGTCGTGCTTCAAATGGCCCCGCCCGTTTTTTGGGCGATTTCAGTCAGGTTGAAAATCGCCCAGAAGTCTGTCATAGACTCCCATGTAAAATCTAGTTTTGTCACATTTCAAAGCTTTCAATACATTCTCTATGGGTGTCTGTGGGCTTGCACTTACGCGCTTTCGTCATACATAACGTAACCACGAATGAACGTAACTAAGAAAAGACCAGGTAGCAGCCTCATTCAATTCACTACTACTATCAAAATGGCTAGGCTTCAGTCCAACTCGATTGTGTCTTTGAAAGAAGTTCCTTTTTGTCGGCGAACAAATGAAGATAAATTGGCAACGAAACAATTAGGACCCCCCAGACCAAATTTAATAATTCAACAGGTGTCTACTAAAGGGGGGAAGTCCTACACCCGAGGATTTTCCAAAAATTGGTATGAACGGAAAACCTGGCTAGCAGGCTGCGATGTAGCTAATGCAGTTTTTTGCTACCCCTGCTTACTCTTCCACCCTGAAGGCGGCACAGCAGACAGCACCGCTTGGACAGCGACTGGTGTAACCGACATGCACCATCTTTCAGAAAAGATTAAGAAAAATTAGCTGTCAAAGACCCACATATAGCTGTTTGAGATTGTCTGCTTTTGGGAGAGTGAATATTGCCACTCAACTGGATGAGGGATACAGGCTAGCTGTCCGCCGCCACAACGATGAGGTTAGCAACAGCAGAGTCGTGAACACTGTCTACGAGAATCGAGACGACCTCATATAATGTTTTGAAGCCATCCGGACGGGTTCATTGGGTTCATTTGACCAGCACACCTTGAGAGAGGCAGCTGGCTACGTGAGGATACTACATGATGAAGATTTAATTTTTTTCCTGCGGCTTTTTCACAAAATCATGCCCCACGTCGACATTCTGTACCAGAAGCTACAGAAGAAGGACATCGATGCTGTCTCTATCAAACGTGCCCTCGACAGCTTCACAAGCAAGTGCAGGCCATAAGGTAAGATTAAACAGATATCAAAAAATGTGGTAAAAGCTCTTGTTGATCCTGCAATCTGAACAAATACCAAGATGCTGTATTTTCAGCTGATATTTCATTTGTTTATGGAAATGCATATTGTTTATGCAGTGTTGAGGAATGTGAAAGAACACCCTTGATTATTTTTACTGTGATAACTTATTTTGCTTTTGTAAGCCAACACTTTTGAGATCAGTCAATAAATGCTTCTGGTATTGACTTATATGCTGCCCCTGTCTTACATTGTAACAGCGATGAAGTGTTGCAGCACGTTGCAACATTATAATTAGTGATCCTATTTTGGAGCAACAAATTGCTACATTCTTGATGAGTTTGAGAGTTCCATTGTTATTTAAGAATCTTTGTCAATAAGGACATTTTGCCCTGATGTGTTAAATAAACTCACTCTTTGTAGCTGGCGTGCTATGTTTCTAAATATGTATTGTTTCTGAGGGACAATATCATCTTGTTTAGGCCTGGGAAGAAGTGGAGGAAGTTTTTCAAAGTTTATTGAAACGAAATACTTACATCAAATCCGGTCTATATCGGTGGATTATGGCACAGAATGCCAAACCATCCCGGAAAGACGATGACATGTTCTTGATGTCTACATCGTTGTAACTCTCGCATTGTATCCGACACCATTCTTGAAGCGCTTTTAACGACCCCATGTTTGGAAACATTCAGATTTTATTCCTTTCAATCTCAGTCTCATCCCACGTGTAACGTTAGCGGGATGAGAAATAAGCTTTTGTAAGATTCTAGAAGCAGCTTTTAGAATTTTGGAAGACAACACCCGAAATGACTCATTCTGAATTCCATTGCCTGGTTGAGGATAGTAGCGTTGAAGTCACGTTTGGTAGCAAGCTGGCTAACTTTGCGATGTCAATGAAACATTGTTTCCACAACTCCGCCAGCAGATGTGATCAAAGTTTCGATCTGCAACTTTTCCCAACACGCACAATCAATAAATCACCATATAAAAAGACTCCTACATACAATGGGTTTGACAGCTTGTCACAGAAATGTTGTCAGTGACTAGCTAGCTACCTGGATTAGCTAGCTTCGGTCCAAATTTAGACGAACATCTCAACCCTGCTTCAGACTGGTGTGAGTTAGCCTTTTAGCTAGTTAGCTAACCGCTAGCTGAAGCTAACTAGCCATGTTTTCACCTGGAAAAACACATTCATTGACCCGAAACGTGTCCCTTATTTGTGTTAACTCAGTTACAATCCTTATGTTGAAGCATTCATCCAAAACTTTAAATGGGAAACGTCGTTGCTTGTTATATTGTGCAGTCCCATCGGTGTCGTTATACCGGTCAGACTCCAGAACAAGGCGCTTTTTCTTCCTCGTGCACTGTTCTTGCCGCGAAAACAGAAGATAAATGTATCAAACGCACAGCTGTGTTTGGATGGTTAGTTATATGTATCATGAAAAAGTAATGTAATCAAGGCAGCCGACCATCCTGCCAAGCCTTGCCTTGGCTGCCTGCTGTTGAAATGAAACGAATGCAACAACGTTCCTCCTATGTGTCCGCTAGAGGGAGTAGCTAAATACTTTTTTGGCAACTCCTATAATTACAGTACTCACACACTCAGTCTGTTGACAGTGACCCAATTTACAAATTGACAACTTTTATGGAATATGTTGTTGGTCTCTTCTCCTCTCTGTGGAGTTTAATAGACTTATAAGGGAAACGCTAAACAGCATATTGCTGTTTATGTTTCCAGTTTCTGTGCTATTAGGAGCAGGTTAGTGCACAGGCTTGTCATCATCAATGGTTGAGGGTTGAGAACACACTTTGTGGAGGCAGAGAAGGATCAGGTATATCAGCCATAAAAAAGAAAACCTATAGATAGACCATGGGCAACAGCCAGGCTTTAGCCTACTATTTGTGTTTCTATTGCAATGTATCTGTCTTTCTCCTGATGGAGCCTTTACATGTGACGATGAAACACAGAACATTGTGCCTTTCCATGGTATCTGTGTAGAAAAGTGACATAAACATCCTGGAATATCAATCATGGAAAATGAGATGATCATGCATGACAAACAGTCGTGGTCAAAAGTTTTGAGAATGACACAAATACTAATTTTCACAAAGTCTGCTGCCTCAGTTTTGATGATGTCAATTTGCATATAATAATAATAATATGCCATTTAGCAGACGCTTTTATCCAAAGCGACTTACAGTCATGCGTGCATACATTTTTTTATTTTTTTTTGTGTATGGGTGGTCCCGGGGATCAAACCCACTACCTTGGCGTTACAAGCGCCGTGCTCTACCAGCTGAGCTACAGAGGACCACGAATGTCATGAAGAGTGATCAGATGAATTGCAATGAATTGCAAAATCCCTCTTTGCCATGAAAATGAACTTAATCCCCCAAAAACATTTCTACTGCATTTCAGCCCTGCCACAAAAGGACCAGCTGCCATCATGTCAGTGATTCTCTCGTTAACACAGATGAGAGTGTTGACGAGGACAAGGCTGGAGATCACTCTATCATGCTGATTGAGTTAGAATAACAGACTGGAAGCTTTAAAAGGAGGGTGGTGCTTGAAATCATTGTTCTTCCTCTGTTAACCATGTTTACCTGCAAGGAAACATGTGCCGTCATCATTGATTTGCACAAAAAGGGCTTCACTGGCAAGGATATTGCTGCTAGTAAGATTGCACCTAAATCAACAATTTATCAGATCATCAAGAACTTCAAGGAGAGAGGTTCAATTGTTGTGAAGTAGGCGTCAGGGCGCCCAAGAAAGTCCAGCAAGCGCCAGGACCGTCTCCTAAAGTTGATTCAGCTGCGGGATCGGGGCATCACCAGTGCAGAGCTTGCTCAGGAATGGCAGCAGGCAGGTGTGAGTGCATCTGCACACACAGTGAGGCGAATACTTTTGGAGGATGGCCTGGTGTCAAGAAGGGCAGCAAAGAAGCCACTTCTCTCCAGGAAAAACATCAGGGACAGGCTGATATTCTGCAAAAGGTACAGGGATTGGACCGCTGAGGACTGGGGTAAAGTCATTTTCTCTGATGAATCCCCTTTCCGATTGTTTGTGGCATCCGGAAAACAACTTGTCCGGAGAAGACAAGGTGAGCGCTACCATCAGTCCTGTGTCATGCCAACACTAAAGCATCCTGAGACCATTCATGTGTGGGGTTGCTTCTCAGCCAAGGGAGTGGGCTCACTCACAATTTTGCCTAAGAACACAGCCATGAATAAAGAATGGTACCAACACATCCTCCGAGAGCAACTTCTCCCAACCATCCAAGAACAGTTTGGTGAAGACCAATGCCTTTTCCAGCATGATGGAGCACCTTGCCATAAGGCAAAAGTGATAACTAAGTGGCTCTGGGAACAAAACATTGACATTTTGGGTCCATGGCCAGGAAACTCCCCAGACCTTAATCCCATTGAGAACTTGTGGTCGATCCTCAAGAGGCGGGTGGACAAACAAAAACCCACAAATTCTGACAAACTCCAAGCATTGTTTATGCAAGAATGGGCTGCCATCAGTCAGGATGTGGCACAGAAGTTAATTGACAGCATGCCAGGGTGGATTTCAGAGGTCTTGAAAAAGAAGGGTCAACACTTCAAATATTGACTCTTTGCATAAACTTAATGTAATTGTCAATAAAAGCCATTGACACTTATGGAATGCTTGTAATTATACTTCAGTATACCATAGTAACATCTGACAAAAATATCTCATAACACTGAAGCAGCGAACTTTGTGAAGACCAATACTTGTGTCATTCTCAAAACTTTTAACCACGACTGTAGAGTGGTGGTGTGTGAGTTAGTAGTGTCTGTGTATTTGGATGAGAGCAGCAGGTCTAGGGCTGACACAAGGTGAGTTTGAGTACGTGGCAATATGGGTTGAAATGGAGGCTTTTGCTGCAAGATGATTTGAGTCATAAAACGCATTATCATGCACCTCAGTTTTTTACTTATCCTTGACAACCGTGCAGAGGTACTACCAAGGATGGGTTGATGTGATGACGCCCACAACGTTGCATGAGACAGGCAGAGTACCGCGATAGTTGCCAGTTTGGCAATTGGAATCCCCGAAAGATGGCGGCGCCGCCAGAGGAGGAGAGCTTGGAGTCTCGCGTCAGTGAGTCATACGATGCTTTTACTGCTATAACGACTAAATAAGTGACCAATTTACTTTCAGAAAACTGTGGTAGATAATGCGCTGTAGTTTTAGTGTTATGTGCATAATTGCTGAATGTGCAATGGACGATATCCAAAGTGTTAGCTAGCGTCCTATAACGTTAGCTATCCATCGCGAAGCGCTGCTAAGGTTGGAACAAAAACAGACCTCACTCCTGTATTGTTTACGCTGAATAATGCCTTGACAACCACGAATAAAGTTTATTTTAGCTGTTCTTAATACGCAATTTGTTACAAATACAACAAAGTCCGACTTTGAAACTGGTGAATAGGACTGGCTAAGCTAACTAGCTACATTATCCAGTGGCTATGTGTCAATACTCAAAGAAATTGGGGAGGAGTCACTTCTGCTAACGTTTGCAGCATGTGAACATGAAGTCTGTCTTTGTGCATTTGGTTCTAGGGTAGAGAGAAACCCTTGAAAATGTTGATAATCCCCAGGTTCTGGAATTTGCTTTTATTCTCCCCAGACAAAGCCACTAACCCTCTGAACAAGGAGGCGGACTGGGACAGTATCCAGGGCTTCTGTGAACAGCTCAACAATGAGCCTGAAGGGTAAGGAGGACCAACATAATGTGGAGAGCTGGTTATAGGCTTGCTTTGTCAGTCATTACTTCAACATTTTTAAACATATGGCAAACCATACAGGTACTCTTATTTGATGTGTCCCCATGCCTCTAGTCCTCAACTGGCTACCAGACTTTTGGCCCACAAGATCCAGTCACCCCAAGAATGGGAGGCCATGCAAGCACTAATGGTGAGTATACTGTTATCGGGATAATGTATTGGTTGACATGCTCACTGACAACTCCATTAGCCAGAATATGCTAATTGTCAGTGATCACACCACCAGCAGTAACATGACATCTATGTGTCCCTAGGTCCTAGAGATGTGCATGAAGAACTGTGGGAAGAGGTTCCACAATGAAGTGGGCAAATTCCGCTTCCTCAACGAGCTCATCAAGGTGGTCTCACCCAAGGTACTGTCTGGAGGGCTATTTCTCTAGGGTCCAATTTTAAATCAGTCACCTTTTGACTGCATCCCGTTTGATTTGAACGAAACTTTCCATACATATTTGCCCATGGTAGAAGTGGTGAGAAAGTGCATTTCTGGACCTGAATGTCAAAACATTCAGAAGATAAAAATAAATAAAATATAATGTGGTTTGACCACCCTGTTTGTAAGGTTTTAAATGATATCAAACTTAACCGTTAATCGTTTCCAGTGATGAGGACATGGATGTGTCATGATATCGTGGGGTATGCAAAATGGGTGAACTTTGAGCACCAGAATGTTTTGACATTTAGGTCCAAAAAGTTACTTTCTGGCCACTTCTACCATGGGCAAATATGTATGGAAAGTTTCGTTCAAATCAAAAGGGGTGCGGACAACAAGTGATTGAAATCAAATGGAAAAACCCTCTATGTAACTCAAAACCCTTTATTAACAAAAACAACACAGTATTCCTCCCATCTTATGTATGTTTTAATGTTCCTAAATCTCGTCTCCTGTGCAGTACCTGGGTACTCGGGCCCCAGAGCCAGTGAAGAAGAAGGTTCTGGAGGTGATGTTTAGTTGGACGGTGGGGCTGCCTGACGAGCCCAAGATAGCGGACGCCTACCAGATGCTGAAGAAACAAGGTGAGCTTTAATAGTGATGCTATACATAGAAAGAATACAAGGAGTGAAATAAAAACATTCCCTCTGTGTTGATCCTTTTCTATCAACTCACATTGTTTTCATTATGCTGTAACATGCTGACCAGACTGCACGCGTGCATGTTGATTTTTTTCCTCCCACACTAGACACGATCAGGACATGCAGGTTGAAATATCAAAACAAACTCTGAACCAACTATATTAACTTGGGGACAGGTTCGAAAAGCATTAAATATTTATGGCAATTTAACTAGCTAGCTTGCTGTTGCTAGCTAATTTGTCCTGGGATATAAACATTGGGTTGTTATTTTACCTGAAATGCACAAGGTCCTCTACTCCAACAATTAATCCACAGATAAAACGGTAAACCAAGTTCAGGCTTCCTTCAGGCTTCTTCTTCTTTGGACTTTATATGTCGGTTGGCAACCAACTTTAAGATGTATTACCACCACCAACTGGACTGGAGTGTGGACCTCAGTTCATCTTTCAATCACCCACGTGGTTATATGCTCCTAAAAACCAATGAGGAGATGGAAGAGGCAAGACTTGCAGCGTGTCAAGCATCACAAATAGAACCAAGTTCTATTTTAGTGCCTGCCCACGCAGACGCTTGCGAGCAGTGTGGGTGCAATGATTGAATAACATGTATGTGTACATTTATTTTGCAACGCACGCAACGCTTCCGGTCTGATCAGCATGTTACGATAGGATGAGGAATATGGGTAAATCATATGATTATTACAGTACTGTAACTGTATGATAATTTCAGGAGTTCACTCATTTAATTTTTTAGTTATCTGTAAGTTCCCCTAACGTGTGCTCCTGATATACAGTGGAGAAAAAAAGTATTTAGTCAGCCACCAATTGTGCAAGTTCTCCCACTTAAAAAGATGAGAGAGGCCTGTAATTTTCATCATAGGTACACGTCAACTATGACAGACAAAATGAGATTTTTTTTCTCCAGAAAATCACATTGTAGGATTTTTAATGAATTTATTTGCAAATAAATTGGAAAATAAGTATTTGGTCAATAACAAACGTTTCTCAATACTTTGTTATATACCCTTTGTTGGCAATGACACAGGTCAAACGTTTTCTGTAAGTCTTCAAGGTTTTCACACACTGTTGCTGCTATTTTGGCCCATTCCTCCATGCAGATCTCCTCTAGAGCAGTGATGTTTTGGGGCTGTCGCTGGGCAACACGGACTTTCAACTCCCTCCAAAGATTTTCTATGGGGTTGAGATCTGGAGACTGGCTAGGCCACTCCAGGACCTTGAAATGCTTCTTACGAAGCCACTCCTTCGTTGCCCGGGCGGTGTGTTTGGGATCATTGTCATGCTGAAAGACCCAGCCACGTTTCATCTTCAATGCCCTTGCTGATGGAAGGAGGTTTTCACTCAAAATCTCACGATACATGGCCCCATTCATTCTTTCCTTTACACGGATCAATCGTCCTGGTCCCTTTGCAGAAAAACAGCCCCAAAGCATGATGTTTCCACCCCCATGCTTCACAGTAGGTATGGTGTTCTTTGGATGCAACTCAGCATTCTTTGTCCTCCAAACACGACGAGTTGAGTTTTTAACCAAAAAGTTATATTTTGGTTTCATCTGACCATATGACATTCTCCCAATCCTCTTCTGGATCATCCAAATGCACTCTAGCAAACTTCAGACGGGCCTGGACATGTACTGGCTTAAGCAGGGGGACACGTCTGGCACTGCAGGATTTGAGTCCCTGGTGGCGTAGTGTGTTACTGATGGTAGGCTTTGTTACTTTGGTCCCAGCTCTCTGCAGGTCATTCACTAGGTCCCCCCGTGTGGTTCTGGGATTTTTGCTCACCGTTCTTGTGATCATTTTGACCCCACGGCGTGAGATCTTGCGTGGAGCCCCAGATCGAGGGAGATTATCAGTGGTCTTGTATGTCTTCCATTTCCTAATAATTGCTCCCACAGTTGATTTCTTCAAACCAAGCTGCTTACCTATTGCAGATTCAGTCTTCCCAGCCTGGTGCAGGTCTACAATTTTGTTTCTGGTGTCCTTTGACAGCTCTTTGGTCTTGGCCATAGTGGAGTTTGGAGTGTGACTGTTTGAGGTTGTGGACAGGTGTCTTTTATACTGATAACAAGTTCAAACAGGTGCCATTAATACAGGTAACGAGTGGAGGACAGAGGAGCCTCTTAAAGAAGAAGTTACAGGTCTGTGAGAGCCAGAAATCTTGCTTGTTTGTAGGTGACCAAATACTTATTTTCCACCATAATTTGCAAATAAATTCATAAAAAATCCTACAATGTGATTTTCTGGATTTTCTTTTCTCAATTTGTCTGTCATAGTTGACGTGTACCTATGATGAAAATTACAGGCCTCTCTCATCTTTTTAAGTGGGAGAACTTGCACAATTGGTGGCTGACTAAATACTTTTTTTCCCCACTGTAAATAGTATCTTGTCCATGCCAATCTCACTTCTTCTTTTTATAGTTATGATGCACCAACACAAGACAAAACTATTGAAACTCCTGAGTCATAACTAGCTGCATCCAGAATCTTCTGGGTTTTTTCTTTCACTTAGTCCGTCTAAGTGAGAGAGAAAAAAAAAAAACTGTTTGTGTAGTATGATAGAAGATAATTACATAGTGCTCCAGTTAAGTGTTTTGCTCCAGGGAGTGACAGCCAGCAATATTTCTTAGCCTGGCTCTGAATCCATTGGTTGTGCTGCTTGTGTTTACAATAACTAGTATCTTCATGGGGAAAACAATGTTATTACCAACGTGCTGGCAACCTACGGTATATACAAGATGTACTATACAGTGTAAGGAGTGCCAGTGACAGGCTGTTTATTCATGTGACGTGGATGGGGTTCCCTGCTCTCTTCCAGGCATTGTGAAGCAGGACCCGGTACTTCCTGATGAGCCCCTCCCACCCCCTCCTCCCAGAACTAAGAGCGTCATCTTTGAGGATGAGGAGAAGTCCAAGGTAAAGATGACAATGAAGGAGCCCCTTGAGTTTTGTCAATAGAGATGACATTAGCGGACAATTTGAATTGATGTCATCTTTCCATTCTTCCACTGTAATTTTCATGTATTCCCTAACGGCCTGCTCTCCCTCTTTTACCTCACTCCTCCTGTTTTTTCCTATTTTCCTTCCTCTTCCCTTCCTTCCTGTGTAGATGCTGTCTCGCCTTTTGAATAGCACTCACCCTGAAGATCTAAGAGCAGCCAACAAACTCATTAAGGAAATGGTGCAGGAGGTGAGTCCTACTCTGTTTACTCATGTCTGCATGATTGTGTGTGGGTTTGGGTGGGTGCCAGTCAAATGCATATAGGCCTATTGCATTCACAACTCAGTAGATTTATTACTCGTACGCTAAGTAAACAGCAAGCACTTTATATCGTCAAAGCACTTCTAATGATTTATGGATTCAATTCTAAACTCCCTCACAATTGTGATCTACTATCCCTACAACTGCTCTCATAATTGCACTGTATATGCCTGCAATAAAACAAGAACCTATGCAGACTTTGGAGTGCTCCAGCTTTTCTTATCTGGGAAAATGTTTTTATTTTTGATTGCAGTGTTCTGAGTCTGTGTGTGTTCTGTTGCGGTCCTCCAGGATCAGAAGCGAATGGAGAAGGTGTCTAAGCGTGTGAACACCATCCAGGAGGTGAAGGAGAGTGTGGGCCTGCTGACCCAGCTACTGGGAGAGTATAGCAAGGAGAGCAACTCCCAGAGCAACCAGGAACTCATCAAGGTTAGCACAGAACAACACCACTAGGGTGGGTCTGTGTAGGCAGTGGGCTATTACTAAATGTGTTTGTGTTTGCAGGACCTATACCAGAGCTGTGAAAAGATGAGGCCTACTTTGTTCCGATTGGCTAGCGACACAGAGGACAACGACGAGGCCTTGGGTGAGAATCATATGTTTACATATAGTGTGATCACATCAATAGAAAAGGTATGATTCAAAATGGCTGAAGAGTGATGCATGCCTCTGTACGGTTTCTAGACAGTTATATATGGTTATGTGTTATGTAGTGTTCTGTATCGACGCATTGCATAGCTCACCACTGTGTGCATCACTGTGTTATGCCAGCTGACATCCTGCAGGCCAACGACAGCCTGACGCAGGTCATCAACCTGTACAGACAGCTGGTGAAGGGAGAAGAGGTGAACGGAGACACCACAGCCATGCCAACACTACCAGGTGAGAGAGAGGACCTCTGTAGGGACATGACCTGAACCAGCTGGCATCTCAGAGGGGCAGACACACTGTTGTACACACCCACAACATGTTCACACATGCATAGACTGAACCTCAGGACATCCAGCATAATCAACCAAGTAGTTTTTCTGTTCATTTTCACAGATGTGTTCCATGTATTCCAGGTTAGGTGGTTAGTTCTGTGGTTTCAAAACATTTGCTCACAAAGACTGATGTGTTTGATCTCTCCTATCTCTCCACAGGAAGTAGTACAGCCCTCCTAGACCTGACAGGGTTGGACACCTCGCCCACCGGACTGCCGTCCTACCCAGACACCCCCTCACTACAGACCCCGTCACAAGAACTGGGTATCAGCCTGCTAGATGATGAGCTCATGTCACTAGGTAAGCAGTAGGTTTAAATGTCATTTCTCTAGCTTGTTTACTCTCTTATTAAATTGCCCAATTATTTTCCAACTTGTCATGACTCGTCTAACTGTGGTTATGCATCATGTTCTCTCCCGGTTCGTGTTGACACCTCTTTCTGTTGTTGTTTTCACTCAGGACTCAATGACGTAACGCCCAACTCTACCCCCACTCCTCAGTCAGGAGACTGGAACTCCTTTCAGGTGAGAGAGAGTTGTCAGCGTATGACACATACGCAAAAGCACACACAATTTCCCTAACCCGTTGTTTTTCTGCGCAGTGTTCTGACAGTGTAGAGCCAGTCGTCCCAGCGGTGCCTACTGCAGCAGTGTTACTACCGGCCGTGACCCCTAACCCCCAGGCTCCGTCAGGGGGGCCCCCCGCCGCTCCCTCTAAAGCCCTGGATGAGTTAGACCTGCTGGGCAAGACCCTTCTGCAGCAGGCCCTACCCCCGGGGACCCAGCACGTCAATTGGTAAACACTGCAGGCCAGAGGGCAGCTGCTAATCTGTCACACAAACAATCTGTATTTTCTTAAAAAAGCTGACCCCTTTCTCTCTCTCCCTCACAGGGATAAGCTGCAGCCTCAGTCCAGACCCACCCTGCGAGACCTCCAGACCAAGTCCAGTACCAACACTACTAGCACCACCACCCCCAGCCCCATCCTGGCCTTGCCCTCGGAGCAGCCTGGGTCTCTCCTAGACTCCCTGCCCAGCCTTGGGCCTCCTGCCCCAGCCCCCCAGAATGATATCTCCCTAGCTAACGTGACTGTGCCTCTGGAATCAATCAAGCCCAGTAAGCCAATTGTCTGATCAATCTGTATTATTGTATGGTTGTTTTGAACATTAGCAAGAAAAATACCTACTCAGCCTCCAAATATATAACTATAACATACCCAGCCATTACCTGTGTCTCAACATGCCTCCAGACATGGTGATGGCTGGGTATGAGCTAACCCTAACCCTCTGTCTGTCCTCTAGGCAGCTTGTTACCAGTGACTGTATTTGACAAGCACAGTTTGCGGGTGCTGTTCCACTTTGCCCGTGACTCTCCTCCCTCTCGGCCTGACGTGCTGGTAGTGATCATCTCCATGTTGTCGTCCGCCCCCATACCAGTCACCAACATCCGCTTCCAGTCTGCAGTACCCAAGGTAGGTCCTGTCTCATTCCTGTCTCTCGATCACCGCTCTCTCTCTCGCACTCTCTCTCTCATTTTTCTCTTCTACCTCTGTAATCATTTGTTTGTCCCTCATTTCTCCTCCGTCTGATTAGATGGTTGTGTTCTGTGGTAAGCTATGTGGACTGTGTTGTGACTGTAGTTTAAGTGTAATGTGTTTCCTCCTCTGTCTGTTTCTAGGTGATGAAGGTGAAGCTACAGCCTCCTTCAGGCACTGAGCTTCCAGCCTTCAACCCCATCCTACCCCCCGCCGCCATTACACAGGTCCTACTGCTGGCCAATCCTCACAAGGTGCTACACACACACACACACACACACAGAGACTCCTCCTGCCTGCTTTCCAAGGTGTTTAACAAGCTCATTAAAAAAAAACCTGACAAGTCAGCATCTCGTTTGTAGCTGTGAAACGCCCTGAGGTGACAATGAAAACGGTCACCGTGGCAACAAAACAGAACTTAAACATGTGCAAGCAGAAAGCATGTTCATTTGGGACTTGTGTCCCTGTTCCTGGTGTAGCCTAAAATGGTTCTGTTCTTTCTTTCAGGAGATGGTCCGGTTGCGATACAAGCTCACATTCGACCTGGGAGAAGAATCACACGACGAATCCGGCGATGTAGAACAGTTCCCCCCTCCAGACACCTGGGGGAACCTTTAGTTGGACGGATCAACTTCCTGTCACCTGATCCGCTGCTTCCCTTAGGTGTAGGTCGAAGGTCCCCCCCAAGCACTGGTCCAGGGAAAGATGGCGTTTTTACATGGTGATGGTTACGGATTGAATTTGGCAGGGTAATCTGGTCTTAGATCTGTTATTTGGGATCGGTTTCTCCCTTAAGGGTCACACCAAATGTGCGCTGTTGACATCTGACTGGCAACTTTTGACTGGCAACTTTTTTGCATAATTCTACATGTAAAATCGGTTTGCACTCAGTTCGCAAATGTCATCTGGTACTCTGTTCAGAGGTGCTAAGTACTCTCAGCAGGCAAATGCTATTGGTGTGTCTGAGCCCTTATGTCTTCCCATGTGTTATGGATTGAATATGGGCAGGGAAAGCTGATCCTAGATCAATTATTTGGAGGCAGTATCTCTCTTATGCCTTCCCATGTGTCCCATCCATGATCCACCATCCCACGTCCCAATGCTGTAATCTTTCATACTCCATTTTGTGTTGTCTTCATTCCATTGACTGTACTACAATCAGCCCTTAGTCTCCAATGCATTACTGTATAATAACCACCTTACGTGATCTGTCCAAAATGAACGTCAAATCATTGCAGTGAGTTCTGCGAGAACAAGCGGAAGCCTTTTAAACTGAATGTGTGTGGGACTGTTTCTTTCTGTCTATGTCTAATAGCATTATTCTGCACAAAATATGACACTCAAATTGTCTAGTCCCAAAGTATTGTATTATTGTCTTGTTTTTATTATTATTTGTACGGTGTAAGACCAGTTGGGTCTGTGAGTGTGTTATGATGATGCCGACGAGTTGGGCAATAAGTGTCTAAAGCTGTGACAAATGTATATCCTGTCAAATCTTCTTTGAAGGAATAGCCAATCTATGGCGCTTTTATTCATTCTATTGAAATCACATTATCATTTTCTTATTTAGATTTTGTTTTGATCTAAACAGCAATTTGTTTTGGTTCATCACTCTAAACTATGTCATAGTTCATATTTTCATTACAACAAGTGATTTCATTACAATACACACCCAAATGTGCACGCACTTCCTATTTCTTGTTTGGTTTTGCACATTAATATGATTCCCTCATTTCCTGTCCTCTCTGATCTACCTTGAGCTGTTGACGCTGACCTAAAGGGAGAGGTGTTAGTTCAGTACTGAGTTGTCAATGCTGACACCCTGTTTAAATCTGCCGGATGTGCCTAAAGCTGAGAGTTTGTTCTTTCTGTATCTTTGTATTTCATTTTTTTTACCTTCCATGTACATACGAATTTAAATTAGTTTGATGTCAATTTTTTTCCTATTTCTGAGTCGGACTACTGCTTTTCTTATTACGTGATCTGGTTATGCTTCCTTTGGTGTGAGATGTGAAACGAATGGGACATGGTCATTGATGATGCGTCCGTTCAATCTAGGGGCGGCCAATCATATCCGCAAAGGGACGGTGGGGGCGGAAGCTTTTACTCCAGCCAAGAGGTACCACACCTGATTCAACCAATAAGCTGATTTATTGAAAACTAAGATTAGTTGATCAGGTATCATGTTAGTGCTTGGATAGAAGTAAAGCCTGCACCCCCACTTGTCCATTGCAGATACAGTCGTCCAACCATGCAGCAGCTGCATCTCTCTTGCCACTCTGCATCTCCCCTTCACATTCCACCTCCCTGCCTTTATTCCGTAGCCTGGTCCCAGATCTGTTTGTGCAGTCTTGCCAACTCAATGACCATAGGAGCTGGTAAAACAGCACAAATATTCCCTGCTCTGACTTTGTAAATAATAAGAATGGTTCTGCAATTATGTACATTTGCCCAAAAAATATAATTACAAAGAGCAAATAAATATTGAGGGGGGAATGGTGAGAATGTAGTGCAAATATGTATTTAAGGGAAATAAAATTATTCTTTTTCTTGGGGGTTTAAACTGACTTTTGTCTATTGGTGGTTGTAAATGAACTTTCACTCATGCTTACCTATCCTGTACTGCATACAACAATTAGAAGGATTTTGGTTTCAAAAACTTTATTGAAATCCTGTGAAATAAAGCAATGTAGAAAAAGAACATACAAGTATGAATGACCTCTTACCAATAAATGTTATGATTAAACAATCACAAAGCATCACTCAATGTGCTGACACATGATGTGTCTATGATTATCATTCCAACATTCTCCTGATATGGTTTTGATATGAATCTGAAGAACATGGTATAGCCATACAGCTTATGTAGTTTAGAAAAAGTTTATAGAAAAGCTGACTGCAGTATCAAATGAATATACATTTCCAGAATATGATAATAGTTAGAGAATGATATAATGCAACATTCACGTCCCCAAAAGAGAGTTAAGAGAAATAGAAAGCATAGACGAATGACAACCAAAATCACAGTTGAGTTCTACATAACAAAAAAATCACATTTTAGCATTTGTTGCTCACTGAAGGACTAGAACGTCACCATTTAGAGTAAATCACAAATGGAAATATCAACTCCTGTCGTGCCAATTAATACCAAAGAGTCACAGCTTTAGATTCACAAAATACCATAATCTGGCCGAGCACGGACTGCTGAAAACATGAAAAGCAAGAACAAATGTATCACACATGCATGAGTACAACATATTTTCAGACGTAGGAAGAATCATATCGCGAAACAAACATTAAACAAGTACAAAAATATGTAGCTATATGTTAGCCCTTACCTCCTCAAATCTCTTGACTTTCGCCTTAACATGGTAAGGGCAGAACGGCAACTCTAAACACCCTTTCAGAGGAGTAACGTTACAGTTACACACTGGTACCATGGTGATTGGGGTTACAAGTACCATGGCTGTACAGTAATTCTATTTCCTGGGTGTAGGAGGAGGCGGGGGAGCAAAGGGGTACGGAGGCTTCCCTATGAAGCCCATGAGAGGGGGCTGTGGCGGGGCCATCAGCTGGGCCATGAGGGGCTTGGGCCCTGCTGGAGGTGGAGGGGCTGGACCGAACACACCCTGGGGCTGACTGGACTGATTCTGGCCCCCACCACTACTACCCCCAGGGGCCCCGTTAGCTGCCACCCCAGCCCTGGAGCTGTACTGGGTACCTCCACCTCCACCACCACCATAGCTCTGGTACTGGTCGGCCCCCCCGGAGCCGTAACCCCCCCGGCTGTCCCTGCTTCGGTCCCTGTAGGAGGAAGAGGACGAGGACCTAGTGTCTCCGTCCCGACCCCCTCCACTGCGCCCGCCCCGGCTAAAGCTGCTGCCGCGGCTGTGTGGCTTGTTGCCCCCGCCGTCGGAGCGCATGCGACGCTCACACACGTCCTGGAACATCATGTTGGGGTTGTTGGCGCTGGAGCCACTGCCACGGTAACGCATTCTGCCACCTGGAGAAGAACATTCACATAGGAGGATTAGAATGTCATATAATATAAACTGAAACATTTTAGTATAAGAATGTCAAACATCACTGGTTACACAGAACATGTGGCTTATGTTTGGATTTGACATGGTAAAGGTGATAGAATAGAATTAAAAACTGTGGTCTAGAAATCACTCTCACCCCTTCCTCAAAATCTGAGCCAGCATAGTATAGTTCGGGTTGGCCCTATAGTGTGAATCAAGCAAAGGTGTAATCAAGCCAGTCTCACCCCCTCCTCCCCCATGTCCAGAGTTAACCAGCTGCAGCAGTTTGGGATTGATGGCCTGCCGGGCCTCCTCCAGGACTCGGACCAGGTCCCTGGCCTGGCGCAGGTTCCCCGGGGTGAAGAAGGTGTAGGCCGTGCCCTTGTTGGTGCTGCGGGCCGTACGGCCGATCCTGTGCACGTAGTCCTCAGACGAGTTGGGGAAGTCGTAGTTGATGACAAACTTGATATCCTCCACGTCTTTGGGGGAAAGTGGTTTTGAGAGGTGGGAGAGGAAGGTGAGGAGGGAGAGATGAGAGAGGAGGGAGAGAAAGGAGGGAGAGAAGGGAGAGGTGGGAGAGGAGGGTGAGGTGAGAGAGGAGGGAGAGAAGGGAGAGGAGGGTGAGAGAGGAGCGTGAGAGAATGGGTGAGGAGGGAGAGGTGAGAGAGGAGGGTGAGGTGAGAGAGGAGGGTGAGAGAGGAGCGTGAGAGAATGGGTGAGGAGGGAGAGGTGAGAGAGGAGGGTGAGGAGGGAGAGGTGAGAGAGGAGGGTGAGGTGAGAGAGGAGGGTGAGGAGGGAGAGGTGAGAGAGTAGGATGAGAGAGGAGGGTGAGGAGGGAGAGGTGGGTGAGAGAGGAGGATGAGAGAGGAGGGTGAGGAGGGAGAGATGTGGGTTTGAGGGATTTTTGTATGGTGAGAAAGAAGACAGATGGTATTCAAACAATGCAAAAGCTATGAGAGAAAAGTGTTTGATTATTTAGAATACTATTTCAGATTAATATTTTATAAATATTGATTACCACTTACCTCTCCAATAATAACATAAGAGGAAATATACATTTATCCAAACTGAAGTAGAATAAAAGTTTTAATTCTTGAAGTAAACCTATGAACGTTTTTCAGCTTTGGGTCAAAATATCTTGACCGGAGAGGCCTAGAGGGTTAGTGGTAAACCCCATAAGAATGTGACAAGAGAGTGCCACTTATACAGCATTAGCAGGGCTTCAGTAGAGTTGATGATGTGACATTTTCTCTGTCTGGACCTTCACCAATTCACAGTTTATGTAATCGTACATAATAGTGTAACTATCATTCAGAACATTTAGTTCTACCATGGTAACATGTTCTATGCTGAGAAATGGTATGAGTATGAGGAAATGGTGACAGTATACTGTCAACACGATCAGACCGGAAGAGTAAAAAGTGTTTCCAATCTTTCTTTTAAATTCGGATGTTCAAATGACAGTAGAAGGACAAATAAGTCTGTTTCTCATTACAGAAGCTCTGACAACACTGCTGGGTGGGTCCGAAAACAAAATGTCTCCTTGGACCCTTTCCTTGTGTTTTCCATGGTAACAGAGGGAAGCCATTTTACTACTCACAGAACCTGCCAAACAACAATATGTTTCCACCAAGAGAAAATGTGATGGAGTAAATGTTGAAGGACAGAGTTCAACACAATTCCTTCAACAAATACCTTTCTGTGACTGATTTCAATATAGATCGATGAAACTACCTGAATGAGTTGTTGCGACTGGGGAGGTCGTGGAAGAAGTGGTAGGAAAGGGGGTGTTGAGGTACTTACCCCTTTAGAGTTGTTTTACAAAGGTAGCCAGTCACCCCCTGTCCTGTCCTGATCAGCCCTGGTTCGCTTGGAGGCGCTGGGGGGGAGGGAGAGAGGAGGGGGCCCAAACTAGCCCCCCGTTTCCCCCTCACCCTTCGCATACACCAGCAACTTCGGACGGGAGCAGAACCGTTAACCCCCCAACGGCCGGTTCTGTTGCTCTCTCGCCGAGTTGCAGGACCTCCTCAAACCGGTCAGGACTCGATCCAGCCGAGCTCCTACCTCTCCCTGTCTGTCTGCCTTTTGGACGGGACAGACAGGCACCTCAGGTTGATCCCAAGGAGAGCTCGCCTGAATCATATACCCTCAGTCTATGATGGGGATCTATGGGGGTGTTTAGGAACCAGATAATCATATACCCTCAGTCTATTGTGGAGGTCTATTTGGAGGTGTTTAGGAACCAGAGAAGGTGGAGAACGGGGGAGGATGTATCCTTCTGATAACTAGCCAAGCCACTAGCTAGCTGCTAACGTGACTGAGGACAGCCCCAGTACTGTTTGACACCAGCATGTGCTGGAGCTGCCTTGTGCTGCACAACCCTGAGGGGGGAGAGAAAAAGAACAAAGATACAGTCATTGGTAGCTTGGCAAATCCAACATGTCTACTTCCCCTTCTCAGTTCCAGGTTTAACCTATTTATTCAGGGAGGTGGAATAGGGCACTACTGTACAAGTTTCAGTGTGGATATGGGGAGAACTGACCGTTGATTTCACTTATAGATAGCCCTAAAACACGCCCTACCTAGACAATACCTGTAGCAAAAAATACTACAGTACAATGAATGACGTAAACATATCTTGAGGAATAATCAAACATATAATACTGAATATTTGGGTTGTTTTCCTTCATGTTTTGGGTTACATCATAAAGGAGACATGAGAGGAGGGTATTGGGGCGAGCATGGGGACATCTGCCCCCCCATCACACCCCCATTCAGGCAGCGTGCCAGAGAGCCCCGGTCGAAGGAAGCTTTGGACTGCAGTAACAAGAAACAGACTGTAAAACATTGTGGAGTTGAAGGCCTGGGGGATTGTGAGGCTACTGATGGTTATACTTTTGTTTAAAAAGTAATTTACAGAAGTCATGCTGTAGAAAGAGTGCTGATTGATTTTTCGTTGTTGTTTACAGGTTAAATTACACCGCTATTACATGTTTGCAGACAAATGTATACTTTTAAACCTGGAAAAGGGGATGGGATATTAGACAACAATAAAAATCACATTTATTACATTTGTGTATATTTTTCTCTGAAAATGTTTTGTTTCTGTGTGTTGGAGAGTGTGTATACAGTCGTGGTCAAAAGTTTTGAGAATGACACAAATACTAATTTTCACAAAGTCTGCTGCCTCAGTTTTGATGATGGCAATTTGCATATACTCCAGAATGTCATGAAGAGTGATCAGATGAATTGCAATTAATTGCAAAGTCCCTCTGTGCCATGAAAATGAACTTAATCCCCAAAAAACATTTCCACTGCATTTCAGCCCTGCCGTAAAAGGACCAGCTGCCATCATGTCAGTGATTCTCTCGTTAACACAGGTGAGAGTGTTGACGAGGACAAGGCTGGAGATCATTCTGTCATGCTGATTGAGTTAGAATAACAGACTGGAAGCTTTAAAAGGAGGGTGGTGCTTGAAATCATTGTTCTTCCTCTGTTAACCATGGTTACCTGCAAGGAAACACGTGCCGTCATCATTGCTTTGCACAAAAAGGGCTTCACAGGCAAGGATATTGCTGCTAGTAAGATTGCACCTAAATCAACCATTTATCGGATCATCAAGAACTTCAAGGAGAGAGGTTCAATTGATGTGAAGAAGGCGTCAGGGCGCCCAAGAAAGTCCAGCAAGCGCCAGGACCGTCTCCTAAAGTTGATTCAGCTGCGGGATCGGGGCACCACCAGTGCAGAGCTTGCTCAGGATTGGCAGCAGGCAGGTGTGAGTGCATCTGCACGCACAGTGAGGCGAAGACTTTTGGAGGATGTCCTGGTGTCAAGAAGGGCAGCAAAGAAGCCACCTCTCCAGGAAAAACATCAGGGACAGACTGATATTCTGCAAAAGGTACAGGGATTGGACTGCTGAGGACTGGGGTAAAGTCATTTTCTCTGATGAATCCCCTTTCCGATTGTTTGGGGCATCCGGAAAACACCTTGTCCGGAGAAGACAAGGTGAGCGCTACCATCAGTCCTGTGTCATGCCAACAGTAAAGCATCCTAAGACCATTCATGTGTGGGGTTGCTTCTCAGCCAAGGGAGTGGGCTCACTCACAATTTTGCCTAAGAACACAGCCATGAATAAAGAATGGTACCAACACATCCTCCGAGAGCAACTTCTCCCAACCATCCAAGAACAGTTTGGTGATGAACAATGCCTTTTCCAGCATGATGGCGCTCCTTGCCATAAGGCAAAAGTGATAACTAAGTGGCTCTGGGAACAAAACATCGACATTTTGGGTCCATGGCCAGGAAACTCCCCAGACCTTAATCCCATTGAGAACTTGTGATCAATCCTCAAGAGGCGGGTGGACAAACAAAAACCCACAAATTCTGACAAACTCCAAGCATTGATTATGCAAGAATGGGCTGCCATCAGTAAGGATGTGGCCCAGAAGTTAATTGTCATCATGCCGGATTGCAGAGGTCTTGAAAAAGAAGGGTCAACACTGCAAATATTGACTCTTTGCATAAACTTAATGTAATTGTCAATAAAAGCCTTTGACACTTATGGAATGCTTGTAATTATACTTCAGTATACCATAGTAACATCTGACAAAAATATCTCATAACACTGAAGCAGCGAACTTTGTGAAGACCAATACTTGTGTCATTCTCAAAACTTTTGACCACAACTGTGCATTTCGAATCTGTATGTTGAGCTCTGTAGGAGTGTAAGTGTGCATACGTGAGTGTGTGTGTGTGTATTCAATGTTGAGAAGACATACCCAGACCACGAGATGCCACATCAGTGGCGATGAGGATAGGAGCTTTGCCGCTACGGAATTCTGAAAGTTCAGACAAAATCAAAGAAGATGTCAAGCGGAAGACTGAAAAAGGAAACAAAACTGAAGAAAAAGCAGAAAACATCAAACATAACATAAAAAACATAGTGAAACACATTGCACCAAAGCGGAGCATCCAAACGTAAACATGGCTGTTGAAATGTGACCTACCTGTCAGAACCCAGTCTCTCTCTGGCTGGCTCTTGTCTCCATGGATACACATGGCTGGCCACCTAGAAAACACACCACAACAATGTTGCCATGAGACAGGAGAACAGGACGTGATAAAAAACAGTTAGACGGTTTCGTTACACTCTTATCTGACTAAGTAGCCCAACACACTCCATATGAAACCAAAACCTGACTCTTGTTTTGCATAGTCAGTACTGTGGCTTTGAAAGAGGACTTTAAACCCATTTCTGCAGACTGTGCTTTCCCTCCATCTCTCTCTCTGTCTCACCCATCTCTTCTCATCCTGCGGGTGAGCTCGTCACAGCGCTTCTTTGTCTCCACAAAGATGATGGTCTTGTTCTCCTTCTCTGCCATGATCTCTTCCATCAGCTGGAGCAGCCTGACATCAACAAAAAGACAGAGGAAAGATATTAGGAAAACATCCCTCATCACCGCAATCCCAGGACTGATATTCTCTCACGTTACAAAAACATAGCGTCCTGCACTCTGTTCCTGTCCTTCATAACCAACAATAGATCAAAAGACTGAATACTTTTAAACTACATTGGGTTAATCCCTTCCAGATCAGTGATGATTAAGGAAAGGAGACATGAACAGAACGCAAAACTAGAGATTGGTCTTGTCCATTGGCTGATGGCCTCACTAACTTGTTGTCCTTCTCATTCTCCATGCAGACGTCTACTATCTGCAGGATGTTGTGGTTGGCGCTGAGCTCCAGAGCTCCTACGTTGATCTGGACATAATCCCGCAGGAAGTCCTCTGCCAGTTTACGCACGTCCTTGGGCCAGGTGGCACTCCACATCAGAGTCTGGCGGTCCGGCTGGGGCACAGGGAGAGAATGGTAATGGGGATATTCCTCCTCAGAGGACAATACACTATTATTCTATTCTATAACATGAGTATTTAGTTATTTATGATGGATGAATATTATATCAACTGTCATGAATCTAGATAGATAGATAGATAGATAGTACATGCAGACAGACAGACAGACAGACAGACAGACAGACAGACAGACAGACAGACAGACAGACAGACAGACAGACAGACAGACAGACAGACAGACAGACAGACAGACAGACAGACAGACAGACAGACAGACAGACAGACAGACAGACAGACAGACAGACAGATGATGATCTACCTCCCTCTGTAGTATCCATCTACTTATCCAACCATCCATGAATGGCTATGTATTACACTGTTATAATAATTGCCTAATGCCAGGAGAAGTGTGTGCGGTTTGCTAAGTATGGCATGTGTCTGGCTTACCCTGATCTGGTCCACGATCTTGCGTATCTGTGGTTCGAAGCCCATGTCCAGCATGCGGTCAGCCTCGTCCAGCACCAGGTAGGTGCAGCGCCGCAGGTTGGTCTTCCCTGCCTCCAGGAAGTCTATGAGACGCCCCGGGGTGGCAATGCAGATCTCTGTACCTGTATGGACATAGGACGCAAAGTGTCACAGTTTCAAAATACACGCAAACGCGTCAGAAGAGACCAATTGTGAGATTACTTCCAATACTTGCAACTTTTTCAATCTTGAATACTAGTAACTGAAGGGGAAGTGCAGGAAATTAAGCTAAGCTGGGGTGCCAATCAGGTTTTAGATCATCAGAAGTGGAGAGGTCTTGTCTCTAGTAGGCACAAACAATATAAGTAAGTAAGTAACTTGTAGCAGCATTTAATTCAACCTGCAGCTCCTCACCTCTCTCCAGGTCACGTATCTGCGGTCCCTTCGGTGCGCCTCCGTAGACACAGGTACTCTTGATGCGGGAGGTCTTGCCATAATCATGAGCCACCTGCTGCACCTGCTGGGCCAACTCTCTGGTCGGGGCCAGGACCAGGCACTGAGGAGAGAGAGAGAGATCAATAGATAGAACCTTTAATAACACATGATACAGTGCCTTGCAAAAGTATACATCCCCCTTGGCGTTTTTCCTATTTTGTTGCATTACAACCTGTAATTTAAATAGATTTTTATTTGGATTTCATGTAATGGACATACACAAAATAGTCCAAGCTGGTGAAGTGAAATGAAAAAAAATTACTTGTTTCAAAAAATTATAAGAAATAAATAAAGGAAAAGTGGTGCGTGCATATGTATTCACCCCCTTTGCTATGAAGCCCCTAAATAAGATGTGGTGCAACTAATTACCTTCAGAAGTCACATAATTAGTTAAATAAAGTCCACCTGTGTGCAATCTAAGTGTCACATGATCTGTCACATGATCTCAGTATATATACACCTGTTCTGAAAGGCCCCAGAGTCTGCAACACCACTAAGCAAGGGGCACCACGAAGACCAAGGAGCTCTCCAAACACATCAGGGACAAAGTTGTGGAGAAGTACAGATCAGGGTTGGGTTATAAAGAAATATCCAAAACTTTGAACATCCCACTGAGCACCATTAAATCCATTATTAAAAAATGGAAAGAATATGGCACCACAACAAACCTGCCAAGAGAGGGCCGCCCACCAAAACTCACAGACCAGGCAAGGAGGGCAATAATCAGAGAGGCAACAAAGAGACCAAAGATAACCCTGAAGGAGCTGCAAAGCTCCACAGCGGAGATTGGAGTATCTGTCCATAGGACCACTTTAAGCCGTACACTCCACAGAGCTCGGCTTTACAGAAGAGTGGCCAGAAAAAAGCCATTGCTTAAAGAAAAAAATAAGCAAACACGTTTGGTGTTCGCCAAAAGCCATGTGGGAGACTCCCCAAACATATGGAAGAAAGTACTCTGGACAGATTAGACTAAAATTGAGCTTTTTGGCCATCAAGGAAAACGCTATGTCTGGCGCAAACCCAACACCTCTCATCACCCTGAGAACACCATCCCCACAGTGAAGCATGGTGGTGGCAGCATCATTCTGTGGGGCCCCATGTAGCTCAGTTGGTAGAGCATGGTGCTTGCAACACCAGGGTTGTGGGTTCGTTTCCCACGGGGGGACAGTATGAAAATGTATGCACTCACTAACTGTAAGTCGCTCTGGATAAGAGCGTCTGCTAAATGACTAAAAATGTAAATGTAAACGTTTTGCCTTGAAGAATGGGCAAAAATCCCGGTGCCTAGATGTGCCAAGCTTATAGAGACATACATTTACATTACATTTACGTCATTTAGCAGACGCTCTTATCCAGAGCGACTTACAAATTGGTGCATTCACCTTATGATAGCCAGTGAGATATACCCCCAAGAGACTTGCAGCTGTAATTGCTGCAAAAGGTGGCTCTACAAAGTATTGACTTTGGGGGGGGTGAATAGTTAGTTTTTTTGTCTTATTTCTTGTTTGTTTCATAAGAAAAAATATTTTGCATCTTCAAAGGTAGGCATGTTGTGTAAATTAAATGATACAAACCCCCAAAAAATCAATTTTAATTCCAGGTTGTAAGGCAACAAAATAGGAAGAATGCCAAGGGGGGTGAATACTTTCGCAAGCCACTGTATATAGCTACAGCATACCATAGGTAGGTCTAAGTACAGCAGAGAAGTTAAGTACACTATAGAAAAGGGTCAAAACAGGCTGGTCTCACAGACCTGAAATATATGAATAAGCAACAGTGTGCAGTTTCCAGATGTGTACTCACAATAGGTCCGTCTCCCCTCTCTAGATAGGGCTGATGGTTGATGTGCACAATGGCAGGAAGCAGATACTGCAAGAAAAGGCGCCAAATAGTACAATGAGGTCATGAGGTATATGTACCAGTCTGACAATCCAGGGACATTAGTCCTCATGTGTCAATATGTCTTTGTGTGTTGCAGCTGTCAATGTTCCTCTGGGAGTTTATGTGTTTTTGTACTGCAGCTGTTGGTGTTGGTGCTTGTGCTTGTGCTTGTGTGTGTGTGTGTGTGTGTGTGTGTGTGTGTGTGTGTGTGTGTGTGTGTGTGTGTGTGTGTGTGTGTGTGTGTGTGTGTGTGTGTGTGTGTGTGTGTGACAGAAAGAAAGACAGATGTTGCAGTTGTCGGTACTGTGTGTGTTGTTGGATTATCATGGCGTCCTTACTGCCAGGGTCTTGCCGGAGCCGGTCTGAGCGATGCCCACCATGTCCCTTCCACTCAGGGCCAGAGGGAAGCCCTGTGCCTGGATGGATGTGGGCTCCTTGAAGTTCTGACTCAGTAGCACATCCATCACATACTCTGTCAGAGCAAAGACAAACAATTAAAGGAACAGTTAGCTATAGCCCAGGGGTGGGCAAACTTTTTGGCTCGAGGGCCGCATCGGGATTTAGAAATTCAACGGAAGGCCGCACAGATTTCTTTTTGACAGATTTTTGTCCAAATCAATTTGCAGGCCATTAGAATTTCTACATACAGTTGATGTTAACATACACCTTAGCCAAATACATTTACACTCTGTTTTTCACAATTCCTGACATTTAATCCTAGTAAAGATTCCATGTCTTAGGTCAGTTAGGATCACCACTTTATTTAAAGAATGTGAAATGTCAGAATAACAGTAGAGAGAATTATTTATTTCAGCTTTTATTTCTTTCATCACATTCCCAGTGGGTCAGAAGTTTACATACACTCAATTAGTATTTGGAAGCATTGCTTTTAAATTGTTTAACCTGGGTCAAACGTTTCGGGCAGCCTTCCACAAGCTTCCCACAATAAGTTGGGTGAATTTTGGCCCATTCCTCCTGACAGAGCTGGTGTAACTGAGTCAGGTTTGTAGGCCTCCTTGCTCGCACACGCTTTTTCAGTTCTGCCCACAAATGTTCCATAGGATTGAGGTCAGGGCTTTGTGATGGCCACTCAAATACCTTGACTTTGTTGTCCTTAAGCCATTTTGCCACAACTTTGGAAGTATGCTTGGGGTCATTGTCCATTTGGAAGACCCATTTGCGACCAAGCTTCAACTTCCTGACTGATGTCTTGAGATGTTGCTTCAATATATCCACATAATCTTCCTTCCTCATGATGCCATCTATTTTGTGAAGTGCACCAGTCCCTCCTGCAGCAAAGCACCCCCACAGCATGATGCTGCCACCACCGTGCTTCATGGTTGGGATGGTGTTCTTCGGCTTGCAAGCAACCCCCTTTTTCCTCCAAACATAACGATGGTCATTATGGCCAAACAGTTATATTTTTGTTTCATCAGACCAGAGGACATTTCTCCAAAAAGTACGATCTTTGTCCCCATGTGCAGTTGCAAACCGTAGTCTGGCTTTTTTATGGCGGTTTTGGAGCAGTGGCTTCTTCCTTGCTGAGCGGCATTTCAGGTTATGTCGATATAGAACTCGTTTTACTGTGGATATAGATAATTTTGTACCTGTTTCCTCCAGCATCTTCACAAGGTCCTTTGCTGATTTTCTGGGATTGATTTGCACTTTTCGCACCAAAGTACGTTCATCTCTAGGCGACAGAACGCGTCTCCTTCCTGAGCAGTATGACGGCTGCGTGGTCCCATGGTGTTTATACTTGCGTACTATTGTTTGTACAGATGAACGTGTTACCTTCAGGCGTTTGGAAATTGCTCCCAAGGATTAACCAGACTTGTGGAGGTCTACAATCTTTTTTCTGAGGTCTTGGCTGATTTCTTTTGATTTTCCCATGATGTCAAGCAAAGAGGCACTGAGTTTGAAGGTAGGCCTTGAAATACATCCACAGGTACACCTCCAATTGACTCAAATTATGTCAATTAGCCTATCAGAAGCTCCTAAAGCCATGACAACATTTTCTGGAATTTTCCAAGCTGTTTAAAGGCACAGTCAACTTAGTGTATGTAAACTTCTGACCCACTGGAATTGTGATACAGTGAATTATAAGTGAAATAATCTGTCTGTAAACAATTGTTGGAAAAATTACTTGTGTCATGCACAAAGTAGATGTCCTAACCGACTTGCCAAAACTATAGTTTGTTAACAAGAAACGTGCAGAGTGTATGTAAACTTCTGACTTCAACTGTACTTTGTATCTATTATTTGACGTTCAAGAGTGGCCTGGGGTGTTTAAAAAAATATAAAAATAATAATAATGTGGCCCATGGGCCGTAGTTTGCCACTCCCCTCCCCAATAGCCTATGGGGTTACTGTTTTGTAAGCTTGGGCTGTGTTCCAAGAACTCTTTAAAATGGGTTCAACTTCCTTTCCTCATCTCTTTACTGTCATGACTGCTGACAGGTGAAGGAACAGGTTATAATATAGGTTCAACAAGTGTCAACTGGGATCTACTGTTGTCTACTTACGGGGAAACTGTGCCTGGTGGAAGCTGGTGGTGGCCTTGGGGCAGCCAGTGCCGCTGACTGTGATCTCCTTTCTCCTGCAGAACTCATCTATGTCATACTGCAGACACAGACAACAGAGAATCAACAGGCTCAATAGACACACTATGGATAGCATCCTTCTAAGAACATTTGTATATATTGTGTGTGTGTGTGTGTGTGTGTGTGTGTGTGTGTACCTGACTCATGCGCTGGAGCTCTGGGTGCTCGTTGTAGAAGTTCTTCTCAAACTTAGGCAGGTCGTCCAGATCCCACTTCTTCTTGCGAAGGCGTTCTCCAGGGTTCCCAAACTTCTTCATAGGGGGAGGGCCGCCCCAGCTACTGGACCCAAACCGAGGCCTACAGGACAGGCAGGGAGAGGAGTGATGAAAAAGAGGATGAATGATTATCATTAGTAACACTGCAACATAGACACTAAATAGGTCCCTGGCCATTTTAATCTATTTGCAGTAAGTGCAATTTTCCCTGGGTGGGGTGGGGCCCCGCCTATAACTCTGTTGCAAGCAAATAGAGTTGTTTATCATGCACAACTAGAGTTGACGGGCGCGTGCAACTGTCTGAGACACGCCCGTGCACGTAAACATTCAGCAAGATAGTTGTGGTTCAACGAACATCACACAGCATTCCAAGATAGCCCCCCGTATCATATATTTAAAAAAAACTTTGGACAGATACTTCCTATATGGCTATAAATATATTTCACATGCCGAAGAAAATATCTGCTTACCCTCTGTCTCGTCCACGGTCTCTATCTCGGTCTCCATACGACGAACTCCCTCTCATGTTGTCAATAGATTCTTGCTTGTAGAAATATTTGAGTTGCACGGTGTTGTGCAGTCTGAATAGCTTATGCAGCAAAAGGAAAGTGCAATAAAGTTTTAGAAAAGACAACACTTACTTACAAACACAAATGAAAAGGTAAGACAAGCCCTGAAATTATGGAACAAGCCAAAACAGAATTTTGTTTTGCAGTTGCTGCTGCACGTGACGTCAACTCCCCTAGTCACTATCTCCCTGTGGACGTACGTTTTTGGGGCGTAACTCCACACGAACAACATGCACGTTTCGTAGCAAAGGAGCGTAGAGCAAATTGGGAATTCTGTGTAGCGTACGTTTACATTTTCTAGTGTTCATGCGCTAATAATATTCCTGTACAGTTGGTGGCAGTAATTCATATTGTGGCAGTAAGTGACATTCTTGAGGAGAAAGCCTACCAAAGAAGAAGAAAATGGATCCAGGAAGTGAAAGCTAGCCGTCTGTCTTGTGTAATATGTCTAGTTTTCATGTTTCGCGACGATAAATATTTCATTATATTAGGTAGATTTAGATTATAGGAAGAAATGCCTCTGCTAATACAAAATAGAAGAATCGAACGACCAGGTTCGACAGTCGATTTGTTCGCCAGATATCCGCATTTACAGGTAAGTTGACTAGTTAGCCAAGCAAGCTAGCAGCTGTCATATCGTAAGCAAGTCGTCCTTGGTGGAATTAATCACCATTAAGTAAAATAGCACTTGCTTTTCATGCAATATTGACTTGACGTTTTACTCCATTCTTATTTTATACCATAGGAAAACGCCCGAGTATTTAGGTCCAAGACGATTGTAGATGTCGACCCAAAGTGCCTCCTATACATACAGCAAAGAGAGTTTGCAGCCACAACACCAGCGGACAGTGAGTATAAACCTATAGTTAAATCAATATGTCAGCCTAGCTTAACATAGTATATTGTTGCGTCCATAGGCTACCTCTACACTGATAAATTGTAGTAAAAAATCCCCGGCACAGTATCCAGGACCATGACGAAATATGTCCCTCTGTTTCTCCAGACTCTGTCGCTGTCCTTGGTTCTGATGATGCAACCACCTGCCACCTAGTTCTGGTGCGACACACAGGTGCTACAGTTCTCTATTTAATGTATGTTTGTAGATACTATGGTAGCATCACAATATGAGCTTCATAATGTCTGCATTTGTACCATCTTGTAGGAAGCGGAGCTGCTTGCCTTGCTCACTGTGATGGCTCCAGCACGTGGAGTGAGGTTCCCCTCATCGTCAAAGCTGTCACATCTCTGAGCAAGGACCCTGCCAAGGAGGGCAGGTAAGAGATAACACACACATACACACACACACACACGTAATTGGCCCCTTGCTTCTTTTCCTTCAGGCTGGAGCTCCACCTTGTTGGAGGATTTGATGATGAGTCAAAGACGTCCCACAAACTCAGCCTTAGCCTATTGTGTACGTAAAGCTCCTTCTCTTCCCTCCAGTTTGAATGCAACTGTCAAAGTAGCAACACCATTATCAGGCTGCATAGGGAAACTACAACCCTTCTATTGTGTTTTGCAGCGGCCTTCCAGAGACAGAAAGAGGATATTCACCTAGAGACCTGCTGCATCACAGGTACATGTTTACACTATTGTCTGATTATTAGACTGTTATATTCTCTCTCAGCCTGTGTGTTTCTTTATACTACCCAGAGCCATATATGTAGAGAGTTTGGCCAGGTTTTAGAACGGCTGCCATGTTAGCGCCTTTATTCTCTATATGTTGGTGCCTCTGACAATTCCCTCTGAAATGACCCGCTGTAAACAAGCAAAACAGAGCAGCGAATTTAACAGACGTTTTTATTGATTCGCATTCGGGGTCATGTGTATCCAAGTCTATACTGTGTTGTGGTGTCAACAAATTGCATATCTGCTTTCAGTGGACATCTTCATAGGTTTTGAAAACAATCCGAAATAAACAGCACAACGCGGAAGCGTCAATTATCTCTTCGCAAAGGCTATGGAGGAGAAAGTGGGGCTCTCGGAACATTCAGACAGAAACCACATTGGCCCAACTCTATATATCTGACTCCGCCCCTACCTATCTCAAGACTCTTTCTCTTCTTTCCGCTTGCAGAGATGAATGACAGCTTAGTGGACGGAGCGCACAGACCGGTGGTGTATGGAATAGGTACTATACTGTATCTACACTGCAAATCACATCACCTCTGTGTCGAACACAGTTTATAGTATGGCATTGACTGTGTGTTGTGACTGTGTGTCTGCAGGTATAAATATGAAAACAGGGGAGGTGTTCCCTGCCTCGTTCCCTTACAAAGGACCCGCGGAGGAGCTGCGATCTGCACGGACCTTCACTGGGGGCCAGGTAGAGACTTGCGCATAGATATAGAACCTTAAATAGGCTGATGTCATAGAGCCACTATGCATCAGATTGGCAAAATCTGTCAGCAATTTTAGCTGGGGCCTGCTCTAATTGGACCAACAAGTAGAACTAGAATTCCTGTCTACTGATATATTGTCTATGCTCTTGCACTTAATCTCTGACACTACATGAAGGATTGATATAAAGAAAGATCAAAGATGACACATTGAATGGCTTGTGGAGTGTCTGGATAGAACCCATACGTGACTTGCTAACTACATTTCATCAGACAGTCATATAAGATTGTAATTATATCTCCACAGATGGCTGATATATATGACTCGAGCAAAGGAGAAGTGAAGATAGGCCCATGTAAGTGGTCCCCGAATCTGGATATTTCCTTCTGGCTGTCGCAAGACGATGACACCATCTTAAAGGTAAGGTGTAAGGAAATAATACATTACTAATATTGATCCCATAATCACTAGAACTTTAGTTATATGTCCCTTTAAAACCTTATTGACAACCTCTAGTGTGTTATAGTCCCTGTTTCTGTCAACACTTATACAATGAATGTTGCATAGTATGTTATCAGTATACACACTGTGATATGTTACTCCCCCTGTTTTTTTCCCCGACCAGTACCTATCCACGTCCCCTATGGCTGAGCCTCCGCACTTTGTCCAGCACATCAAGTCCACCATCCAGTTCCTCCTGGAGCACCCCAGTTCAGATAGCGTCTTCCCTGGAGGACAGCCCCAGCAGTACCGCAGGACAGAGCAAGGGGACTGGGAGAACGTTAACCAGACATAAAAGGCTTGAGTCTCTTCTCCAACGCACTTTACTTTGACTTTCCATGGAATCTGCCCGGAAATGAAATCACTCCTTAACTTCTGGAAGACAAGACACTGTGACCCTCCTCCTTATGCCATTGTGGGCGGCACATCTGTTATTGTTATTGTTTGTTTGACTCGGTACCGGTACCACTTGTATATAGCCTTGTTATTGTTATTTTATTGTTGCTCTTTTATTTTTTACTTTATTTCGTAAATATTTTTCTTAACTCTTATTTTTCTTTAAACTGCATTGTTTGTTAAGGGCTTGTAAATAAGCATTTCACGGTAAGGTCTACACCTGTAGTATTCGGTGCATGTGACAAATAAAATAGTATTTGATTTATCCGTGGTGGCTATGTACAGTACAGAGGTATGTGGATTGAACCCAAGTGCTATATCTATGGACTGTCTGTCTCGTAGTTTACCAGACTTTAAATATTTTTTATTTATATATGTTTTATTTTAAAACAACAATACAAATATCCGCTCCCACAGAGGGTGCTCTGGTCAGTGGGTGCTCTGGTCAGAGGGTGCACTCGCCCCCACCCACCTCGAGACGCCAGCAAGGCCCCGCCCCTGGCCCAAAGGGATTTTCCAAGGGCGGGAAAAACCAAGCCCCGCCCGACTCCCGGGTGGGCATGGAAGCGAGCGCACCCATAACAACCAGGACCAGCACACACACCGCTCACAGCATGAAGCCAAACCACAAAACATAAATAACGAAAAGCAGAACATACAATAATCACATCCCCCCCCTCACCCCTGATTGGAGGACCTTTACCCTGTACATTTATGTTTATACTTACTTCAACACTCATCAATTTCATCCTTCAGACAGCCACAGATCAACCCATCTTTCCCACTAAATCATAATTCTACCATTTCCTCTCGCAATACATCCCTCCATTCTCCCATGGTGTCTCACTAGGGACTTCAACCTCCCCATCTGCAACATTTCTGCCAAAATTACCCCAAAAATAAACATTTAATTTTGTTAACCTGACTTGATTGGCTGGCCCCGGTGAAGAGACAGGACAGGCGGAGCTCTATTCTTCATCCCAAATGGCACCCTTTTCCCTATATTGTGCAGCCCCATAGGGCTCTGGTCAAAGGTAGTGCACTATGTAGGGAATAGGGTGCCATTTGGGACGTATTGTCTCGCTTTGTTACTGATGGTTGTTGTTGGGATGTTTGTGTGGGTAAATGTCTGCACCCACGCGGCCTGTTGGATTGCACAATGTGTTCATCTGAGTCCTACTATGCTATTATCTGGTGTAGTCATGTTATCCAGTAGCTGTAGACGTACACTGAGTGGACAAAACATTAAGAACACCTTCCTAATATTGCGTTTCACCCCCTTTTGCCCTCAGAACAGTGGCTGCTTGCTGCTTATTTGTATCATTTTAGCTAAACAGGTTAGGACAATGAGGTTAATGTTAGGAAAATGTTTAGGCTTAGCTAAAATGCTACAAGGAAGCAGCATGCTACAAGGAAGCAGCAAACAGCCACGCAAAAAGGTCTCGAGTGGCAACCAATCTGGCCAATTACCTGTTAGGTTTCCATACACTCACTTATGTTGATCCTCCCACTTATTTAGTAACGCCCACTTTCAAACGCTTGCCCATGACTCAAATTTGCATCAATAACTAAGGTCTGTCAGTATCGATTTTTCCTCACTCTTGGACATTTTGGAAAACCTTTGAAAAACATATTCACATGAAGCAGGAGTCAAAATAACACGGGTATGTGGCACATCTCTTAATTTAGTTAGAGAAAAACTAAGGGATTGGTTAAGAGATGGCTGAGTTATTCATAATTTTACGGGTCCATTGAATTGCTTTGTTAATTAATTTCACAGTGGCCTATTGTTAGAAATTGCGTAATTCAAATCTGGTATTGGAATAAGAATCAAGAGATCTTCAATCCAATCTAAATTTATTATATGCAAAATGTATGGATGATAAGTATGTTGGTTCATATACGGGCTCACTGAAAAACCTCGCAGGGCAGACAGAGAACTAAATCCATTGTTTACATGTTCTTCCTCAAATACTCTGACAGAGAGTTTCCCACCTCTCTGCTGGCCAATCAGAGTAAAGACTTGAGTGTGGTTTAGACTTACTCAGCCAATCCGTTGATGCACCCCTGTTGCCAGGCATATGTCCATATCATAACAACCTGTCATAGTGAGAAGAGCCAGCTCCCTTAGACACCATTCCTACGTCCAAGGAAGGTTCAGAGATCACAAAGAACCAGTATATTCCAGTATCTGGAGACAAAATCCTTATCTCATTTTACCCCCTAAAACAGCTCTTCACATCAATCACAGCTTGCCAGGTGTCACAACCTACATTAGCACAGTCCAGAATGCATTCTTTCTAAGTTAGTCATCCCATCAATTATGAAAATAATAAATCTCTCACAATCCCTCTTTTCACACCCCCTAGGGTGTGATTCAAAAAATAAGAAAACACAGGGTGTCATTCATTATAATACAATACAATAGGCCATAATGATACAAAAAAATAAAAACCCTCAGTCCATCTACACCCAACTTGCAAATTGTTACCAGTCACCAAGGAACTTCAAACCATAAACCACAGGATTAATAGAACACAAAACATAAGACTATTAAAACATAAAACACAAACAGAGAAGCATATTTTGGCCCCCTTTAGACACCCTCTAGTGTCACTCCACCAAGCCTGGTAGGTCATATCCTTAATTCCTTAGGTCGGAGTCCAGGATTGGGCCGTATCTCACCATCTGTTGGGAAACCACCTTCCCCATCTCCTTTCTCACCAAACCTCAGACACAGGAAATAAGACAACATCCACAAAGAACAAGTATACCCATAGAAGCTATAACTTCACCCAGAATAGTTACAACAATAGTTTTCCATTTACCAAATATGTTATCAAACCAACCGTTTATGGAGCTATCAATACCAGAGTTCTCAGCCAGTTCGTTCGTCAGCGTAGTTACTCCCCTGAAACTCTTTTGTCACGGACCCGTCCGGTGCTATATTGTTTGAGGATGAAAATACAGCACATATATCCAAACAGAACACAAACTCCGCCCCGCCCAGCCAAAAGCATATCTAAAGCTATTCTATCCTGCCATGTCATTAAGCTAGTTGCCGCTGTCTGCTCAGCTAATCCCTTTATTGCATCACGAGTGAGGTTTATAAATCTTTGCTGGTTATAGTAAATATAATTCATCCAATCTACGTTTTTATCCCATCAAAGGATCCTTTCATCAAAGGATCCCGGGAGGAGGTCCTACTTTCTACGTGACAACTCACCAGTCTCTGACACGTTTGATTATTTGCGTATGTAGGTGAATTCACAATCAGTTATCACCACACAACCATCAGATGTCAGCACGGGCCTGGTTTTGGTTCCTAAAATCCTCTGGCTGCAACAAAGAGGAGAGATTAGTCATGGTCTCTTTTAGTTGTGATATTCTCTGTGTAGGAGCAGGAGCTAAGATGCCCTACTCTGTATCCTATCTTACTAGTCCTAGAAAAACAATTAGAATCCCCTGAGACTTCAAACGTAGGCAACCTAGGTCGGAATGACTTTGTTATCGGGGGATATAGATAGTTCAAGTTACCATAAGACTCTTTCACCACATTCCCAGGTGGCTTGCATGGAGGATAAACCTGTTTTTGCGTACTTCAGACTTTCAGACAGTACCTACCCTTCTATGGGTCGCACTGCCATTTCTGGTAATTCCCTACTTTCACAATACTACACCTGTCCCTAAACTGTGTATGGAGATTTACATATCCCCCCCCTCGGTATGAGCAACTACATAATCCCAGGATGTACATGGTGACATACATATGGTGATGTCCTCCCCTAAAGTCCCTAGTACTTCCCCTTTCCCTACGTCTAGCTGTCTCCTATGCCTTCGTAGACTGTGCTCAGGTATTATTTTATCAACTTGTTTTAGGTTAACTACTACTTCTGGCTGATCAGGAGGGTTTGAGTGTGTTAGGAATATGGCCCCCACAATCAGACAGCTACCTACCGTCAGGAGACCTGTGAATCCCCACCCTCGCCCTGAGAACATGTCAGACGCCAACCCATTGCTTCACCTTCTACCGAACTCACACAGGGATGATCAGACAGGGTAAGGGAATCTTCGTTAAGGAGCCAACCCCCGAGCCCTAATGGTGATCGGTTCTTTCTCCTAACTCTGTGTTTGTTCATCAGGTGTAACTGGGTTTACCTTTTTGCAGTATGTGACATGCACCCAGGTGGATCTAATAGGACTTGATAGGGCCCTTCCCAACAGGCCTGCTTCCAGTTTTTCTTCTTTTAGGGACTGGATCCACACCCAGTCTCCTGGTGAGATAGAGTGGGTCACCTTCTCCTTTAGTTCACCTGTGGGGCACAAAACCTCTGACATACAGGTGTGGTTAATGAACTATCTTCACACATACATGTTGAGCTCTCAATTTCTATTTTTTTATTTTATTTTATTTTTTAAAGTATTTTTTTATTTTAATCCTATCATTATTATTTAATCCTATCACTCCCCCTTTTTGACACATGATTTGCCCATGTGTCTATTACCACCTACCTAAACAATCACTTAGGTAATATTGGTAGTTCATTATCCAATTGCCATCCCTCCACTCTCTCTTCTGTTATTTAATGGTTCAAATCAAATATATTATTACCAAATTATAATGTTCTTCACAATTTTCACTGTACTGTAAATTACCCTCAACTTAGTAAAATAAACTACCTTAAAGTCCTCCTCTCATGCCTTTAGAATTTACTAGTGTGGATTATTAATTAACACCAGAAGGTTAAAACAGAGTTCAGAGGCAATTGAAATTATTCAATGAACTGTTCCATCCCATAGTATACCCAACATTACCATTATTCTAAATATTAATTCTAAATATTTCATAAATGTTAGTTATCCCAAGTGTTCATTAAGTCCTACAGTTATTATCAATTCATTCTCATAAGAAATCATATATACCCCAAACTCAGCCAAAACCTAAAAAACTCCATAAAATTCACTGTGTGTGCTCCTCTAAGACCTATCACCCTTGACCTGCTGAAAACCCCCCAAAATTGAAACGACAAGGCTTTATAAACATCATACTAGGTGTGTTGTTTTTTGTTTGAAAAACCCAATTGAAAAATAACAATCAAAGATAGTTAGGCTCAACTTAATTTGGTAGCTCCCTCTTATGACCTAAATACTGCCTAACTGAGATGAGCTAATCTCTTTCTCCTGGTTATAATCTAAAGATGGTAGTATACACAAAACATGATACAGATATCCCCAGTCTTAACCCATCAATAATTGTTTTTATCAATCTAATTCCTCATAACTAATCCATAAAACCACTCAAAATTCCTCGAGTATACAATGATTATTTAATTGATTACCCTAACTCTACTACATGTGATCTCATCTCAAATGATCCATTATCAATTATTTGTTCAACCCCCTAGGAAAATCTGTCCCCCCTGTAAATGTCATATTTGAGTTTTTAGCCAATACAATCACGGTTACATCAAATGTTCCCTCATTTAGTGGTATTTTCTTCCTAATATAACTTCCCTAAATGAGATTAAATCCCCTGCCTTCCTCTACTATCCTTATATCATTACTGGATCAATGATACTAATTGTAATAACTATTTCACATTAAATTGTGCCTTTTTTCTGATAATGTTATAATTGTAGCCTACTCCATCACTTTAGTTTAAAATATACGTTTGTTTTATGTAACAATTCCAGAACCCACCACAGGCTGGCGCTATTTCCCCAGCACAACAGCCAAGGTCACTTGCATCCACGTAACCAAAATACATTATCGTTCTAAAATGTACCAAAAATTTATATTAACCCATTTCAGTTCGCTATTCAATTTCTTTAACCGTTCTCTCTGATTAGGCCCTAATTAATAAAACAAATACTTGCTATCGTTGATACGCATACATTTAATGATGTTCCTACCATCTGAACTGTACTGTCTCTCACCCTCCCCTTGCTCCTTCGGGGAAAGCGCATGGTAACCTTATAACATATTTTCATAGAACTTTCTAGAATACTACTAAAGCTATCTTATGCAACTTTTAATACACGTAAAAACTCTATCTCTCTCCACCATTCCCTATTGAATAAGTGAGTTTTTTCTATTTAACCCCAAAACACGCTACAAATAGTCCATTCAACATTACCAAACCAAATACTCCATCGTACCCATTCAATCAACACATCAGCAGTGGAATTTACACTCATAAATGCAGATTGTTACTCCATGCCTTGAAATGATAAATAGATTTCCACCAGTAGTACCATTAATGATCTCATCTTACCCTCTGACACAAAATGAAGTTCCCTCACTGTACTACGTTAGCTCTACCATGATAATTAGTTCAATTTAACCCTCTATTTGCTTTGTACTATATTATACATTACGTCTAAAACAACATTACTTATGGTCAGTTTATTCCACCATCACATGATCCAACAACGCCACAACCTTAAACTCATATGGGGCGGCAGGCAGCTTAGTGATCAATAGCGCCGCGCCAACAACCGAGAGGTCGCCGGTTCCAATCCCCGAGCCGACCAGGCGAAAAATCTGCCGATGTGCCCTCGAGCAAGGCACTCAACCCCAATTGCTCCCATAAATCGCTCTAGACAAGAGCGTCTGCCAAATTACCAAAAATGCAAATGTAAACATTCTCTACTTTCTCACCCATGACGCACGTCTGTGTTCGGGTGAGCAAGTTTAGAACATCTCTCGTCAGAAACCCACTTGCACCTCTCAAATAATCACCCCGTGGTGTTCCCAGCCAACTTCCAGTCTTTCATGGCTCAAAAAGCCACACTTTCGCTGTCTCCAGCCCCTCCCCTCGCAACTCTACCTATTCCTTGTCCAGGGGGAACAGGCTTTGTGATGAGCTGTTTCTCGTTTTAGCGCGTTTCCAATATTCTGCCGTTATTCAAAGTACTTTAATCTATTTATTTAAATCAAATGATTCCCACCTAATTAGTTAAAGTTGGTGCACGTTTATATTTAAACGATAAACCGAATTATTTCAGTCTAATTGTTTAACCAGTATTTTGCAGGGTCAAACGTCAAACATTACATCAAATAATCAACAAAAAAAAGCCTCAACCCAAGCACCTATAACCAGAATTATGCTATGTCTAACACCAAACGGCACAGTTCAAACATATCAGCTCAACCGTTTCAAAGCTAGAGTGTTACTGTTCAGTCACACAATTCATCACTTTAGCTTTATGTTCCCAATTGTTTTTAACGGGTTATATGGTTTAAGTAAACACAAACCCAACAGTTATCCCCAAATTATACAGTTTGAATAGTTTTTTTTTTTTTTATCCCTAATTGGCTTTTCATCAAGGTACATTATCATTCACACCCTCATGCATACAGTAACACTCTAGCTTTAAAGTACCTCCTATGGATCTCTAACCATAGCTCGCACCGTTTTTTAAAGGTACCTCCTATGGATTTTCTATCCATAGCCCGCACCGTCTTTTAAAGGTACCTCCTATGGATTTTCTATCCATAGCTCGCACCGGTTTTTAAAGGTACCTCCTATGGTTGTCTAACCATAGCTCGCACCTCCCATGGGTTTTAACCATCACAATTATCAAACATTTGCATGGTATTTTATCAAATGGAATTAGTAATCTATAATCGTTATTTATAGAGTAATAGAGTTCACTTACATCAAACAGGTGCTTCACAAAATTAATTTGGATAAAGCCAATGTGCAAAACTTTAGTTATTAGTTTGCTTATTAGTTTGCTTAGTTTGCTTACCTTTTTAAAAGCCCGGGCACTTTGTGAAACACACGGTTCGAAGACAGCGATTGTCCAATAGGCTGGATGAATTCCAGCGAAGTTCTGCTACCAGATCACATCGGAGGTCACCAATTGTTAGAAATTGTGTAATTCAAATCTGGTATTGGAATAAGAATCAAGAGATCTTCAATCCAAGCTAAATTTATTATATGCAAAATGTATGGATGATAAGTATGTTGGTTCGTATACGGGCTCACTGAAAAACCTCGCAGGGCAGACAGAGAACTAAATCCATTGTTTACATGTTCTTCCTCAAATTCTCTGACAGAGAGTTTCCCACCTCTCTGCTGGCCAATCAGAGTAAAGACTTGAGCGTGGTTTAGACTTACTCAGCCAATCCGTTGATGCACCCCTGTTGCCAGGCATATGTCCATATCATAACAACCTGTCATAGTGAGAAGAGCCAGCTCCCTTAGACACCATTCCTACATCCAAGGAAGGTTCAGAGATCACAAAGAACCAGTATATTCCAGTATCTGGAGACAAAATCCTTATCTCATTTTACCCCCTAAAACAGCTATTCACATCAATCACAGCTTGCCAGGAGTCACAACCTACATTAGCACAGTCCAGAATGCATTCTTTCTAAGTTAGTCATCCCATCAATTATGAAAATAATAAATCTCTCACACTATCAACTTGAAACTTTTTAGGGCCACCAAAGACATTACCATGATGAACCATGTTAAGGAAACTACTGTATTAACAATTCACTTTTTTGACTATGTAACACTAATGCTTAAAATAATCCAGAGTGGATGAGTTTTAGTAAGGTTGGATGTCTTGCGTTCATAGCCATGGTGATCAACTGCACTGATGGAGCAGAAATCACAGAAGATAGATGTGGTAGTTGCAGCAGAGAAATATTTGGGTGTGAGAGATTTTAGTTCAGAAGATCTACAGGAAGTTTTGAGAGAAGGGGTTCCATCCTCCCATGCCGACGGCCTGGTTTAGGATATTTTAGGGCCAAAGTAGTGGGATGGGGTGGTAGGTTTTGGGGGATAGTGTATAGGTGCAGGGTTAGATGGTGGTGCAATTTAAGATTTTCCCATTGCCCCTTTTTTTTTATGACCAATGTTCAATCCGCACTCCGACCTGCACTCCGACCTGCGAAAGGCAGCAATATGCAACACAGCGTCTAGTCTATTAGAAATTCAGAGAAGAAGAAGATTAAAAAAAATATATATATATATATTTTAATTATTATTTTCATTATTATCCCATGTTTATGTATTTTATGTCTTTTGAATTTGGAAGACAAACCGGCTCATTTTCCCTTTGAGGACCCCAGCCAAATAATAGTTATTCAGTGCAAAAAAAAAGCTAACAATTTACACTGGGCTGAAGATGGACCAGCCTATCAAGCATTTGTAAGAACTCCCCTATGTCTTTTAATGTGTTCTCTTACTGTTATTCCTGATGTGTAATAAAAACAACAATTCCTAATAGATGGGCCTCCTGTGTCTTTGTTGCTCAATATCCATCCATTGTTTTATTGTTTCTTATAAATTATGAGTTTTTAAATGTGGTTTTTGATTAGATTATTTGCTGAAAATATGTTTTAAATTCATTTTGATTTCTATTCTTAGAAATCTAGATCTTATTGTAACTTTATTATAGCCGTTTTATTGTAATTATAGGTTTTCACAATATGGTATATTGGCCATATATCACAAACCCCCGAGGTGCCTTATTGCTATAATAAAGTGGTTACCAACGTAATTAGAGCAGTAAAAATAAATGTTTTGTCATACCCATGGTATACCACGTTTTTCAGCCAATCAGCATTCAGGGCTCGAACCACCCAGTTTATAATAAGAGATAATAGACAGTAGACTATTCAAAGTAATTGGCTTGCCATAATTAATATTATGTATTTGGTGAATATGATAATTTACCAGAATACTTGGTACAGCCCAAAAGAGGGTCGCTTTTTTCTACCCAGCTGTTGTTATTATTTGGTACATCCCATTTGCTGACCTGTTCACACAAGATGGCAGCTTCATTGGAAGAAGAATTTGAAGATGCGCCCGATGTGGAGCCTTTAGAACCAACATTGAAAAACATTATAGAGCAGAAATCTCTGAAATGGATATTTGTTGGAGGCAAAGGTGGTGTTGGCAAAACGACATGCAGGTAGGTCGATGCGAAATAGTGCTTTGTCACTATTAGCTAACGTCACTAGCAAAATGAATGGCCTAGCCATAGCCAAGTATAGCTAGCTAGGTAGTGTATCTTGTTTACATACAATACCACTAGCCCGAAGTTCAATTAATGTATTTTTATTGACAGTAATTTACCACCAGCGTAGCTCTTATTTCAGTGGAAAACACAGTGAGCTAACGTTAGCTAGAAAGCTGGTTAGCTAAAATGACAACAATAGCTAGCCAGCTAGCTGTCAAATTCATGAGACTGTCATTACTTGCTACATGTTAGCTAGCAATCCAGCGAGTTAGAAACAGTTCTGAACAATCTTTGATATAAACAGCAAACAGCAGGTTAGCAAACTCAGCTATCTATCTAATGTTATGTAGCTAGCTAGTTTTAACTAGATACTACCATCAACTCAACATGGACCATCACTTTTTTATTTTTTTTATTTTATTTCACCTTTATTTAACCAGGTAAACCAGTTGAGAACAAGTTCTCATTTACAACTGCGACCTGGTCAAGATAAAGCAAAGCAGTGCGATAAAAACAACAACACAGAGTTACATATGGGGTAAAACAAAACAAAGTCAAAAAAAAAATACAACAGAAATACATATATATACAGTGTGTGTAAATTTAGCAAGTTATGGAGGTAAGGCAATAAAATAGGCTATAGTGCAAAATAATTACAATTAGTATTAACACTGGAATGATAGATGTGCAAGAGATGATGTGCAAATAGAGATACTGGGGTACAAATGAGCAAAATAAATAACAATATAGGGATGAGGTAGTTGGGCGGGCTAATTTCAGATGGGCTGTGTACAGGTGCAGTGATCGGTAAGGTGCTCTGACAACTGATGCTTAAAGTTAGTGAGGGAGATAAGTGTCTCCAGCTTCAGAGATTTTTGCAATTTGTTCCAGTCATTGGCAGCAGAGAACTGGAAGGAATTGCGGCCAAAGGAGGTGTTGGCTTTGGGGATGACCAGTGAGATATACCCGCTGGAGCGCAGACTACGGGTGGGTGTTGCTATGGTGACCAATGAGCTAAGATAAGGCAGGGATTTGCCTAGCAGTGATTTATAGATGGCCTGGAGCCAGTGGGTTTGGCGACGAATATGTAGTGAGGACCAGCCAACAAGAGCGTACAGGTCACAGTGGTGGGTATTATATGGGGCTTTGGAGACAAAACGGATGGCACTGTGATAGACTACATCCAATTTGCTGAGTAGAGTGTTGGAGGCTATTTTGTAAATGACATCGCCGAAGTCAAGGATCGGTAGGATAGTCAGTTTTACGAGGGCATGTTTGGCAGCATGAGTGAAGGAGGCTTTGTTGCGAAATAGGAAGCCGATTCTAGATTTAACTTTGGATTGGAGATTCTTAATGTGAGTCTGGAAGGAGAGTTTACAGTCTAACCAGACACCTAGATATTTGTAGTTGTCCACATACTCTAGGTCAGACCCGTCGAGTGTAGTGATTCTAGTCGGGTGGGCGGGTGCAAGCAGCGTTCGGTTGAAGAGCATGCATTTAGTTTTGCTAGTGTTTAAGAGCAGTTGGAGGCTACTGAAGGAGTGTTGTATGGAATTGAAGCTCGTTTGGAGGTTTGTTAACACAGTGTCCAATGAAGGGCCAGATGTATACAAAATGGTGTCGTCTGCGTAGAGGTGGATCTGAGAGTCACCAGCAGCAAGAGCGACGTCATTGATATACACAGAGAAAAGAGTCGGCCCAAGAATTGAACCCTGTGGCACCCCCATAGAGACTGCCATAGGTCCAGACAACAGGCCCTCCGATTTGACACATTGAACTCTATCTAAGAAGTAGTTGGTGAACCAGGAGAGGCAGTCATTTGAGAAACCAAGGCTATTTAGTCTGCCAATAATAACTTTCAAGCACCGATTTCAAAATTCGGTGGTTAAATTTGTCAGTTTCATGTGAAACTGATTTTAGTTGAATTGAGAAGACATCATGTTACTAATGTTGTAACGTATAACAATGTTTCTAACTGAAGGGTTGAAGAAGGTAACTGTCTGTCTTGTTTGTCAGTGTTCATGTGTCTGTCTATCAGTGTTCATGTCTGTGGTCATGAGTCTGTCTGTGCGTGCTCATGACATTTCTGTCTATGTGTGCTAATGTATCTGTCTGTCCTTTGCCACCACAGCTGCAGTCTGGCTGTCCAGTTGGCTGCGGTGCGCGACAGCGTGCTCATCATCTCCACCGACCCGGCCCACAACATCTCAGATGCCTTCGACCAGAAGTTCTCAAAGGTGCCCACAAAAGTGAAGGGCTACGAGAACCTCTTTGCTATGGTATGTCAGCCTTAGACCCAGTCTCTCTGCCATAGTTTTTTCTGTCTACCCTACAGACTGGTGATGTTGCTCTCTGCAGTTTGCACTCTCTTACTAGGTTTTGAGAATGATTAGAGGCAAAGAGCTGGTTTGTCAGACTACCTCCTCACAAATATGTTAATAGAAGTCGACTTAGGAGCCTATGTTGACTTGAGGGTGACATTCAGCCAGCTATGTTTGGAGAATGACACACGCATCACATGTGACTGTAAACTCTTGATTCACACAATAGTGTCAGTGTTTCACATACACAATAGAAATAGACAATCTAGTCATCAGTATAAAAAAAAGTATTGTAAGCAAAGCCTGTTTTTCCCTAAGATGGCGATTTTTCTTTCCTCCTGTGTCTTGCCCTGACGTCTGCTGTGTCCGTGTTGTCTGTCTGTCTGTCTGTCTGTCTGTCTGTCTGTCTGTGTGTGTGTGTGTGTGTGTGTCTGTTGTGTGTGTGTGTGTGTGTGCGCTCCTGCAGGAGATTGATCCCAGCCTGGGCGTGGCGGAGCTCCCAGATGAGTTCTTTGAAGAGGACAACATGCTGAGTATGGGCAAGAAGATGATGCAGGAGGCCATGAGCGCCTTTCCCCGGCATCGATGAGGCCATGAGCTACGCAGAGGTCATGAGGTATGGAGACACACACACACCGAGGTCATGAAGTCAACACTTAATGGCCATCCACATAGTTATCGATACACGTTATGCTTTGAGTGCTTTTAAAAGTTATTTAAATTCAGTCAATCATTGGTTATGTTCAGTTTCTGTGATAGAATGCACCATATCCATGGATGATAGTGTTGCTGTTGGTCTGTACTTGTGGTGGTAGGAATTAGTTGGGCTGATATTATTGGGCTTTATTGTCACCCGAATCAAATTCATACATCTGGGTTAGCTTAACCCTTCTCCTACAATTTCCACGGCCATAATAGAAAAAATCCCCATCAAAATCTGTCAGTTTAAACTAGAGATATTTTTTGCATGGGCTGAGTCTCAATCCAGCGCATCCGCCGATATCGCCCTTCCTCACCTGCGGTGAAAGGTGGCAGAGCTAGAGCGTGTTTGTCAGACCATTAGACATCCTGAAAATCGATCTTCTCACGAATGTCTGTAGTGTCCGAACGGTTTGGCCTGCAAACTATGAGACTCTCACGAACACGATGGTGTTCTCCGTTTTGCTCTATGACCCCCCACAAGCGTCACGGGACTCACCTGAAGTCGGTACAGCCTCTTCTGCCAACTTCTGTCTGTAGCGTCCAAACAGTTTGGGCTACACACTAATATGACCCCTCTGTGGGAAAGTGAGTCTCTCACAAACACGTAAATGTCTCTAGGACGCCCACAAGCCTCACAAGACTTGTCTGAAGGTCCCCTGTACCAGTTTAAAAAATGAATGGAAGTATATATGGAGATAGTTTAGTGCCTAAAATAAGGAGTTAAATACATGTATTTTTTTATTTATAAAAATAGATCTTTCTTATATCTCTCAGATATAGGACAGACACTTTAGAACAAACTTCCTTAGTATAATATTTTGTACTATTTGTTCCAAGTAGTGAATCTGTTATTATAGCGAGGACCAAGTTTGGGAAACCCTGCCTTAAGGGGTCTTAAAATTCAAAATCAATTATCCTTGGTATGGCCATCTTAAAACAAATCTATATGTTAGCTTAGTAGAACCCCCCCCCCCCCCCCCCCCCTGCCAGCTTAGAAACTAGAGGGTTAATAAGGTTATATTGACAAATTCCACAGTGTTCCTCAGTCAGACTCTTTTCCTCTCTGTTCAGGTTAGTGAAAGGCATGAACTTCTCTGTGGTGGTGTTCGACACTGCCCCCACTGGCCACACGCTACGTCTGCTCAACTTCCCCACCATAGTGGAGAGAGGCCTGGGACGACTCATGCAGATCAAGAACCAGATCAGTCCCTTCATCTCACAGGTAAGGCCTGCTGACCCTAAACCAGATCAGCCCCTTCATCTCACAGGTAAGGCCTGCTAACCCTAAACCAGATCAGACCCTTCATCTCACAGGTAAGGCCTGCTAACCCTAAACCAGATCAGACCCTTCATCTCACAGGTAAGGCCTGCTAACCCTAAACCAGATCAGCCCTTTCATCTCACAGGTAAGGCCTGCTAACCCTAAACCAGATCAGCCCCTTCATCTCACAGGTAAGGCCTGCTGACCCTAAACCAGATCAGCCCCTTCATCTCACAGGTAAGGCCTGCTGACTGTTGATTTGTTTCAGTGTTAAGCCTTAAGCTCTGTTGGTATTGTCCAGAGTTGCTGTCTGTGTCTGTCTGTCGAGGCCTACGGTAGCATCAGTTCTCTTATTATTGCCACTTGTGCATGATCCTTCTCTCTAGTTCTCGCTCGCTCTCTCTTTCTCCCCCGTAGATGTGTAACATGCTGGGTCTGGGGGACATGAACGCGGACCAGCTGGCCTCTAAGCTGGAGGAGACCCTACCAGTCATCCGCTCTGTCAGTGAGCAGTTCAAAGACCCTGTAAGTCAGACCATCACAGACCCATTTAGAAACACACACCTCCATAACAATGCTTTTCCTAACATCATTGCTCTAGGAAAACATTGAGATGTATATACAACCAGAAACAAAATTGTAGACCTGCACCAGGCTGGGAAGACTGAATCTGCAATAGGTAAGCAGCTTGGTTTGAAGAAATCAACTGTGGGAGCAATTATTAGGAAATGGAAGACATACAAGACCACTGATAATCTCCCTCGATCTGGGGCTCCACGCAAGATCTCACCCCGTGGGGTCAAAATGATCACAAGAACGGTGAGCAAAAATCCCAGAACCACACGGGGGGACCTAGTGAATGACCTGCAGAGAGCTGGGACCAAAGTAACAAAGCCTACCATCAGTAACACACTACGCCGCCAGGGACTCAAAACCTGCAGTGCAGACGTGTCCCCCTGCTTAAGCCAATACATGTCCAGGCCCGTCTGAAGTTTGCTAGAGTGCATTTGGATGATCCAGAAGAGGATTGGGAGAATGTCATATGGTCAGATGAAACCAAAATAGAACTTTTTGGTAAAAACTCAACTCGTCGTGTTTGGAGGACAAAGAATGCTGAGTTGCACCCAAAGAACACCATACCTACTGTGAAGCATGGGGGTGGAAACATCATGCTTTGGGGCTGTTTTTCTGCAAAGGGACCAGGACGACTGATCCGTGTAAAGGAAAGAATGAATGGGGCCATGTATCGTGAGATTTTGAGTGAAAACCTTCTTCCATCAGCAAGGGCATTGAAGATGAAACATGGCTGGGTCTTTCAGCATGACAATGATCCCAAACACACCGCCCGGGCAACGAAGGAGTGGCTTCGTAAGAAGCATTTCAAGGTCCTGGAGTGGCCTAGCCAGTCTCCAGATCTCAACCCCATAGAAAATCTTTGGAGGGAGTTGAAAGTCCGTGTTGCCCAGCGACAGCCCCAAAACATCACTGCTCTAGAGGAGATCTGCATGGAGGAATGGGCCAAAATACCAGCAACAGTGTGTGAAAACCTTGTGAAGACTTACAGAAAACGTTTGACCTGCGTCATTGCCAACAAAGGGTATATAACAAAGTATTGAGAAACTTTTATATACACCTACATTATGTTCATTTGAATGATAACCACTCTACTTCACTATATGGAGTTATTGGAGTATTGTCACTGAGTATTGTGTGTTAATTACTGTTGTTGGAGTCAGTATAGTGACTGTCTATGTCTCTACTTGTGTTTGACGCCTCTCGGCCCCCCCCCTCATAGGAACAAACAACGTTTATCTGTGTGTGCATCGCCGAGTTCCTGTCCTTGTACGAGACGGAGCGTCTGATCCAGGAGCTGGCCAAGTGTCGCATCGACACGCACAACATTATCGTCAACCAGCTGGTGTTCCCCGACTCAGACCGGCCATGCAAGATGTGCGAGGCCCGCCACAAGATCCAGTCCAAGTACCTGGACCAGGTAAGAGAGAGAAAAATGCACTGCATAACTATTCTTCATGTTAGCAGTTGTCTGTCACCATGTGATATGCCCCTAAAGTGGTGTCCTATCCCCTAAAATTATGTCCTAACCTCTATTCTCTGTCCCAGATGGAGGATCTATATGAAGATTTCCACATAATCAAGTTACCGCTGCTGCCCCACGAGGTACGGGGGGCCGAAAAAGTCAACACCTTCTCAATGCAACTCCTGGAGCCCTACATCCCCCCTACCAAGTGATTGACCTCTGACACCCAGTCGCAGTCTGAACTCACCATCTCCATCCCCTTGACCCCAGCCTCACTCCTGCATTACAGCAACTCAGCAAGACCATCCCCATCCTCTTCATCTTCGGAACCTACACCGTTCCAGCAAGAATGACACACACACACACACACACACACACACACACACATACTGGGGGTGGAGAACACAAGGACACACAACCACCTGCTCCAGTTGTAGGCCTACAGTCTAAAAGAGAAAGGAGGATCCACACGTGATTTCTCTCGATCTTCTCTATCACTCTTATCTATACCATTCTCATATCTCACCAGGGAAAAGATGAACTATTCCTAAAGCATTTAACTTTTCCCAGAGGAACACTCAAGGCCCCCCCTCTCCCTTTCTCCTCTCCTCCTCTGCCTCCCTCCATCCTCCTCTTCTCTCCATCCTCTTCTTCTCTCCATATTCCAGCCTCAGTAATGTACAAGTGAAAGTATCCTTGATGGCTAAGTTTGGTGTCTGGTGCCACTGCTGTGTGTTTCAGTTATAAAACAGCTTTGAGACGATCGACTGCATCTTCGGTTTTTACCATTTAATTGGAGTGTGTCGGTTTGGTTTGCGTCTGAAATGGCACCCTATTCCCTGTTTAGTGCATTGCCACACATTTTGACCAGGGCCCTGGTCAAAAGTAGTGCACTATATAGGGAATAGGGTGCCATTTTGGATGCACATTCTGACTTCTTAATGCCCTCCATTGTGGGAATGGAGAATGATATGAGTGGTGGGAAAGTTTTGTGTCTGTTTTGGATGAAGGTGGGTGTGTTATGCAGGGTGAGGTCTTACTACCGCAGAGTGAATAGTCACTATGAAGAGGGATATAGGCCTAGAGGGAAGGGTAGGGGTTTTCAGATCATGTTATATTTTTGTCCCATCAGTCCACTGACCAGCCTTAGAAGGGCATTTGAATAATTGAGTAATAATAGCATGGACATACTTAACTATATTATTTGACCAAAATGTTCTCACGCACCACGTGTTTATGGTGTAAATAGCATGTCCACACCTATATTTAGTTCAGTTCTTGGATGAAGAAATTATATTTATTGATCACTGGGCAGTGTCATTCATCTATAATCTACAGTATCAGATGGCTACTTGTAATTATTTTATGCCAATCTCATTGTTTTCCTAACTCTGATTATAATAGGAGGTCCCTGCAGCAGTCTTTGTATAAAGCTTTTAAAGTGCTACTTTTCCCTCTAGCCTGGTTGAACCAGACTGAATGCCGCACTCACCATTGACTACCATTGAGTGCAGTGTTCACTCTGGTTTAACCAGGCTAAGTCCCCCCCACCTCATCCTTTCTTTCTCCCTGGTTGTGTTGGAAATGGCAGCCCTGGGCCCTGGTCAAAATTAGTGCACTATATAGGGAATGGCGTGCCATTTCAGATACACTCTGTCTGTTGTGTAGAGGGCTCTCTATTCGGGTACACCGAGTGATGTTAGATGGCTACTTGGCTTAATGAATGCCTTATTAGTGCATTATAATATACAATTGATTACTGAATGTTGATTGGTCCCCTGTTGAAAGAAAGATTGGTTCATTATTTAGGTCATATTTAGACAACATCATTGAGTGTTGGATTTTTAAGTGTTGCCTGCATTTTTGCATTAGTGCACAATTGGCACAGCTTCTTTCTTTCTCATCCACATGCAAAATGTCCCACTAGCTGTCAATTTGACTTGTCTTGAAGATATACACACACCACATAAAAAGTGGTCATTATACTTCCAACTATAGCCCCATAATCTCTGCAGCAGCAAGACAAGTCTTGGAAGGGTCCTTAGATTTTATTTTGTCCATGCAATGGTATTAATGCTTCAAGTTATGCATATTTCCCCCCTAGGCAATTATGTTAAAGTTAAAAAATAAAACACAAACATGTTTAATTCGCAGGGGCATTTTTGGTTACTTGTGTTTTTATTTATTAACACAGCTTTCATAACCAAATAATGTTACAAACTACAATACAGACACTGTGATTGGGTCCTAAGTAGTGCTCTAGGAAGCAGGCAGCCCCAAGATGCAGCCGGGACACGCATGGATGGTCTACAGTACAGCATGCCTTGTTGAACTACAGATTCGCCTTGACAGGTCCTGACTTTGTGGGTGACTTCTATGCTCAGAACCTGCAAACAACAAGCCTCCCATTGAGTTGATACAGTGGTTTGTAGAATTCATTCAAATTTGTCAATGGACTGGAAAAAAACGCTTGCCTCGATCAAAACACAAATATAATGCATCAAACTTTCTAATATGCACAATTTAATAAATATTGCCATACTGTTACATGGTTTAGTGATTTTTAATCAGTGGCAGTCTATGACTATTTCCAGTTTTCCAAGGCTATGTGGGTTTTTTCTTGTTTTTACACACTTGCGCTTTTGACATTGTGTACCTCTCGGTGGCCTGTCGCTTGTGGTCCATCACCGATTTCAAATGCACTGTGCAGAAGCTCGCTCTCCCAGTAGGGAGCATGTACTAACGAGCTCGGTCTCCCTCCCATTTTCGGGATTTACCCCGGGGCGCTCTAGCCATTGAACGCACTGCTGAGGCTCCAGCATCCAAGGAATACCCTCTACTGCTGCCTTCTTTTACTGTATGATGTCTCGGCCGAATGGGTTACCAACGATGGACATGGAATGGTTAGTAGAGAATATTAAGGTTGTAAAGATTTATTAGGCTATGAAATATGTAAGGGTTTTGCCAGTGCCCAGCAACAATGTTAAGCGCGGGGATTGTTGATTAACCTGAACCTGCAAACACCCCAAAGATCCACTCACTGCACAACAGTAGACTAGAAGTAATATAATTGTTCTCATATCTGTCCTAAATTTGTCCATCGAACTAGATGTTTTCGCAAAGGCTAAATGTAACCGGTTCTGTACAGGTACCTTTCTGCGTTGTGTTCTGGTGAGGTGTAGCTGGAAGGGAAGGGAAAGCTCTGGACACAATTCTGCCGGTTGTCTCTCTTTTAATGACTGCATGGAATGGATACAAATGCAAGGCAACCATTAATGCTGCAGTCTGGACTCTCATACATAAATATATTTGCCTCTCCTCATCACGCTTTGAGCAAACTCACATCAACAAAAAATGCATTGTACAAAATGTACATGTTAATATTTTCAAAAGACTCAAGTTTAATTTTATAAACATTGTACACCAACCAATACACTAATAATTTGCTAATAAGTGCTAAATATTTATTTGAGTGTACTATTATAGCCGAGGCATACTAATGCGGCAACAACGCCATTCCTGACATGACCGGACAGGTAACAAAATGAACGACAGCTAACTAGGCACATAAACATGAAATACAAAAACGTTACATTTCACAACAAACCTGCATGGAATGGATACAAATGCAAGGCAAACGTTAATGCTGCCGTCTGGACTCTCATACATAAGTCCATTTTCACGCAGTCTGTACCTTAAAGAGACCCTCTCCCGCACCCAAAGCTGTAGCTGGGCTTGCCTTGCAAAGTTGCAATGAAAGTTGCACTCGAACATTATTCCCATTCACGCTCATATATATTCCTACCAACAGTAGTGCAACAACACTTAATCAATGATGATATGTTTTTTTTGTGCATTTGTGAACATTTGCTAACACGTGCATCCAAAAGACCGGGGCATACATAAACACATACCTCTCCTCATCATGCTTTGAGCAAACAGGAGTAAAAGCATGGTTGCCGTTGATGACATCACAACATCAACACAATTTAGAAAATAAATACAATAAAATAGTTCACTCTTGAAAGTAGTGTAATACATCTGAAAATAACCTTAAAATAATAAATGAAAATAAATATGAGGGTTTTTCGGTGAAATACATAAAGTATATTTTACACCTGTTACATAAACATTTTTGTGGAGGGGTTTTCTTTCCATTTCCCTTGATTAATAGAAACAAAACTAACACAATATATGTTTTCCGATAGATCGTTTTTTTTTAATTATAGAATAACTGATAGATGACATCATGACGGTCACCTACACGGCGCAAGTTGCCAATGCGCGCTTCTGCGGGTTCTCCAAACTGCTCCTAGCCTGGAGGGGAAGCATCTACAAGGTCTTATGGAAGGAGTTCCTTGCTTTCTTCGCCATGTACACTGCCATCAGTGTCACTTACAGGTATGAGAACTTGGCTACCAAGTTTACATCATTATTTGAACTTTCCATTATTATTTGAAGATTTCAATTTGTTTTAATTGGTCCACATTATTATGTAACGTTTTCATTTTCAGATTCTTCCTCTTTGATGACCAGAAGAGGTATTTTGAAAAATTGGCAATTTACTGCAACCACTATGCCAGTCTCATCCCCATGTCTTTTGTGCTAGGTGGGCAATATTACCAAATCAATAACACAGATTCTATTCTAATATTCTTGTATTCTAACATTCTTATATTCTATAAGAAAATACTAATACTCTAAAGAGAGTAATAAACCACCATTCATTACAGAAACATTTGCTGCTTTTTTCCAGGTTTTTACGTGACACTGGTGGTGAACCGCTGGTGGAATCAGTACACCCGCATCCCATTACCTGACCGCCTGATGTGCGTGCTCTCGGGCGGCCTGCAGGGCGTGGACGAGCGCGGGCGGCTGCTGCGACGCACCATGATGCGCTATACAAGTCTGTCCGCGATACTGATTTTGCGCTCAGTCAGCACCGCAGTGTTCAAACGCTTCCCGACCATGGACCACGTCGTGGAAGCAGGTAAATGTGTCATTCAGATGCAGCTAAGAGTTTGCCTTTGAGGAGAAATTGCACTTTGCAGATTTTGCCTTCAAGGAAAAATTGCACTTTGCAGATTTTCAGAATTCAAACCATTAAGACACAGGAAAGTAGCCTACAGTGTACAACTGGAGACACCATACCACTTGCAGTTTTGTCCCACATCCTGTGACTTCCAAACACATACCTATAGTATATGCAGCGGTCTAGCAGAGGTGAGTCGGACTCACGCTCTGGTGATGAGGTAGCACTGCCTGCGACTTTAATCAGTGTCACCCTCAGCCCAAGAGGGAATTTCCTCTTGGCCTAATTAAGACGTTGGGTTTCAAAGCAGGACATCGGGGTTCAGACCCCACCTGTGACAGATACACTCCCCTCTCCTCAGGGTTCATGACCAGGGAGGAGCGGAAGAAGTTTGAGAGCCTCAAATCCCCCTATAACAAGTACTGGATGCCCTGTGTGTGGTTCACTAACCTGGCCGCCCTGGCCCGCAGTGAGGGCAGGATTAAGGACGACAGCACCCTCAAACTAGTGCTGGAGGTAGTCTATAATGCAACACACATAATACAACATAGTTATAAACCACATATGTCAATATTATGACATGAATAAGCTATACCCGACTTACATACTGACTGAACCTTAAACAAAAACAATACATTCAACAAAAACAATAACTTAAACATGTGTGTTTGTCTGTTTATGTCGGCAGGAGCTCAATCATTTCAGAGGGAACTGCAGTATGCTTTTCCATTACGACATGATCAGTGTTCCCCTGGTCTACACTCAGGTTTGTGTGTGTGTGTGTGTGTGTGTGTCTGTGTTTGCATGCAGGTGCTTGTGTCTCTTCAATCTTTGTAGAATTGTCTCAGTCGGCATCACTCATTCTGTGTCCTATGTTCTCGTCTCCACCGTCCCTGTAGGTGGTGACTCTGGCCGTGTACAGTTTCTTCTTCGTGTGTCTGATAGGACGTCAGTTCCTGGACCCCACTCAAGGTTACCTGGGTCATGACCTGGACCTGTACGTCCCCATCTTCACTCTGCTACAGTTCTTCTTCTACGCTGGCTGGCTCAAGGTCAGTGGGAATTCATGGTTGTGTTCTCTAGGTACCAAATGAAAGAAATCCAGACTGAAACAGGGAAGGGCTACAAAAACAAACAATTGTTATTTATTTTGCAAAACATTTACTTTGCGTGCCCCAATGAACATGACCGATTTGTTATGTTTTTCAGGTAGCAGAGCAGTTGATAAACCCATTTGGAGAGGACGATGATGACTTTGAGACCAACTGGCTGATAGACAGGAACTTCCAGGTTTATATTGAATCACACATGTATTGCTATCCTTCTCACAACCCCCCATTGTTATCTTAGATGTAGTATATGCATGCATGTGTAGTGGGGTAATATTTTATATACAGTGCATTCAGAAAGTATTCAGACCCCTTGACCTTTTCCAAATGTTGTTATGTTACAGCCTTATTCTAAAATTGATAATTTTTTTATTCCCCTCATCAATCTACACACAATACCCCATAATGACAAAGTGAAAACAGGTTTTTAGAATTTTTTGCAAATGTATTACAAATAAAAAACAGAAATACCTTATTTACCTAAATATTCAGACCCTTTGCTATGAGACTCGAAACTGAGCTCAGGTGCATCCTGTTTCCATTGATCATCCTTGAGATGTTTCTACAACTTGATTGGAGTCCACCTGTGGTAAATTCAATTGATTGGACATGATTTGGAAAGGCACACCTGTCTTTATAAGATCCCACAGTTGACAGTGCATGTCAGAGCAAAAACCAAGCCATGAGGTTGAAGGAATTGTCTGTAGAGCTCCGAGACAGGATTGTGTCGAGGCACAGATCTGGGGAAGGGTACCAAAAGATTTCTGCAACATTGAAGGTCCCTAAGAACACAGTGGCCTCCATCATTCTTAAATGGAAGAGGTTTGGAACCACCAAGACTCTTCCTAGAGCTGGCTGCCCGGCCAAACTGAGCAATCGGGGGAGAAGGGCCTTGGTCAGGGAGGTGACCAAGAACCCGATGTTCACTCTGACAGAGCTCCAGAGTTCCTCTGTGGAGATGGGAGAACCTTCCAAAAGGACAACCATCTCTGCAGCACTCCACCAATCAGGCCTTTATAGTAGAGTTGCCAGACGGAAGCCACTCCTCAGTAAAAGGCACATGACAGCCCGCTTGGAGTTTGCCAAAGGCACTTAAAGTACTCTAAGACCATGAGAAACAAGATTCTCTGGTCTGATGAAACCAAGATTGAACTCTTTGGCCTGAATGCCAAACGTCACGCCTGGAGGAAACCTGGCACAGTCCCTACGGTGAAGCATGGTGGTGGCAGCATCATGCTGTGGGGATGTTTTCCAGCGGCAGGGACTGTGAGACTAGTCAGGATCGAGGGAAAGATGAACGGAGCAAAGTACAGAGAGATCCTTGATGAAAACCTGCTCCAGAGCACTCAAGACCTCAGACTGGGGCGAAGGTTCACCTTCCAACACGACAATGACCCTAAGCACACAGCCAAACAACGCAGGAGTGGCTTCGGGACAAGTCTCTGAATGTCCTTGATTGGCCCAGCCAGAGGCCGATCGAACATCTCTGGAGAGACCTGAAAATAGCTGTGCAGCGATGCTCCCCATCCAACATGACAAAGCTTGAGAGGATCTGCAGAGAAGAATGGGAGAAACGCCCCAAATCCAACCTTGTAGCGTCATACCCAAGAAGTCTCGAGGCTGTAATTGCTGCCAAAGGTTCTTCAACAAAGTACTGAGTAAAGGGTCTGAATACTTATGTAAATGTAATATTTCAGTTTTTATAAATTTGAGAAAAAACCAGTTTTTGCTTTGCCTTTATGTGATATTGTGTCTAGATTGATGAGGGGGGGGGGGGGGACAATTTAATCAATTTTAGAATAAGGCTGTAACGTAAAACAAAATGTAGAAAAAGTGAAGGGGTATGAATACTTTCCGAATGCACTGTATATGATATTATAAATACATCACATGCGACCCGTAATAAGACTAAGCAATTAGCCCATTAAAATAATTAAATGACTCCATAGTATAAATAGCAATATGCAAGAATATGGTTAAATCATGTCCAATCAAGTATTATTCGTTTAGCTGACTAAGATCAAGGAATGGCCATGAAAAGCCAATATCAAAGCAAGTATGATTTAATAACTTTGTAAAATGAATGGATTCACATACAAGGCATAAAGCTTAAGTTACAAGGCAATACTGACATTAACAAAGCATTAGTCTAGGTACAGTATATAGATCCAGTGGTGGAAAAAGTACTCAATTATCATGCTTGAGTAAAAGTAAAGATACCGTCATAGAAAATGACTCAAGTAAAAGTGAAAGTCACCCAGTAAAATAATACTTGAGTAAAAGTCTAAAAATATTTGGTTTTAAATATACGTAAGTATCAAAAGTAAATGTAATTGCTAAAATATACTTAAGTATTAAAAGTAAAAGTACTCCCCAAAACTACCTAAGTAGTACTTTAAAATACTTTTTACTTAAGTACTTTACACCACTAAGGTTAACTTACAAACAAAGCATGAACAAAACCTAGGAAATGAGAATTGATCATACAACCTTCCTCCATGGACTGGATACAGGATAAGACCGAGAACAACCTTGATTCCATTTATAACATCTGAAGTTTTAACCTTTCAACCCAAAACCAACCACCATTGACCAATCAAACGATGCCAAGTTTACAGTAACTTGACCACCCCCAGGCCCAATCTCCACAGGGTGTCACAGCATTTAAAGGCATGTTGTGTGGCGGATGAGACCAATGTAAATAAGACCCATTCCTCAGAGGACCGTAAAACCCATTTGCATAGAGTAATTTAGAGTTCACCCTGTACAGATACAAGTTACCACAGAGATCACACTCTGAACAAAAATATAAACGCAACATGCAACAATTTCAAAGATTTTATTGAGTTACAGTTCATATAAGGAAATCCGTCAATTGAAATAAATTCATTAGGCCCTAATCTATGGATTTCACATGACTGGGAATACAGATATACATCTGTTGGTCACAGATACCTTTAAAAGGTAGGGATGTGGATCAGAAAACCAGTCAGTATCTGGTGTGACCACCAGCGACACATCTCCTTCGCATAGAGTTGATGAGGCTGTTGATTGTGGCCTGTGGAATGTTGTCCCACTCCTCTTCAATGGCTATGCAACGTTGCTGGGTATTGGCGGGACCTGGAACATGCTGTCGTACATGTCGATCCAGAGCATCCCAAACATTCTCAATGGATGACATGTCTGGTGAGTATGCAGGCCATGGAAGAACTGGGACATTTTCAGCTTCCAGGAATTGTGTACAGATCCTTGCGACATGGGGCCATGCATTATCATGCTGAAACATAGGTGATGGCAACGGATGAATGGCACGACAATGGGCCTCAGGATCTCATCACGTTATCTCTGTGCTTTCAAATTGCCTTCAATAAAATGCAATTGTGTTCGTTGTCTGTAGCTTATGCCATAACCCCACTGCCACCATTGGGGCACTCTGTTCACAACGTTTACATCAGCAAACCGCTCGCCCATATGACACCATACACACTGTCTGCCATCTGCCCGGGTACAGATGAAACCGGGATTCATCCGTGAAGCGCACACTTCTCCAGCGTGCCAGTGGCCGTCAAAGGTGAGCATTTGCCCACTGCAGTCAGGTCAAGACCCTGGTGAGGAAGACAAGCACGCAGATGAGCTTCCCTGAGATGGTTTCTGGCAGTTTGTGCAGAAATTCTTCGGTTGTGCAAACCAGTGGAGGCTGCTGAGGGGAGGACGGTTCATAATAATAGCTGGAACGGAGCGAATAGAATGGCATCAAACACATGTAAACCACGTGTTAGATGTATTTGATACCATTCCACTTATTCTGCTCCAGCCATTACCACGAGCCCGTCCTCCCCAATTAAGCTGCCACCAAACTCCTGTGATGCAAACCCACAGTTTCATCAGCTATCCGGGTGACTGGTCTCAGACAATCCCACAGGTGAAGAGGCCGGATGTGGAGGTCCTGGGCTGGCGTGGTTACACGTGGTAATGCCAAATTCTCTAAAATAACTTTGGAGGCGGCTTATGGTAGAGAAATTAACATTACATTCTCTGGGAACAGCTCTGGTGGACATTCCTGCAGTCAGCATGCCAATTGCATCTCCCTTAAAACTTGAGACATCTGTGGCATTATGTTGTGTGACAAAACTGCACATATTAGAGTGGCTTTTTATTGTCCCCAGCACAAGGTGCACCAGTGTAATGATCATGCTGTTTGATCAGCTTCTTGATACAGGATGCAAACTAATTTGTGTACAACATTTGAGAGAAATAAGCTTTTGTGCATATGGAACATTTTTGGGATCTTTTATTTCAGCTCATGAAACATGGGACCAAACATGTTGCGTTTACATTTTTGTTCAATATACATACATATAGATAGCTTCAGAGTCCTCTTTAGGGGACAAGTTTAAGATAGATACCAGACATGGATTCTATAGCATTATTTTATCACACATTCAATAGTCAGTCCTCTGGATACTGTAACAGAGAGATACATTTTTGCCCTTCAGAGGGGAAGGGCTGACTAGTCCTTTGTGCTTTCCTTGTGTTACTTTCCATTTGCCATGCAGCTCCAGGTGACAGAAAGCACATCAATTAGGGCCGAGCCTACATGTGTACATGAGTGGGATAAGTACTTTTGAAACATTCAAAGTGAGAGAAAAAATGGTGGGGTGAAAGGAAACTTAAACAGAAGAGTTTCTTGGAACTTCCCTCATCTGAAACTGAAGAGGAAGTGTTTGTGTGTGTTTCCTCAGGTCTCCATGATGGCAGTTGATGAGATGTATGGGGATCTTCCCATCATGGAAAGAGACCGATATTGGAACGACTCTAACCCTCGTCCTCCCTACACTGCCGCAACTCTATTCGGGCTGCGCAAACCCTCCTTCCAGGGCTCCACCTTCGACATGGCGTGAGTGTCTATTTTATTTAATTCTATTTTGGGGGCAGGTGCAATACATTTCTACAATACACCTCAAATATGTGTTCACCTTGTTGCAAGTAAGTAAATATTCCGTATGTATGTTTTACAAGTCCAAAGATGATTCGTTTTATCTTTGTAACCTTTCTAACACTACTGTATGCCCTTAATGGAATTAGTAAAGTTGTAGTGATTTGAATTGAATTTGTTGTAGTGATTTGAATTGAGTCTGTCCCCTCCAGGATCCCCAAAGAGGAGATGCACTTTGCGCCCCTGGCGGATATCACTGAGAACGTGGAGTCTGAGGGTGGGGGTCGACACCCCAACATGGCCCTGTTCAACCGGCTCCTCTTCACTGCCCCGTCCCCCACGGGGCTCATGGGAGGGGCGCTGCGCCGCACCTCCGCCCAGCTCCAGAGGTTCCGCCGCCCCTCCGGGATGTACCCGCCCTCGTTCAGTGATGAAGAGGGTGAGGACGAGGATGATGAAAGTGGGAAGACTTTGGGGCCGTCTGGGGGGTCGCTGCCGTCTGTTTTGGGTCAGGATACTCAGAGTACCATATGTAGTTGTGGAGGGGTGGTTAATGCTAGGACCCCCCTCATGGAGGTACAGTTTGGGGTTGGGGTGGAGAGATGTGGGGACGCTCTCCAAAGCCAGGAAGAGATTATGGAAGAAGAGGACGAAGAAGAAGAGGATGAGGGGAACGCCCAGAAGGGGGCAGAGAAAGAGAAGCTGGAGGAAGGGAACACTGAGGTGACAGGAGATATTCAAAGCCCCATGCCACTGCTCCCATCACCCCTCCAACCTTCCAGAGACCCAGGCCAAACGTCCACCAGACAACCCCAGGATAAGACACCCAGACCAGCCTCGAAAACCCCCTCCAGCCCCCTAGCCCCCAGCATCATCCACCCCCGTCCCACAGCCTGGTCCACCCGAGACCTCTTCATCGCCGAACCAATCACAGAGCAGAACACAGTGATCCCCGCCATTCCCAAGCCGCCCATTGGTGGAGCCAAGATGTCCTTCCTCACCGTGCCATCCTACAGCGCCCCACAGCGTCATAGGAGTGTCAGCATGGGGTCAGAGTCCCCATCAGCTCCGAAACTACAAGTTACACCCTGTTCTAGCCAAAATTAGTGCACTACTTAGGGAATAGGATGCCATTTCAGATTCAGACTATGAGTAAGGGAGAACATGCACACTTCTGTCCAAATGGGACCAACACACCACACTGAAGAGCTAGGTCATATGTCACTGTACTATGTTCATGAAAAAGCACTGGGCCCAGATTCACAAAACACTTCTTACTCAAAAACTTAAGTAGCTTCTTAAGAAAAAAAAAAAGAAGTTCATAAGATAGTTTGTAAGTGCAATTCCTCAACAATATCTTAAGATTTCTTCTTACAAATCTTCTTAAGATGTTTGTTGCTAGGCAACAGTTTTAGCTAGCTATTTAGCTAGCAATGGCAATCATGTTAGCATATTTCTTACTGATATTACTGTTCTAAAATATGTTCTTGGGTTTAAAATAATCAATACTGAAATGTTCAGATTGTGAGTGAATTAAAAATGTTTCAATTGCTTTCATTAGCTTTTTCTCTCACTGCCCTGGGTTTAAGGCAAGGGTTTAGCTGTCTTGGAATTAAGAACATTTCCAATAACTTTATTTTCAAGAATGAAATTTCTTCTTAATTTTTTGCTTAAGGAGAAACATAAGAAATAGCGCAAGAACATTTCCAATTACCTTTTTGAGGAATAGCAACATTGCTTAACTTTCTTCTTAAGTCTATAGTTAAGGAAAAAATGGCAGTTAAGAAGACATTTCTTCTTTTGTGAATCTGGGCCCTGGCCTATAGATCATCTGCATGAAGTTAATTTTACTGAACAATCCACCCAGATGCTGCAAGGTTGAGCTGCAGCTCACACTGTGTTCACCAATCTTACACTGTACATTTACTTTAGATGAATGATTTTTCACCTTGTTACACTGTTATAAATAATAATGAGGTAAATAAAAATACATATTTCTAGCCATAGTTCCATTTCTGTTGCAATGCGACAAAATGCCTGTGATGACAGAAGATATTTAAGACAATACGGTCAAATTAAATCTGAAGAAAATGAGCGCTATACTGTAAATCACGTAAATATTTTATTAGGAGCGCAAAATGAATTGGCAACACATTGTGAAAATTGTGAAAATTCATGGATAAAAATCTACCGATTTGGAGACAGTCCACAGGAGATATGTAGCAGGCTTGCAGAAGAAAGGGGTACAGTTATAGCAATCTGATGGCAATCTGCCCATATTTTAGCTTCAAGGGGGCACACATAATTCATCACCAGATTACAGAGTGATAGTCCTTTACTGTCCTATTTCTTCCTTTTACTTTTAGATTCAAACTGAGATGGACAAAAAAACGAAAATCAATACCAGTTGGCCAGCAGGTGGCACACATTAACAAATTTTTTTTGTAACATCCAATATGTATTTTTTTACATTCACAAAACTCCCATCAACATCCTCTTCCAACGTTCCTTGTCCACCCAGTGTCAATCCCCACCATCCTCCACAGAGAGACCTCTCCAGCCGTCCTCTCCCTCCTATCTGGGCTGTAGCCTGGGAGAGAGCCCCATGCCTCTCCTGCTCCTGGCCTGGGTGGACTGCCTCTGCTGGGCCAGGAAGGACTGGGCTTGGCCTGGAGGTCTGGAGGAGCCCTCAGACAGCCTCAGCTCCTGCTCCTGTTTCTGGAGAGCCACACACTGTGGAGGGGATGCATAAAAACTAATTTCACCCTCTGATTCAAACAGTACAGAGGTGATGTTGATGATGATAGTGTGTCAGCACAGTAAGGTGGCTCAGGAGTGACATACTTATGGTTTAAAAATAACATTCACTCCTCACTTTTCCAACTTTCTGCATTTGACATGAGACCCTATGCCCTATATAGTGCACTAGTTTGGGGGTAATGCACTATATAGGGAATAGGTTACTATTTAGGACACACACAACATTAAACATTCTCACACACTCACCATACTGTACCAGTTTGTAATAGTGAGCTTTTCCTCTTGGTCTTGTCTGGACATGATCCTCTCATGTGAGTCCTGTAATGTCGAAAGATAGAGTAAAATCAATGATTTTTTAGAGGCTATACAATTAAGGGCATTGAGTGGTGCATTATAGATTTGCCACAGATGATGGCGTATGACAAACATAGTTCTGAAATCAGGCCAAACACTCACTTCTTGGACAGCTGTCATGGTTGACATCACAGGAAGTAGTCTCCTCTTCAGTCATCATCATCTAACTGTATCACAACAATGCACATAAAACATCAGCACTCCAACCAAACCACCAAAATAGGGCCATTGACTGACCACTAGCCAAACAGCAACATCTAGCGAGACAAATTGTATCACATCAACAGTCAAATCAGCAACCCTTCTAACCAAACCACCTTCTAACCAAAATAGTTAGTCAACAATCTAAACACTAATAAACACACCAACCTTACAGCCAGCCAGGCACTGCCCCTCTCTGCTCTCTCTTCAGCCCAGCCCGGTCTCATCCACATGGGGTGAGAGGCCCTGACTGGTTTTGTTCAGGGTGAGAGAGACAATGGAGAGGTAGGCTTTACTACTCTGGCTCTTCCCCATGGCCACAGATGCTTTACTGCTGATCTGAGCACATTCAATGGTGAACGGCCACATTCGGATGGTCACAGGGGGATTTGTAGGTAAGCACCAGAAAGCAAGCATCCTGTTTAGATGGCGCCTGCTATATTGGCCATTCTGACTCGGGAACAAGCCTTACTTGTCCAAGACATACTTACCAGAAAGCAAGGCTGGGTAAAATATACTATCAGGTAACATGTAATGATTCTTGTATTATTGTAGCATTTACTATACAGGACATGAATGAAATATGGCCACATAAAAAATCACCAGAAATGTATAGGGAAATCTCTCAGTAGTGATGGCACACAAAGCCAAGGATTTGTTGATGGTAAGAAGTCTGTAGGCTGGCTACCCTGTCCCTAATCTCTCGTGGACAGACTACTTAATATAATTGAGGATCTGATCAAATTACACAAGATTTTAGTTCTAGGTTAACCTAGATTACCCTGTGCCCATTACAGGGTATGCAGATCAGTCATATCCTTGGCGAGAAAAAGGGTCCCCTCTGTTTGAATCATTTATGCAAAGTCCCAAACATGACCTAAAGACCAGTGGTTTACATCTATACATCAGCTTCCCCCGTCAGACTTCAATGGAACGACAGACTATGTCATTAGGTTAATTGATGACGTACATGTAAAAATGCCCCATCTTCCGCCAACTCTAGCTCCCACTAAAGGTGATTTCCAATCCTTTCTCCCTGACAACCTGTGACCGTATTATCCTTTCAGCGACCTCCTGTAAGTTCAATGGAACCACTGACTAGCCCCAAAAGGTCAACACTTATTTTATTTGCGTAAATGCACGTCTTCTTTCTGCAAACTCTGGCTGTAGCGCTATAGGTGATTTACAATTCATTCTCCCTGACCACCTGAGACCGTTGAGTACGTCCCATGACCTTTCCTTCACAGAGGCAGTTTCATAAAGTTCAAGCTCTTTTCAATGTGTGTGGTGTGTGTTTGTGTGTGTGTGTGGGGGGGGGGGGGTTGTGGTTGAGTTTCCGTCATCAGGCGATAACCACACAGAACTTTCAGAGAATTCTGTGGTTTAGTTTTTCAATAAATCATAGAAGAGATAGTTTCTCTAGAATAGGACTGTTGTTGAAGTCAACATAAGGCGTGTTTACTGACAAACGTACAACTCTCACACCCTTTAGATACCTTTGAAGTTCATGTTTGAATGTCTCTGGTCTAGTGGTGTGGTTTTGAAGTGACTATCCACAACTTTGTGTGACGGTGTGAGTATGTACATTTACCTTGTGTGTGGGAAAACGTAGAGAGAGAGAGAGAGAGAGAGAGAGAGAGAGAGAGAGAGAGAGAGAAACAGAGAGAGAGAGAGAGAGAGAGAGAGAGAGAGAGAGAGAGAAACAGACAGAGAGAGAGAGAGAGAGAGAGAGAGAGAGAGAGAGAGAGAGAGAGAGAGAGAGAGAGAATGGGATGAAATAAACTTAAGAGTTTCTTGGAACTCCGTTGTCTCTTCTGAATCTGTTTATTCTTTTAGGAGGGAAAGAGAAAACCCAAGGCTGTGTGTGTGTGTGTGTGTGTGTGTGTGTGAAAACACTCCAAAAAACACACACCATCAATTCCTGTCAGCTTAGAAGAGGAGTGAAAATCTGTTGCGAAACCTTCCTCCCACAGAAAGATCCACAGACTTCTAGCCTTGACAGAAGATAGGAGAGACATTGGGGACAGTCATAGTTATACGCTGAATAACAAAACAACAAACATCACTTTCTCTGTGGCTATTATTCATATTATTATTAACGCTAGCATCAGCAAATGTTCACATTAAAGATTGTGTTAATTTACCCCACAGTTTTGTCTACTACCAATCTGTAGCCTGATTAACCATCAAGCTGGCGAGATCAGGACGGTCCAATGAGGCTAGTCTATCTGTTTCAAATGTTTTCTCTGCTACTCTCAGCATTAGAACAAACTAAACATTGCATTATCTTACACTACAGTTTTATCAGGTATCCCTTGGTCAGTTGTTTTTGGTATTGCTCCTCTGGCTTCTGGTAAAAGGAGCAGTGCTGTGAGCTTACACTAGAGGGCAAAGTTGAACTAATAATAATAATAATAATAATAACTATTTGTATAGTGCTTTTCAATTCAAGTAACAAAGTGCTTCATATCATAAAATAATCAAAGAAAAGTACTAACAAAGAAAAAAAGACAGGAGGAAGGAGAATGAAAAAGATAGCTAATTCAAATTATAGATAGCTAATCAAAAGATTGCTCATTAATATCATACAAATAATACTAACTTTAACTAGGATACAGTGCTTCAATGACAGGTACAGTGAGTGATACTGTACTACAGTCAAGACTGAAACTATCATCAAACACTTATACTACTGTACAAACAGTGACAAAATATGATCCACCATTTTGAGTAACGCCAGCTTACTCCACTTGTGTCTGAGACAGTCAAATATAAAATAGCGTAATAGATTATATAGATTTACAATCTAATCCATCTGAGTTGTTGATGTTTACTATAGAAACAGATGTACACACAACAACCGAGCTATTTACCTAGCTAGCTCAGAACGTGCAGGACACAGGTAGTGCCCCAAATGGCACCCTATTCCCTATATAGTGCACTACTTTTGACCAGGCCCAATAGGGAATAGGGTGCCATTTGGGACGTAGACTAACTCTGTCCCACATAAATACACTTCACCTCCCTCTGTAGAGTGAGCAAATACTCCCTTGACTCCATGCCAGTCTCCATGCCAGTCCTGTGTTTGTTGTACCAATGTGCCAGCCCATGTCTGTCAGTGCTCCAGTAGGCACACCTGTGTGTGTGCATGTAGAGGTGTGTGTATGTATGTGTGTGTGTGTGTGTGTGCGTGTGTGTGCGTGTGCGTGTGCGTGTGTATGGGTGTGTATGTCTTGCCATCTGGGCACTCCCTACCTCACACTCACCCCACTTCCTGTCTCACACACCCTACCCAGCCTTCTCCAGGAACAGCCAGTACAGGGCTTCAGGACCTGTCTGTCTCGTTATGTGGACAAACAAAGTCGGTCAGTGATCTACACACAGAGACATACTGTATCTACAGTAGATACACAGATGGGGAGAGACCGAGACAGAGACAGAGACCAAGACAGAGACAGAGACAGAGTCCGAGAAAGAGAGACGTACCATATCTTCCCATCTATCTCCTATCTACTGTACAGTCTCTGTTTATACAAGAACACTATCTCAGTTTTGTCTGTTTGATAGTGAATCAACCTACAGTAATTGGTCTGGCTAAGACTGGTTGTTATCAAAATGTAACCACTCAGGTGTCTGGTCTGGTCTAGTTTGGTCTGGTTATGTGACTGTGTGTCTTGCACTTGAACCTTGAATTTCCAGAATGAAGTAACCGGTTGTATTGTTTGTGTGGGAGAGAGGAGATTGTGTGTGTGTGTGTGTGTGTGTGTGTGTCTCCCTGTGTATGTGTATACGTGCTTGCTTATATGTGTCCGTTCCTGTGTATTGTGTGGTGTGTGTGTTTGGCGTGTGTGTGTGCCTGGGAGGAGTGGGTGTGTTAGGACATAGGAGTGAGCAAAGGGCAACTAATTTTAACCGTGTTCCAATGAATTCCGCTTTTCTCTCCTTCCTTTACTGTTTAACAGATGGGTTTCCTTCTTCAAAATAAAATTGCACTTCTCCACTGTTTCCCTGTTCAGCTTTAGACCAGTATATATTTTGTCAAGAAAGATGTTACAGCAAGGCAGGGCTACTTTGGCCTGGTAGTCAATACCCTATCCAACATAACGGCTCCACCCAAATTATAACCAATAGGAGGAAGTAAACAAGATAACCCATGATTAATGGATTTATTTCTTTTGGTTGGTTGGTTGAGAAGAGAGTAGGTGAGTGAGTGAGTGAGTGAGTGAGTGAGTGAGTGAGTGAGTGAGTGAGTGAGTGAGTGAGTGAGTGAGTGAGTGAGTGAGTGAGTGAGTGAGTGAGAGAGAGAGAGAGAGAGAGAGAGAGAGAGAGAGAGAGAGAGATAGAGAGAGATAGAGAGAAAGAAAGAGAAAGAGAAAGCAATAGAGAGAAAAATAGAGACAGTGAGAGAGAGAGAGAGAGAGAGGGAGAGAACGAGCG